CTGTATGGTATGCTTAAACTAAATGGTATATTACATTTGAAACGACAATCAAAAATTAACACACTGACGATTTTTGAATAACTCTAGAAGTACGACAAAAACCTTTAACATTATGGTTAAGGTCAAGTGTATTGTGCCATGCCGTACACATGTAGCAATTACGCGCGAGCAACGTAGTCTGAATCGCTAACAATCTCGTAAATTTAAGGACGGTGTGAAGGACAAGTTATATTGTAACGGTGCCTTAGATTCGTTCGTACTTCACTTACGATTGGTTTCAATTGTTTTGTAGGATAGTAAAAGTTAACAATACTCGTATTATTACATATCGAAATGTTATGTATTGTGTGAAAAAAATTCGGCTTATAAGTAATTTTCAGAGTATATACGTAAATATCGTGCATAAGTTTAAAACGAACTTCTTCGACTCTAAGTACTAAACTTTTAACTGTCGTTAAAAGTCATAACTTGTCCACTCCGCTTCTAAAACAAAAACGAAACTAAATTAACGGTAAAATACGGAATTCAGACACATTAACGACCGTTTTGAAGAGGCACTATTGGTGAACAAGCCAACCGATCTGCTTCTTAGATACAAGTTTTTTCGCTGTTAGCTAACCAAATTAGCCGACTCTAGCCTTGAACACTTCGCTAAACATATTTGGGTCATTAACCCTCGCCAAATCTGGTTGTGATTCACGCCTCGATCAAAGTAATAATAAAGAGTCGAACAGTTTTTGTGGACGTTCGTTTAGGAGCACGAAGTTTCGTTCGTTTTTTTTTGCTTCGCCGCAGCGGCGTCGAAAAACAGCCGGAGGACTTAACGTTATGTTACCATGAGACTGTTACTCCCGCTGAGGCTTCTCCACATTTTGCACCAATACACATGCATTTAAGAAAAATTTAAAAGCAATTCACCTTGACCTTGGCGAACGTGTTTTTCCACGCAAAAATAAGTGATAAAGACCTTAAACTATTCATAAGATAATTTCGTTCTATGAGGCAAGCTGGAAACGGCATTCACCAACCGAAGTCGTACGACATTACGAGTTCTGTTCCAAATATCTCACTTGTTATAGTTTTTCTTCTGAACAGGGTTCCTTTCCATCTTTCGGAGGTTGGCAGTCAGCTCTGCGTATGTGCTTTTTCAGTTATTAAAGCAAACTTAACAAACAGTCAATCTGTACTGCTCACATGCAGCGAACGGTCACCACATGCGGGCGGGGCGGTCGGGAAACAAATAATTCGGAGCAAAAAGTGTCCTTCCAAACGACCTTTCAACCGATGCTAGCCAGCATTCGCCGATGTACCGTGTACTATCGGTATTTATGTTCGCGAAAAAAAAGGCTTCGACGGAATTTTATGTGCCCGCGTCCAAAGCGGTTCTTCATAGCTGTCTTACGTTTTATTTAATGCGCTAAATGCTAACAGAGTCCGATAACCCCAGTCACAAGGACACGATAGTCGCGCTCTGCCCGATGGTTTTATGAACGTCACAACTTGTATTATTTCTTCTTCACATATGCATTCGGCCCTCGATGTTTTTGTTCGAAACACAAATGTCGTAAAGAATAGTCATTACTCGTTTCTTTCCTCTCACCAATTTTATATACGTTTTTTTTCCATACTCGATGTGACTCCGCCGTATATTTGCCAAAATACACCCAGCATCTGTAAGCATTCGAATCTATATTGAACAATGGCGTATCCATTTAATAATTTTCGACGTAACTTTCCGCTAATATTCATCGGCAAACATTCGCTTAAGTAAACTGGTACCGCTCGTTTCCAGTTTTATTTTTCGGGACAATATTATTTTCACCAAAAAATGGCATATAATTTCATTACAAACCTTAGTTATTCTAGTAATCGCTTAGGAGTCAGTCAAAGCCAGCGTAATTTCAGACTATTGACACGTAATCTGTATAACTTAAAACCCGTCCAAGTTAACCGTGTGTCTTAAAAATTGTGAAGAAGTGACCATTTACACTCATTCACGTGGTCATTATGGTGTAAGCAATTAAAGACATAATTGCAAATTGTAACGGTAATTTGCGGTTATTTCCTTGAAATGTACGCACCGTAATGTGAATCATACGCTTAATGGTTGATGTACAAGGTTCTTAATGTTCTTAAATAAGCCAAAGGCCAAGGGATTGAGTCACTACATGTTGCTAAGGAGTATGCGCAGCTATGGCATGCTTCAGTGTCCAAACGCCAACTGATTCTGCTTCAAGGTTGCGCATACTGTTTCAGTACAGGAAACAAAGGGTAACCGAATAGATATGGACATGGTAATTACGGGGCCTTGACTTACAGTTTCAGAATAAAACCGGACTATTTAAATAGACCTCGTTAACAATGACTCCAATGATGCCGCAGCGTAGGTACTTCAGCGTGGTAATTTTAGAGATTATAATTATGCGTTACTTTTAAAAACAATTTACACAGTATAATGCTAATGGTAGTGCCGTTACAATATTGCCTAGGATATTAAAATAATTCGTTGATGGAAATATATTGGCTTCTATTTCGTAAATTAATCCGACAATCTGCCCTTCGAGTTTCATTATGTGCGGCCTTTATAGGTTACAATGTATGCGTCAATTAGGAGGCCGGAATATCTCCACTAAAGCTGCATTAACAGTGAAGCAAAGTTCATTGCAAATATGCATTTCCAATTGTCACCCACGGGACGCCCGCAGGGAAGGCAAGGGTTCGCCTCAACAAGTTTTAAATTGAAGTCTCTAAAATCAATGTTGCAATATAAGAAAAGATTCTAAGCTTACCCACGCCCAAATCAAATTAAGACATATTTAACCGTGTGCTTATTATTGAAAAATAAATGATTACTTTGTTATTATTAGTTTATGACCTTGATATTTTAGAAATATATAGTTTTCTAGTCACTAGTTTCATCTTATTTATATCTACTTACGCTCCCATCGTTATTACTTATTATATTATGTTACTATTTGAACATTATTATTTTATATTTTTATTATATATACGTATTATTTTTTATCTTATGCTATTATATTATTCAATATATTAGAAAAGGCGTATCCGCTTGTTATCCTTGGACAAGTGGTTTGCTCATGGCACTAATTATAAAAAACCCACTATATTACTAAAAAGGTAAAATTTAAATAAGTATGGTACTATAAGACGTATCCGTCACTTTAATTTTGTTTAATGTTACCATTACAATTTACGATATACTTAATTAAGAATCTTATATCGTAAACCCAAATGGAATCGTAAACTCAAATACAATTGCTTTGATCAAAAGCATTGATTGCAAACCATCACAATAGTTGATATAGCATGATAAAAATAAATATGTTTTTGATTTTTAAATTTAAGAAATTTCGACATGCAATAAAAATATGTTATATATGATCAGCATGTGTATATACGCAGATTATATATATGAACTAGTAATAAATTAAATTGCTAAGAAGATATCTTATAAATACTTTTGTTTAGTTTTTTTTTTACCATGCGTACAAGATATATCTCACTGCCGCCATTAACCGTTTTTATCTTACCACAAAAGGTAAGTCAACTTTGGTATTCGAGTCCACAACATTTGTGGTATACTTAACTCCAGATTCGTGAGCTAATAAAATATTCAGTTTTCCTTTTTATCAAACCGCACGTAAATCACAATTTAGTTTCGCGTCCTAAATGAACCAAACAGCTGATATTGACATTCTAAAACAGTTTTTCGTTTCTTATAATTAGTCCTTCGACGATAACAGAAACGTTTTATTTTTATTTAAAAATTAATCGAAATATTTTCCTAACAAAATGTTCAGTTTCATCAACAATCGGAGTAGTATGCACAAAATTATCGAATAACTGTATTAATACATAGTACTAGTAATTATCAGTTCTTCAACCAAGCTACGTCACTACATAGTATAAAACAAAGTCGTCCCGCTATCTATCTATCCCTATGTATGCTTAGATTAAAAACTACGAAACGGTCTTCATGCGGTTTACTAGATATATTGATTCAAGACGAATTAATAATACATTGCACCCATGGGGCGCGTTACTAGTATTAAACATAGAACAAAATAGTTTAACAAGATTGTGATTGATGTTGCGAAATCTGCTCCAAGAACAGTCTAATGTCGTTGAAGAAACGAACATAAAAATATTCGCTCGTCTATTTTTAACGTTTAAGTACCGCTATAAAAATTGTTAACGGAGTGATTTTTTTTTGTTCAACTTCATGGTACTGTACGTTCGAAATGTTACCAAATTTGAAACTGCGCCGTCACGCCTCGCTGCGCAGACGCATACAATTACGAACCACGTACAAAAAAGAGATCCCAACAATGCAGGCCTCGTCCTTGGATCCCTAACAAAAGCCGAGAAAGGGCAAAGGAACTCGTTTATCCCAACCTTGGGACTTTCACTTGCTACCTACGCATGTTTTGCTACGTCTAATAACTTCGTTTTCAACACAATTTTAATAAAGTTTATCTTTTTCACTACACTAAATCCATTAGTCGTGTATACATAAAAATACATACAACACTTGTCCAGGCATTTAAAATATGCTTAAAGGATTTTAAAATATTGCGTTATAATTACAACAGACAGGAAACATTTCAAACTGGATCGTTCATACCCTGGTGAGCCATTGGTTGGCAGATTTAGGTCGAGATTGACTTTGTCACTTTGTACAGTGGAGCGTCAATTATAATAATGCCGTACGCACACACACGACAAAGTTGTAGGTGTGTATGCGGAGGCGAGTATTACCGTTATGGAGGCACATACCAGTGACGTCAACAAGGCCTTATGACTTCGACGCTATACGAATACGTTACAAACAGACTAGAATAGTAACTGGTGAACAGCATTGTTTATATAATATTTATATAGGAAATATGTCTAGGTTTTCGTTCTAACTGTACACAAGACTAAATATTACTGAAACATTATAGTGCAACTATTTTTAAAAATAATTTTCTATTTTTCAGATCGTGATGTATTTGGAGAAAGCAATGCAACAAGACTGACGCAAGAACGTCGGACGAAAGAACCAAGAAGATTTATATCTTCAATACTTGGTGGAGACATACCGTACGGTAGTCACAGGGGCCACGTCCTTACACAAGCTGAAAGGAAGCAATATCTCCCAGTGGAAGAAAAGAAAGCAGATGACAAACCCCTTATTAAAGAGGAAAAAGATCCATTGGAAAGTGAGCCCGTGGTCTTACCATCTAGAAATTCACCATCTCCAGATTCAGTACCTTCGCCTGGTATCGACAACAATGTAACATGCCAAAAAGTATCAGTAATTCAACGAACACCATCACAATCTCAATTTCGCGATGGCAAGAAGGATTTGTTAGATGTCAGTATCCCACCAACACTGCCAACACCGGAACCTGAACAAGACCAGCCAATAGACTACGCGCTAACAAAAAAACGAGGTGAATCTGAAGACGAGGAAACAGAAAAGAAGATCAGGGAACAGAGAAGGACAAGCAGCTCAAAAATTGCTAACGGTATCTTGGCTAGACCTGTATTGGTCCTGCGCAACTGTCCGGGCAATAAGGTACCTGGAATAATAAGCGCTGCTGCAGGTCATGGTAGATCCACTGGTGGAAATGGATCGAATTCAAACTCGCAAAGCAGTGGGGGTTCAGGAAGTTTCAACTCAGGCGCAGGCAGTACTGCCCCAAGTTCGGGTGGAGGTGGAGCTCTTGGTGGTGGATCGGGAAGCGGTGGCAATGGTCGAGATGGACGCTCGAATTACGGCCCTAATAGTCCGCCCACGGGAAGTCTTCCACCTTTCTATGAAACTCTCGGACCATCCACAAAGAGTGGCCAAAACTCTTTCAATGCCAATAGTTCCTTCTCTAATGAGTTTAACATGATGAATGGATTCAATATGGATTGCGAAAATAACGAGAATGCTACAAATTTCCCAGAACAGGGTAAACAGTATTCACTAATGCAGAATGCTCATTATGGTCTAGCTTTAAAAGATGAAGAAATTGATTATGAAAATAAATTGGAAAATTTAGGTGCAATTGGCAATTATGGTAGTAATTTTGACGTATCAATGGTAGTCGATATGGGTGAAGATGTAATAGACAATATCCAATTTTCAACTACACTGTCATTTGCTGGATCCAACGAAGGAATTTTAGGAAATCTATCAGACTCCACTGAGGATTTTGCAAATTTATTGAACAATCACGTCGAGTCTATCACTGATTCTGAGATTAGAGAATCATCCTCAATAACCCCAGATTCTGTACACAATCCTGTTGATATCGAGTCATTGGCGGAACAAGTTAACCTAAGTAGACAATATTACGAGAAAGCCAATTATCTGGCGTTCGCGAGCCAAGAACAAAACGCATCTTACAATTTCGCTAAGGACCGCCCAGATCTGCTAATGCACTTGAATCCGGCTCTACTGCAGCACAATGAAGGCCAAATGCAACAGCTACAAATCCATGTACAACTGCAGCAGAGACAGCAAATATTGTCCCCTGGATTTCCTTTCGCTAGTCATTCCTTGGAGCTCGACTCGCCGACTGGTGTGTCGTTACCTTCACCCGGAGGGAACAACTCATTAGACGGGAACAGCCACATCGAAAATTCATCACTCAGCCCCGCTGCCGCAGTAAGTCTCAAGAAAGGCTCTGTCGCCGATAGCAAAATACAAATCTTGCAACAAAGGGTAAGCATTCATTGATTTTAAGGCGAAGCTTTCACTTTCTTTTTTTCACTTTAATGTCATCCTAAAAACGATTTCAATTTTCTTCAAGATGACATTGAAAGTTAAAAATGAAAAGAAATCTTAAAAATAAAATAATGCTGAGCCTTAATCAACTTATGCTTCAACCTATTGCGATTTCTATATTTAATAATACAATATTATTTTTGTATGTATATATATATATATATATATATATAGATTATATAATCTACAAAAAGTAATCTATATAAAATAGTTTTCTGTTTGTTACTTATTCCCAGTTGTTTGATATTATTATTGATTAAGCTCAGCTTTATCAAATGCTTTATCAAATAATTAAACAATTAACATCTTAATTTAACATTTAATTTATTTGTAGTTGCTGAATATAAAAAATAACATCTAAACGCTTATTTTTTTTTCAGTTGGGTCTCCCGGCAGAGCTCCCGTTGGAATTCATCAACGGCGGTCACGGCGTGAAGAACCCGTTGGCCACCGAAGCAAACGCAAGGCAAAGAGAAGAAGAGAAGAACAAACAAGTATTAGTCAGCGAAGACGACCCCACAAAGTTCATCTGCAGGGTTTGCTCGAAAAACTTTAGTTTACAGAGGCTGCTGAACCGGCACATGAAATGCCACTCGGATGTGAAGCGGTACTTGTGCACCTTCTGCGGCAAAGGCTTTAACGACACGTTCGATCTCAAACGGCACACGAGGACTCACACTGGAGTGCGACCGTACAAATGTAACCTCTGTGAAAAATCATTCACGCAAAGATGTTCGCTGGAATCTCACTGCTTGAAAGTGCACGGTGTCCAACACACCTACGCGTATAAGGAACGAAGGACAAAGGTAATTACATAATTGTACTTTTACTTTTGATTTCAAACCTCTTAATTTAGGATGGTGGAATTTCAAGGACTTGTCAAGTTCAGTCACATTTCGTTTCATGAGAGAACGACTATATTTAATACAAGTTTGATTTAAGAAGTTTCACTCTTATCACGTGTATATTTACACGTTTAGATATAGTCTCATATTTTTATGGCATTACCTACTCGAAGCTTTTACGGCACTAATACACTTTACGTCACTCCCAGAAAAATATGAATTTGATATATTTGATACCAATATTAGAGCTATGTGAATATTTACTTAATATATCCATTAAAAACACACCACCTTGGAACTTATATTTAAGATGCTGCTGGCATCTCCAGCATAGCTGATTAAACATCTTTATCTGACTAAAACGTTTTTCGTTTACAGATGTACGTGTGTGAAGAATGCGGACACACCACATCCGAGCCGGAAGAACACTACATGCACCTAAAGAAGCAGCATCCTTACTCGCCAGCCTTACTGAAATTCTACGACAAGCGACACTTCAAGTTCACAAACGCATCATTCGCCAATCAATTATTGGGACAGCTGCCAATGCCGGTCCACAATTGAAAATTTTACAAACATTTACAACGACTGATGACGTACATTTAATAAATCTCGATTTATGAGTTGAAGTCTCTAGGTACTTAATAATTTATTATTCGTTTACTCCATTAGTTTCAGAATGGAACAATTAACGGTGTTATACGATAAAATGTAACGAATTTATTCCGTCCGTTTTTAATGTGAATCCAATCGAATTGATGGGAGGACTTTAAATTTCCCAGTGCTTAATTGAATCAACGCGCACGGAACTCCTTCTAGTTATATAATTGATGAACGTTGTCTTCCAAACTAATATAAACATTCCGCGTTTTTGAACTATGGAACTTTATTGATTTTGAGTTCCCAAAAAAAATACCTTAATTTTTTAACAGTCAACGGAATATCCACTAGCCTTCTCGTTAGGCATGACTGCAATTAAAAAATCAAAGTATCGGGTATTATGTGCAATCTTTGGTGATGGTACGGGATTATCTGTAAGTTTAGCTCGTAATATAGAATAAATATTTAGTTGTAAGATGTTAGATTTATAACAAGTTAACACAAGTATAATTGTGAGCTTCATTTTAATTCAGCGTTGGACTGCGTACGAGGATAATGGTGCTAAACGCGAGTAATCGCTGACTTAAAATGAGGCCGTTATGGACCGGACGACACTGCTTGTCCCGTTTATAAGTTAAACATATCAGGCGCCCCCTAAGGCCTGATGGAAAATTAACTCCACAATAAGGAATCTCTTTCCTCGATTTAGTGATACTAGCTTCTAATTGTCTCTCGAAATATTAACACAAATTATGTCACAATTTTAATGTGTTATGTACTTAATGTTATGTTTGTTCTTTGTTGGTACTTAATATGATGTGAATTTTTTTTTTAAATTGATGTGAGTGACACCCCAACGGGATCACTATATGTCGTACCAAGTTGAAATGCATTTCTAGAAATATTTATATTATTTAAATTATATAATTGATCGGTATCAGTCTGTGCTGTGAGTGAGTGTGAGAATTATTTGTGTAACTAAGTTATTTAATGCGTTTGTTGTTACGTCATTAATCCTGCATCGAGATCGTAGCTGAAGCGCTTACGCGGAATTAAATACGTTAAGGAAACGAAGATGCTCAATTTTTGGTACATTTGCGCTTTCACAGCGAAGCTTGTGGATGAAAATAAATATTAAATTGTAAATATGTCTAAATTTAGTGGATAGTAGTAAAAATTGAGGAATTAATATTGTCTACCTTTCTTAGAAGTACCTACTTAGTGTTATGAGATTTAAAAAAGAAGATAAATTGTTAAAGTATTTTTTACGATTTCATAGAACTTAAAAATTTTATATTGCCTCATCGTTGGTTCGTTGGTAACAAAGAAGCGCTGTATCTCGATTATAACTACATACTTGTCAGTTGCATTTACTAGCATTTCCATTCAGTTGTCAAACTTAAGTTTCATAATTTAAGACGCAAACACTTTGTTACTCTGTACTCATAAGCAATATAATATCATGATTAAACAATGCTTTGTTGTTTCATTCATGTATATGATACAGTTTTGTGTAAACGATACAAGAACTTAGGACACTTAGAAATATATATTTATATTTTATATTTTTCTTCTCCATATCAGTCTACTTAATACTTCTGTTTCCAAAGGCTGACCATTTTTTGGTTCAAGGATTGGGAATTTCGTTTGAAGTATACAGCGTGTAGTTACCACCGCGACAATAAATGAACACACATATAGAGGATAACTTTTTAAAATTGTATTAAACATTTGCATTCTTTAGACATCAATATTTACCGAGTTATTAAATTTTCCAAAACAAACAATTTTAGAACACCCTTACGTATAAAACTGTAACGTAAAGTTCATTTGTAAAGGTCACAAAGCATATGAATAGGTTGAATGAATTTAAAAGAGACAAAACATAATGTTAGAAGGAGAGGCTTATAATGTGACGGTGTGGCGCGAGTTGTATAGGATGTTACAAATTTTGTTTCTTTTTTACTTAATTAGTTTGTTTGAAAAATATTTTTTTAATTATGGATTTTGTTTAACGTTAATATTTTTTTATGATTATTGGCAAGTAACGTTAGACGTGTGTTCATTTATTGTCGCGATGGTAACGACACGCTGTATACTCTTCTTACTAATGCGCCTAGAGCTTATACATGAGAACCATGTGCTGAATCTGGTGGAAGAAGGTTTCAGTGCTATAACACTAATAAAAGTATAACACTAATAAAAAAGTTAATAATCAAATCGCACCCTGCGTAGAACAACGTAACTGCAAAATTGTAATTGTTCAGGACGGCCGATTCAAGCAGTTTCTATTACAATTTTTGAGGTTTGTAATATGATTAGGTATATTAACAAACAGTATACTTTTTGAATAAATAATTATATAAATTTAGAATATAAGAGGTTTCATGAATAATAGTGACGTTTTCCTACGGGAAATGGCAAAAATTGATGGGTCACAAGTTCATATATACACGTTTATATAACGTTGTTCAACTAAAAACTCAGAAAATATGTATGACAATAACGCATGTAACACTTTTTTCGACGCAAAAACCATAAAAAGTGGGTGACTGTGCAATAATTGTGAATTGACTCTAAATAGAATATATTACACTCGTCTATTACACTAGTAAGCTTAGTATTAGTCTTTGTACTGCGGAGCACAAATCAGATAGAATACGTTATTCTATTCTGAATCTCAATATCTATAAGTCAGACGAAAAAAAAATTAATGTCATCTGAAAGCGTAGACAATAATTAAGACTTTCCGACGATAAAATCAAATTCGTTCTATGTTACCACAGAACGTTATTCTACGCACGGTGCGAAATGAAAACCTTGCGGCCAGTTAAATACAAAGGATGTTGTATTGCATTGTGTTGTATTCACTTTCCATGGCGGGTCCATAGATGATTGTCTTAGGACTGAATATGACTATAGGACTAATCTATCGTGACTAGAAATTGCATCTTATCTCATTCTCTATTCCCTTCACTAGGAATTTAAACGAGGGGGTAAATCCGCGTATTGTGAACTGGTCATATCCAGCGAATCTTGCCTTACTTGATTCAAAATGTACTCGCTGTCAACAGGTACAATCATGGAAAGAAACGGACAATCTAAGACGAATTTATCATGTAAAAAAGAACTTGCCGAACAGTACAAAATATGAGAAAAATAGGTACACATTTTTCTCTAGCCTGTTTCTGTTTCTGTCTTAATCTGGCACTGGCTTAAGATGTTGGCTTTCTTCAAATTTTTTTGGAAAATTTATTGAGCCATCCTTATCGTAGATGATTTAATTTTTCTAGATTTTCTGCTCCTATATAGTGATGTTAGTCAGTTCCCGGCCCTATCCAACAGCAGTCATGATACAAATTCTTATCAGTTTAAATTTGAATTCCGAAAAACATATTTTCGTCTGTTGCAGTTGTAACCGAAAAGGCAAAAATTAGAAGTCATGTTGCTATTACTTCCGGAAAGCGACGCGATTGAAATTTATCAACAATCATTTTATGAGTTCTACAATGGAATGAATTTTCTGATTCTCAGATTTTAAACATTTATTCAAAGGAACAGCGAACAGATCAACTCACTATCTTTACTATTTTTAGCAGATAGTTTTCTTATCTTGCTATAAATTTGTTTTTTGCTTTTTATTGTTTTGTTTGTAAAAAATATTTGTGATCATTTTCGATCGCTTTATTCGGTTCACATTCACAAAGGGTCTGAAATATGCATATATTTAGTGATAATTGTATTTATTATTATTTAAAAATGTATTAGGTGTAAACCTCAAAAAAACACCTAAACAAAAGGCAAACTTAACAATAAGAGAAAATTAGACGCAGATGGGAAACAACAACAAAACGTGAAAAAAAAATTAAAGAAAAATAAATAAAAAGATACAAAAAATCAAAAGGTATATTAAATAGAAATATACTTTACACAAACTAAAATACTATACATATTAACTTGTTAAATACACACAAATTACAACATTAATACATAAACATTATATAAACTTCTGACGCGTATATGTCACTGAACTCCTCCTAAACGGCTGGACCAATTTTAATGAAATTTTGTGTCTTCAGGTCTATTCGAGAATGGTTTAGATTCAGAATTCGGTCCAGTACATTGTTTTTAAATATTTTTATATATTTACAACGTCTGTCGTGTCCGCTAGTATATACATATATTTATGCATATTTAATACATATATAATGATACATTTAATGACTAACAATCGGCAAAATTGGCATAGTGACATCGCAGATTTTTTTTTAAATTGGTGCGTTTCTGATGAACTGAGGCAAGGAGTTCCGGAGTAGTATAGTCTGAATAGGTAAAGATTTGGATGTCCTACGCCATCTTCGGATCAATTTAGCAAAGAGCAAATTTGGCGTCAGTTGTCTAATCCAAGCACTATTTACAACACGTTATTTACCGTCTTATATTATTAGTCTCGATGTCTTAAAAAATACGAATTTAAGACCTTGTATCAGTGATGACATAAGAAAAAAATCTTACTGAAGAATGCATAAAATAATTTTTTAACCAACCACCAACCACTACACGACATACACACATGCCATGAGACCTTTAAATCATCTTCTAATATATAAATTTCTCGTTACATATAGATAATTATTTCAGAAACTAGCATATAGCTAAATATATATTATGATTTCTACATTGTGTATGAACACATTTTACTTAAGAATGCAACTTACGTTTCTTATTTATTCCAGTAAACTAAAGTTAAATATTTATTCATTATCTATTTTTATTTCATTATTATTATCAACAAAAACTTGGCAACCTTTTAATCTAATGAAAGCTTTTACTCCTATTAAATTTGTAATGAACGAAATTGCCTAATTAATTCCCCATAGGCGATACTGAATAGAAAATAAAGGAAATTGAATGACACTAAATTCTAATTTTTTCGAGTTGTTGTCGACAGTTGGACTATCAAAATGGATCCAAAAGTTCAACTGGCTCGCGAGTACTGCAAATTGTTAGATAGTAAAATACTATGGTTACTTAAGTTTACTGGATACCTCAGATTTGCGACCAACAACGGTCATATTGTCAAAAGGAACGCTACCACCGCCTTCGTGCGATGCTTAAACTCAATAATCTCCGGCAATTCTTCGGCGTTTTACATGTTCTACGTGTTGAGCTGGAAAGAGAATTACTTAATACAATCCGAAGTGATACTTTTAATGTTGATCGCCGTATTACAGAACAGCATATTGCTAAACATAGCCGGCCCAAACAGAAACACCGGCTTGGTATTGCTAAATTATTGTATGGAGATCGACTGCCATCTAGGTATTAAGCCGACGAAGTTCATGAGGGACATCGTTGTTAGGACGTTCCTAACATTATCGATCTTCATCTTTTCATTTCAAGCAATTATTGTCACTGTATTGGTGTTTGCGTACAAAACTCCACTATCCATACACGTAGTCGGCACTATTTACTTCACGCTGCTTTTCATGATCTACTATGACATTTGTTTCCTTCTGACGTTTTACGCTTTCTTAGCGCTGAGGGTGCATTACTTGAACGTGGCTATAATAAAGCGGGCCGGCGTGAATGCAGGTTACTTTCCGAAGCAATTTCTTTTCCACAAACTCCTATGGAGAAAAGAGTTCGACAACTTGGTGACCTTTCATAAGTTCGCAACGATTGAACAATTTTCTGAAGGGTTTAAAATAATCTTCAATATACTACAACACGTAGAAAAGTGTTATCGTTTTTCGGTAAGCTTCGAGAATCATTTTTCTTAAAGATTTTTTTTGTCATAAGAAAATATATTTTTAATTCAATTTTAGATATTTATGGGCATGTGCGCTGTTACATTGGGCACATTCAATTCTGTTCCAGTACTTGTAACAACAGGCAAATCACCGGCAAGTTTTTTACTTATCTATTTTTTCATTTATGTTATAAAATTAAGTTTTATTGTTCAAGATGGTTAACCGTTTTTCAATCCTTGTACGTAGACGGCATGTGATTAAGTAAGTAATTTATATGGTCGGAAATTATACAATTATATTAAAAATGGTTATTCTCCTCGCTAACTTTTAACACTTAGATATATATGTTCAAAGAATTTCTTTTTAGCTTCATAAAAAAATTGACATAGAAGTATAAAAATTTATATCATCTAAACACTAATGAATCTCCATACATTCTTTAACCATACATTTTCTACATTTTAGGACTACAGCTTCTTACGAAAAGTTTGTGTAATTGGTTGGGTCATTGTTGGGTGGTTGTATGAATACGGTATCGGTCAACAAACTGATCTATTTTGCCATCAGATAGATATGACGAAACTAATTTGCACCTATATACAATTGAAACCAAGGAGCAGTGGTAAGATCTCCATTGCATTACTTATGTTCATTGAAATGTTAATAGTATGCACTCACCACTCATTTACGCCATAAGCATCTGCCTACCGATATTTTTATAAGTTCAGCTGTTCAGCATAATTCTTAGTACCTTTCAAGCATCATCTTGGTCACTTGCGTATTTTATTAACAAAGGCGGATCATTAGGAACATCCTATTAATTCGAATGATTTCTTTTTATAATGCCACGTCAGTTGAATGTCCTATGGATATTTTTGTCTTCCACTCGCTTAGCTTTATAGGATAAGTCAAACATTTTCCATTCGATTTTGTATCCTCGAGTAATCGTTACGACTGGAAACAAAATGACCGGTTCTTTTCTCTTTTAAAGATAAGATATAATGAATCAACGAGAAAATGCAGCTAGCATTCAAAGCACGATGGCAAATTTGTTTGATTACGTAAATAAACATATAAAAACTTGAAAATAAATATTCTTGCCAATGATTTAGTATAATGGATCCATAGGAAAAAATTACATTATTGTCATTCATCATCATCATCATTTCAGCCTGTTTGAGTCCACTGCAGAATGTAGGCCTTCCCCATAGACTGCCATGATCCGAAGCCACCTGTATCCATCGCCTTCCCGCACATTTTCAAAGGTTCTCACTCCATGTAGTGGAGGGTCGTCATACACTTAGACGGTCTACTACTATGCGATAGTATTTTTATTAAAATTAATTACCAACAATCAACATATATTAACTTATAAACATATATATAACTTCATTTGACGCCTGTAACTTCTTTTACGCAATATCTGAAGTTTTTTCAGTATCTTTTTTTTTGTTATTCTCATTCAATAGGCTAAGAAAAAATGTTTCTTTCAAGCATTTGGTAAATTGTAATTCATTTCGTGGTTTCAATCTTCAATATTTGCACGAGATAAGTATATCGGAATTAGTAATTATTATTCCGAGGCTGGGGTAAACATACATAGTGTACGGGACACAATTTAACATACATGAAATTTTGCTGCAACCTATTCCTATCGTAAAATATTAAGTATTAAACGTTTTTCTGAAATTATAAAGAGGTTAAATGTATTTGCTTGTATTTTACGGGTATTTTCCGACACAACTAAATTTAAATCTTTCATTATCCATTCAACCTATAAGTTTATAACTGTACAAATCAGTAAGAACTATTTTAACTGTGGTAGGACCACGCAATAGTGTTCGCTGTTGTACGAATGGGCAGGTCCGTCCGGGTAAGTACCACGACCTCACATAAGACCAGCGTTAAGTGGAAGTGTGTCTTCTGTGTTGCGTCTGGTGAGTGAGGTGGCAGGGGCCCACTTTATTAAAAGGTGGCAACGCATCTGCAACTCTACTGGTGTTGCAAATGTCCATGGGCGGTTGTTATCACTTAACATCAGGTGAACCGTCAGCTCGTTTGCCACTTTCTCACATAAAAATAATAACAATGTATTTAGACTTAGTTTCTGAATACGGCCTTAAATTATAAATTGAAGAATATAAAACAACGAAATGTTCATAATTTAATTATTTAAGATTTTCATTCCTTAAATAATATAGAAGTATTTATTAAAACATGTAGAAAAAGTACGAAAAGATTGTCGCCGCTGTGGGAATCGAACCCACGTCTTCGGCATTCGCGGCCTGACGCTTTAACCACTGAGCTAAACGGCTGATAGCCACAGCGACGAAAATCTTAACGCCTTTTTTTACATTGTTATTTAGCATTTGAAGCAATGCTTGGCGCATCTATTGTTATATCCTTTCCAGCATACAAACCAAGCATTGCTTCAAGAAGACGTGGGTTCGATTCCCACAGCGGCGACAATCTTTTCGTACTTTTTCTACATGTTTTAATGTTCAATCTTAAGTGCAGAGATTAGCACTATAAAAAACTTTAAAATTTAGAAGTATTTAGTTATATTAAACTGAATTAAATTAATCAATGCATGTATCCAATAGCTGTTACAACTGTAGTGCCAAGTAAGTCTTATTTTTGTATGAATGCTAGGTCCGACCGGGGAAATACCATGACCTCACAGAAGACCGGCGCGAAGTGGAAGTGTTATACTTCTGCATTTATCCTTATTAGTGAGGTAGCCGGGGCCCACTTTATTAAAAAGCGGCAACCCATCTGCAACCTACGGGCCTTGCAAATGTGCATGGGCAGCAGCAACCCCCTAACATTAGGTAAACCCCCAGCTCGCTTGCCGCATTCTCACAATAAAAAAAATTAAATGCAATTAATGTATTAATTCCAGATGAGATTTTAAAGTTAACGCGGAGCATCTTAAACACATTGGAGATCCGCGAACCTCGACTCTCCCTCTACGGAATGTGTTTCCTGAACACTGGTCTAGTGCTCCGCTTCGCTGCGTCCATTTTCGTTTACATCACCGTGCAACTTCAAATCTTGATACCGGCGTTCGAAGAAACCAAACAGGAGCCCGCGACGCTCTCGCGAAACGGAGTTTTCCTTTTCGGCTGGGGTTTTTGAATCTCGCTTTTGAACCTTCACTGTTTTCTGTCACTGCCGTGAAATGGTGCACTGAATAAAATATTGGGTTGGCAACTAAGTAATTTATTTTTAATTGTAGTAAAAGTTTTGTTTATACTTTGGATGAAGTTTAATCTATAATGTATTTTCAATTTTGTTTGATGACTTTTTTGCCGTCTCTCTGACAACTTGAAAATTCCACGCTCGTAGAAAGTCTGATCCTTTTCGGCCAAAAACTGAGTTAAGTGAAATTTAAAAAGCGTCCTCATCATTGAAAATGTTATCTCGAAGGGAGTTGTCCAGAAGTGAAGTAATAGTATAATAATACACTAGAAAGTCCCCAATTGACCGATTTTGGCGAAATCCATACTGGCGGACGCTGAGAGGTTTTGTGTTCTAAAAACGCCATGAGGTGGGCGTTCAATATACACTTCATACATAATCTTACAGAAAGACAGAATGGAGGTAGGTGAAATTGGTCTGTAATTGGCAGAATCGGCACGACTACCCTTTACTGGAATAGACTGCACATTCGCAAGCTCCCAAGTCCCTAAGTCCTGAACTTAGAGATTACTCCATTCTCAAATAAGAGGCGGAACAGGAGACAACTTGGGTGCACAAGCCTTCAAAAATAACGCCGGTATACCGTCTGACCCACTAGCTTTATTCACGTCTAGACTCTTTAAGGCTTTTAAGACCTCTCTATGTTCTTATTGACCATCGATGACCATATGTCTATTATTATAAAAAAAGTATTATTTAAATCATAATTCTTTAATAAGCAAAATAAGTGAAATGGAATGGATTTGAAATACAAAATTATGTATAGTAACACACCAATGGCCAAAAGGAATGTTTCGCACACAAACCACTTCAACGATTTACATAGCTTAATTGTACTGTTAAATTATTGATGGTCTTTCGGCTAAGCTGTTCAAATTTAAATAACAATGCTGACGGAAAGTACTTCGCAATCATTTACCTCGTGCGCAATTTATATTAGTTCAGGTGTTACATTAATCATAATATATATATATATATATATATATATATATATATATATATATATATATATATATATATATATATATATATATATATATATATATATATATATATATATATATATATATATATATATATATATATATATATATATATATATATATATATATATATATATATATATATATATATATATATATATATATATATATATATATATATATATATATATATATATATATATATATATATATATATATATATATATATATATATATATATATATATATATATATATATATATATATATATATATATATATATATATATATATATATATATATATATATATATATATATATATATATATATATATATATATATATATATATATATATATATATATATATATATATATATATATATATATATATATATATATATATGTATATATATATATATATATATATATATATATATATATATATATATATATATATATATATATATATATATATATATATAAATATATAACCTTGTATATACATACTTATATACATATATATATATATATATATATATATACATATATACTTATATATATATACATATATACTCATAAACATATATAATAATCTGATGGTAGCAAATATAAAACAAAAACAAAAAAAAAAAGGAAAGAAGAAAAAGAAAAAAAACTATACAAATTAAAGTCTTCAAGAAATGGTCACGGAGCAGTCTTTTAAAGGAGATCTTACTGGGCGCTTTTCGTATGTCATCGGGCAAGGAATTCCAGAGTAGTGTAGCCTTGACTGTATAAGAGTTACTCAAGAACCCGGTGAGATGAGGAGGAATAGTTAACTTGTTGTTAGTTGTAGACCGAAGAACTTTATTTTTAGATAATGACAGATATTGAAACTTATCCCTTAAATATGGAGGCGAAGAGGAATCGTTCAAGATGGAAAACAGAACGAGAAGAATTCTGGAATCGCGCCTCTGGCGGATATTCAACCATTTAAGCTGAGATCTAAAATGCGATACATGGTCATACTTACGTAGGCCAAAAATAAAGCGGATGCAGTTATTGTGAAGGCGTTCCAGCTTGAGGAGAAGATCTTGGGATAGGTCTGAGTAACACACATCTGCATAACCGATGATTGGCAAAATGAGGGATTGGACTAGCATAAGCTTACTTTGAGAGGGGAGAAAATTCTTTAAACGATAAAGAGACCGCAGGGTGGCAACGACTTTGCGGCTGATATTTGAAACTTGATCTCTCCAATTTAAACTGTTGTCAATGCGGAGACCAAGATTTTTCACAGATGAACTGTACGGTATTAATATATCATTATAAAGCACAGGTGGTAAGCTATCAACGTTAATCTTGGCCAGCATCCTTGAGCTTCCAGCTAGCATCGCCTGACATTTCAGAGGATTGACAAGCACTCCATAACGAAATGACCAGTCCTTAATAATTTTTAAATTATGGTTTATTGATTCAATCCCGTTATGGAGGTCATCAATATGAGATTGAACATAAAGCTGCAGGTCGTCGGCATACAGATGATACGAGCAATTAATTTCGGATGTGATCTGGTTAATAAAAAACTGAGAAAATAATGGGAGAGAGTATTCCGCCTTGCGGAACGCCAGCTTCAAGGTTAACCCACGATGAGGTATTATGACCTAAGTTGATTGATTGCTGACGTCCGCGAAGATAGGAAGTGAACCATTCTAAGGCAGATGGGGCGAAATTCAAATAAGCTAGGATGGCAAGAAGGATATCATGGTCGACTGAGTTAAAAGCATTTGAGAAGTCAATAAGTACCATCACTGTTATTTTTTTATCTTCCATACCACTTCTTATATCATCTGTGACTTTAATTAAAGCAGTGGTGGTGCCATGACCAGGGCGAAATCCGGACTGATATGTGCTTAGTAGGTTATTATTGGCTATAAATAAAGAGAGTTGCTTATGTACACAAGCTTCAAGAATTGCGGTTACACTTAACATCCGGTGAACCACCAGCTCGCTTTCCTACCTCTCATAAAAAAAATCATTATGATACGAGTAAAGCCACCACCCACATCTTTGACCACTCAAAGACTGACAGAGTTTGCTTGGGAAGTGCTATTGCATCTAAAATACAGCCCTGACCTTCCAACCTGGTAATGTTAACAGTTTCGGTCTCTTCAAAATTCTTTGAGAAGTTTTAGATTAACATCAATAAAGTGCTGTCAAACCTACTTGTCGCACTGTTTTGACCATAAGTCCCAAATTTCTCGATTCGGGATTAGGTTACTAGGGTTACCACTTAGGTTAATACCTACAAGATGGCAAAAAGAATAATAAAAATTGAATATAATGAAACTTTTAAAAAAATGTCATGAATTTGTATATAAAAACGAAGAACCTTTTCCCCGGCCTAACGTGTCGTACGTTTCTTAATATGTGTTTTTTTTTTCTATTTCAGTACGCTATGCCTGCAGACAGTAAGTAATTCAATAATAAAATAGCTTCTCAAATCTCAAAATATTCTTAACAAATATCTAGTTAAAATAACAATCATAATAATAACATATGGTTAACTACTTACTTTTGAGACATATATTTCATAATATTGCCTCGCCTTTTATACTTGTACAGGCACTACATTCATTTTCTAACTATTGCGCGATTATTTATGCACATTCGACAAATAAATTATATACAACTAATGATATGTGGAATGAACTGAGGTATAGTGATCGTCAAACATCTTGAAAAATTCATTCGGTCAGGCAGCAGTCGATTTTTAGATCTCCACCGGGCACCGAAGGGAGCTGGAGAGAATATTCACATCACTACGCGATCGGTTGCACGAAAGGTATTAACTGGATGTTTGTGCTTTCAGTCCCGAGACTATTTAAGCTTCATCTGACGCAGAACCGGTGGGCTAGCCAGAACCGACGGGTTTGGGCCCTCCGCTGTGGGTAGGGCCGCGCATGTGCTCATGCGTGCGTAGCACGAAAGGGAACATGCGCTTTCCCCCACTTGTCTTGTGTCTTAGTCTTTACCCGAGTAATTTGCCGGTTGTTATAATTACACTTTCAGAGTTTGTCAACATGCGTGCCACATTACGGGTATCATTAACTTTCAGAGGTTGTCAACATGCGTGCAACATCCCGGGTATTACCTTTCAGAGGTTGTAAACATATGCGACACATCCCGGGGGTCATTGAATTTCAATGGTTGTCAACATGCGTGCCACACCCCGGGCATCATTACTTTTCAGAAGTTGTAAACGTTTGTGCCACATCCCATGTCTGATCAAGTCTATGGATGACGGTTCCTACTGAGTTGTCCTTCATGTGGACAACTTACGCGGGTACCATCCAATTGAAAAAAAAATAGAGCCATAGCAAACCGAAACACTGCTCGTAACTTTTAATTTTTTCTTTTTGTGTTTACGGGTACTGAAGGTACCTTACACATCATAATCTTATATTTTTTTCCAATCGAGTTAGGGTAAGTTACAAACATGTAATATGTAAATTATTCGTACGCAAAAATTGAACTAGCTAAATGTCAATTTCCATATGTCGTTACAGTGAATTAACACGAGGAAGTAGCTTTATTTCGTATTTAGATTGATGTGACACAGTATTTTTGTCTATAGCTGAGACGACGTCGACTACTCCATCTCCAGGGGCAATGACCTATATGAAAAAATCACTTAATGATTGGAGTTTAGCTATGAGGAGTGCTATGTCTGGCAAGTAACATATAACTCTGTAATTTCTTGTTGTGTTTAACTTTTTATAGGCGATGTATTGATTTTGACAAAATTTATAGGTACATTTTCAAACAGCAATAGAAATATGTATAAAGAAATCAATATTTTCGGATATATTTTTATACATCGTTCTCTAGTCCCAAACTAAGCAACGCTTGTACAAAGGGTACTAGTTAACTGATAAACATACTTAAACATACTTTTCTTTTGTAAATAAATACATGTTATAAATATATAAACACCCAGACACTGGAAAAACACCATGTTCATCACACAATATTTTTCCAGTAGTGAGAATCGAACCCACACCCTCTGGCGCAAGAGGCAGGTGCGCCACCCACTACGCCAATCGGATCGCCAACAAAATCAAACCTGGATCTTACATCTTAATTGGGCATTTTTTTAAACACGTCGCGATAAAGTTTCTCGATGGTAAAATCATGAAATAACCTCTAGAAGTAAAATTGAAAGGCAAAGTATGCATCATAATAGATCGAACCTAAATAATATGAATATCAGTAATATAAAATATTTATTCATAAATTTAACCCGAACGCGAAAAATATATGAATGAAATTGAAATGATAAAGTATTTAATGATAAATACTCCTCGTAAAAATTTATAAATAATGAAAAGTTGGTTTATATACGGAAAGATTGTTCGCCAACTGTTTCTTTCAACGTTGAACAGATGCTGATGTAAAGTCATAAATATTTAATCGTAATAGATAAGTTATTAATCTTATTTATCAAAAAAAATATCTTATAAAAGAAAATAAAAAAAAATAAAGCAACATAATGTTATAGTATTTGGTACGGATTTGAACCCGATCCATAAAGATAATGATGTATAAAATATAGCACCGATAGGCCGATCGGTCCTTAGTTATAGAGGATGTCTGTTCTAATCGTATTAGCCGTCTGGACAGTATGCCCCTGCCCCTCTTATGGTTGCGTATAGATAGCGACGACCATCCTTAAGTCTATGCGTGCCTCTTTAAGTGCTATAGCGATAATACCGAGAAGACCGTATGATTGTCTACGTTGAGATCATGACTAACAATCAGTGTTATATGTAATTAACAAAATAAAATTAAAACTTTAAATAATAAATAAATACGTAATATATTTCGTGATGATAAGCGGAAAATGCAACGTCCCGACGGTGCGACGTTTTGGCTGGAGGAAATTTTAATTAATAAAATTAGTAGTTCCTAATGTATTAAATCGACATCAAAAAAGGGTTCATTTATAATCTATATTTTACTTCCTATGCCTATGAATGTCACTTCTGAAAAATATAGCGTGAGCATGTTTCAAGCAACCTCTTAGATGTAAGATCAAGGTTAACACATATTTTTTTGCTAATTTAAATATACGAATTTTTTTAAAAAGGCCTATGAAAAACTGATGTCTACTACATATTAAAATACTACAATTATATCTTTTTACTATGCAATAACGTACCTACGTTGTTTTACAGGTAACTTATTCAAATAGATGGAAGCAGCACACGCCCGGTGAACTATAGGACATTAATGATGTAAATCGTTTCAAAATATCACATCCCTCTTTGCACATATCCGTTGGGAACATTAAACACTCAGATTAGCACTGAATATACGTCTCATCCACGTTTTATTTAACATCCAAAGTACACCAGCGCGGTATCTAATTATGTTCTTCTCGAAATAAAAAATAATATACATATATATATATATATCCATGTTTAAGCCAATTCTCGTTCATAGCATGACAGACGGCAAGACTGTCGCCGTAATCTGGACACAAACATGAGACCGTCGCTTTTCTTTCGTATGTAGTAAATCCGAAAGCACCATTGGGTTTTAAATTTATTGTTGTTATTTAAAAAACAAAACCCACACTATAGTATAAGATATTCCTATGATGTAGAGTAGAACAGACAACAAAATCCGGAACAATCATCTGTAGGTCATACAAAGCTGGTAAGTTTTTTACGGGTGGATTTCTTGCAGTGAAACGAATATAAGAATGTTGTACTATTTTATTTGTGCCAAATCGAAAATATAAAAATATAACACAGTACGCTTTATAAATGACAATAATTCTTAACGTATATTAACGATTTGTTGTACTAAAAAATAAACATCGTATCCATGTTCTCATAGTATACCTAGTATTTTTTTACAATTATTTGTTTGTCGTGATAACTGACAAATGGACGTTGAATTTTAACTTGATACATAAATGGATCCACAAATAAAAATATCGGCGTTAATTAATTTAAATTATAAGTTTGAACAATATTAATCAATTCACAAATACAATACACAATAAACAAGAGTATATATGCGCGTGTGTGTTAAATACATGGTAGTGTGTGTTTTCTATATTGGTTAAATGTATTTTTATGCAGAATGAAGAAAAATATTCTATATCTATATAAACTATAAGTGTGGGAAATTACATAATCCCCCGTCCGCGCAATTTTCGTAAAAAGGGGTACAAAGTTTTAGCTTCACGGCGCCCCAACTTAATAAAAAAATCTACAGCCGCTCGCATGACTGTCTCAAATAGCCATTTTCTTCATTTTTCTTTTTTACAGGCACAAATTTATTTCTATCGTAGGTCGCCAATTCTAACTTCCCTTTTGGGGTCACGCTCGAAGTAAAATAATACGAATTCATTACATAGACAGGTGCATTAAATATTCAGAATCATGAGTGACGAATACTTGTATCACTAATTGGAAGCCCCCACGTTTTAGTATTTATCCAGCTGAATAAAATTCCAAAAGGTCGAAAATAAATGGAGCTACAAACACGCCAGCACTAATACCAACGCAAAGCCTCCGGCGTGATTATAAACATCCCACAAATTATGACCACCGAACAAAAATTTTATGACATCACTGAAAAAACTTTTTACAATGATGAATTTCGAATGTGGTATAAAAAATAATAACAAACCAGAAAGCCCCTAATGATTTTACCGAATGAATATTGGCAGTCGAGATTTGTCTCCGAAAAGTATAATTATAGAGACTACGTTTCCTACCAGCTAGATTTAAACTTTACATAGTACATAGCGCCAGTTCGGATTGGCACGGAATTCTATCTCGCCTACGGGAGTGGAAACCTCAGTACTCTGCAATTAATATTGCACATCGGGTAACTACCACGACCTCACAGAAAACCAACGTGGAGTGAAAATGTTACACTTCTGCATTTCGTCTGGTGAGGTAGCCTGCGTCCAATTTATTAAAAGGGGGCGACGCATTTGCAGCCCTACAGATGTTGCAATTGTTAATGGTTGGCGGTTATCAATTAACATGAGATACACCAGCTCGATTGTCACCTTCTCACATAAAAAAGCTATCTTTATCACACAGTCTCTGTTAATACATCATGCGACAGAGATAACTTTACAAAGCCGAAATCAGCCAACTGTCTTTTTCTAAAGGTATTCTGTATTGTTTAGGTTACATTAACAGAGGTCACTTACTTTTACTTTTATCTATCATAAGAATGTCAATATCTGAGGAATTGTGAGTACTGCCTGTATTGGCAATTCGTTGACTTGTGTTGACCTTGAGTTGGAAATTAGCTTGACATTCTGCTACGCTCGTTCTCTCTAACGAATGATTTGCAACAATACGACGTATTAAAGGCTGAGTTTGCATTCGACACGTAAGACTTCAAACCTCTGACACATATGGCATACATTCTGCTCTCTCGCACCTCCCTATTTTCTCTATTAAGTCCGCCATTGTAAGCTTGTGTACAAAAAGTTTTTAAAATGAAAACCTACCCTCGGTTACGTTTAAAGTGTCCTGGTCTTTTCACAAAGACTTCAGTGCGGTTGCAAATGGTTTTGTGACTTTAGTCAGTCAACAAAAAAAAATCATAAAAAAACAACGAACGATATGTAGATGTAGCGTAATATTTTCTTCAAAATAAAAATCATTATTTATAATAAAAAACACCATAAAAACATGACGAGGCAAGTCGAATAGCAAACAATTAATTCGTTGAAATAACATTAAAAAACAATAACAAATATGATTAAACATGGCAGTTAAACTTACAAAAAAACTATTACTAAAAAGTATTGAACATAAATTTGTATTTTACCCTGTAAACTAACTTCTAATTTATGAAAAAAAGACTTATAGCTTAAAGCTCCTAAGGAACATAAACACAATTAGCAATAATTTCTATTCTATGGTCAAGTGTCTTTTTGTGAACATTGACAACGAATCAGTGTTTAACAAAAAATACAAAAAAATGTACATACAATAAAATTTTATGAACAGAGATGGATACGCTTTTCGAATTTTATGATAAAACTCACAGTTTTATGCGACTGAAAATCGAAGGAATGTAGTGATCGTTTAATGTACGCGAGTATTGGTGAATAGATTTCTACGGGTTGTTATCTGTTTTCATTTTGGTTATTGATTTCCTAAGTTTGATTTGCTTTAATGACAAAATAGGTTAGGTTTAACATAAATAACCCGCATATTATTCGAGAAAATTATTGTGAAACTGTTCGAGACATAAATGGACAAATATTTCAGGACATATTTTTCCTACAAAATTATCTAGTCTCAATGTAAGCGAAGCTTGTGCGAGTACTATGGGCACTATAGGTATTTGATAAACAAACTTTTCTATATAAAAAAATATTACAGATAGATAAACACGCCCACACTATGTCGTCACACGGTCTCCAGTAGTGGGGATCGAACCCACAACCTCTAACAAAATGGATAGGCCTCTAACAAAATGGATCGTTAATTAGACCTTTATATAAGCACCCCTTTCCTGTCTCTACGCATGTTGAAAGGTGCAGAAAGGTTCGAGGCAATGGAGTTGTTGCTGCCCATAGGGTCCTGTTTCTGCTGAGTTCGATCTGCACTGGACCTCTTGTCCTTCGTCATCTGACTTACCTGCAAAAGTAAAGTAACAACCTATAAATGTTCCACTGCTGGGCAAAGAAGGCTTTGACCACGCGACACCACTGCGGATTGACGCACTTCATGTATTTTGGAAACATTTTCTTTGTTAATATTCCGCAAATATGCAGTTTTCCTCACGATATTTTCCTTCACCGCTGAGCACGTGATTAGTGATTAGAATTAACAATTTCATTGGTGCCGGCACCAGGGATCGAGCTCAGGTTGCCCGAGTATACTGAATTAAAAGCTCCATGCAAACATGACAGAAATACAAAAACAGAAGACGGGCGTGAAGTGGGGGTGAAATATTGCTGCATTTCGCCTTGTGAGTGAGGTAGCCGGGGCCCACTTTATTAAAAGGTGACAACGCGTGGGAAATCGCTTACGGCTTCGTCGAGACTTTCCGAACATAAGATTTCAAGTGATACAGATGAAAAATAAGCCTAAGGTCATACGGAATCGAGTGTTAAATCGCTTGCGAAGTCGTCGAGGCGTTCCGAACATAAAGTTTCAAGTGATACAGATGCAAATAAACCTAATGTCGTACGGAATTGAGTGTTAAATCGTTTACGGCGTCGTCGAAAACTTCCGAAGGTAAAGTTTCGAACGATACAGATGCATAATGGGCCCAATGTCGTCGGTGATAAAGTGGCAAATCGCTTACGGCCCAATGTCGTCGGTTCCGAAGGTAAAGATAAACCCAATGTGTCATAAAGTGGCAAATCGCTTACGGCGTCGTCGAGAACTTCCGAAGGTAAAGTTTCGAACGATACAGATGCATAATGGGCCCAATGTCGTCGGTGATAAAGTGGCAAATCGCTTACGGCGTCGTCGAGAACTTCCGAAGGTAAAGTTTCGAACGATACAGATGCATAATGGGCCCAATGTCGTCGGTGATAAAGTGGCAAATCGCTTACGGCGTCGTCGAGAACTTCCGAAGGTAAAGTTTCGAACGATACAGATGCATAATGGGCCCAATGTCGTCGGTGATAAAGTGGCAAATCGCTTACGGCGTCGTCGAGAACTTCCGATGGTAAAGTTTCGAACGATACAGATGCATAATGGGCCTAATGTCGTCGGTGATAAAGTGACAAATCGCTTACGGCGTCGTCGAGAACTTCCGAAGGTAAAGTTTCGAACGATACAGATGCATAATGGACCTAATGTCGTTGGTGATAAAGTGGCAAATCGCTTACGGCGTCGTCGAGAACTTCCGAAGGTAAAGTTTCGAACGATACAGATGCATAATGGACCTAATGTCGTTGGTGATAAAGTGGCAAATCGCTTACGGCCTCGTCGATGGCCCTGAACTGCCAGTTCCAGTGCACGCGGTAGAGGAAGGGCCGGTGGTCGAAGCGGTTGTCGTCCGGGCTGTACGTCTCCGCGTGGTAGCTCGGCGTGAGGACGGTCATCTTGTGCCTGTTGATCGCGTAGCAGCGGAAGAAGTGCTTCACCTTCTCCGCCACCTGAAACGCAACTCACCGGCATAATTCACCATCCCCACCACGTTTCTTTTTTCAATACAAGTCAAAGTATGTTTATACAATATAGGCTTAACTTGAGCTCTTGTTGAACGTCAACAAAGAATCTACCGCCGGCTCACTAAACTGGACCTGAACAGAGAAGAACCGGCAAGAAACGCTCGTTCCCTTAGCCCACCTTTTTTTTTGGTATCGGGGGGAAATCTTCAAAAGATACCTGTCACCTTACATGACAGGGTTGTGTGGGATTTTTATCCACTAAAAGCGCCTCGGTGGCCAACTAGTGTGCGTTTGGAGGGACTCTGGGATCTCCCACGGAACGCACCGGTGTCCCTCGATACTGCGCGGTACCACGCATCGTAAACCTTCCCCAATTCCCTCACCATCTTGCAACAGCTCGAGACCACTACGAGCTGCTACCAATCCGTGTCCCCTTTTATGCCCGGTTCCTATATTCAACTAACGGCCGTTAGTTACATAGCTTCGTAACTTTCATAACGACCTGTAGATTAAAAGAACGCTAGTAACTCACTTTCCGTAGGTAATGCAACGGCTCGTAAGGAAAACGCCTCGAAGCTATGTAACTATCGGTCATTCGTTAAATATAGAAACCGAGCATTAGTCGTCTTTTACGATGGGTATAACGGATAACTTAGCCCTATTTTGTTACCCCACAGACCGGGTTCTCGCCTTGACGTGGCTGAGGGGCTTAGTAGCCGTGGCTTGGTCCCCCACGGCGAAGCTAAGAGGAACCCACACTGGGCCAGCCCACCCGAGAGGGCCGCTCCGAGTGGGCTGCAGGGGACAGGTCGAGGGTGGTAGAGGTGGAGCCACTCTCCCTGTCTTCTGCTACCGAGAAGGAGTCGCGGGCGGAGAGGAGTGCCGGTATTGCGTTGGCCGCGCTCCTTATTCTCCGCGACTCGGCGGGGCCGCACCGTTGTTGCCGTAGTGATGGGGCCACGGGGGGAGAGAAGTCTCGGCATTGCGTTGGCCGCGCTCACTATCCCACACTGGGGATACGGATTGGCCACAGACCAGGACCGCCGCTGGTGGCTGGGAGGCTTGATGCTTATTGGCATTTACTCTCCTGGCTCCTGGGCCCTGGTCAGCGAACTCGGGGGAATTGGTTGGCCGGGAAAATGGAACGAATAGGAAAGCGCGCTAATTGTTCCAGCGCGCATTCCTTAAAAAAAGCCCTATTTTCTGAGCCCGATACTACAGTGAGTACTGTGGGCGGCCCTGGACAAAGTCCACAGGGCGTGTTACCTCTTGCGGTGTGCACTTGTCGCTCCACGCGTGCACCAGCTTCTGGAACATGCTGTAGGGGCCGCAGTGGTGGGTCTTCCGCAGGCGGCCGAACTCGGAGAGCTCCGCGTACGTCATCCCCATGTCCTGCTCATCGGTCTGCGTAATCTGGCCGTCGGTCAGCGGCTCCAGCTCGGCGGTGGGCGGCGCCTGCAGTATCTCGGACAGCGAAGGCAGGAAGAATCTGCAAGCCAAGGATTACATGAATGAATGAATGAATGAATACTTTATTGTCCAACACACACAAAAGGATACACAAAATGAACAATAGACAAACAAATAAATGGAATGCACAATTTGGCTGCCTTATCTCTTCATAGCGATCTGTTCCAGGCAACCAATAACGTAAATTACATCTGACCATCCACCGTCATTCTTCACCGTGATATACATAAAGTAGAGTAACAGCATTTATATGTCCCACAGCTGGGCAAAGGCCTCATCTGCACTGAAGATATGAGGGTTAAGACCACCACGCGACCCCACTGTGGATTTGCGGACTTCAAATATCTTCGAAATATTTATTTTATTATTTAGAATATGTGCAGGTTTCTTCACGATGTTTTTCTTCACCGCTGAGTACATAATAAGTCAGCAGTTAAAATTAACGATTTCATTGGTGCCGGTACTGCGGTTCGGACTCGGGTTGCTCGAGTATACTACATTAAAAGGTAATGTACAATCTGATGTTAGGTCATGATGCAACACGAACATAGGGTTGCCGTTTGTATAAGAGAGCCCCGATTACCTCACTAAGCAAACGGAACGCGGAATTTCGCGAGATACACGTGACGTGCGTGCGGGAAGTACCACGACCACACAGACGTGTGTCTTAAAGTGGAAGTGCTATACTTCTGCGTATCGTCCGACGGTCCACTTTATTAAAAGCTGGCAACGCATCTGCAACCCAACTGGTGCTTGCAAATGTTCAAGGGAGGCGGTTATCGCTTCACATCGGTCGTACCACCGGCTCGTTTGACACCTGCTCACATGAAAATAAAAAAATACCTACACTCAGGCTGGTAGTCAAGATGAGCGTGTTCCGTTACGATTCAAAGGCTCCTACGTCCTCACCCGAAAACACTGTGCGGTACCTGTTCTTGGCGTAGTGCAGGAACGCCTTGAGGTCCGTCTTGGACACGCCGCCGATGGGGTTCACGTCGGCGCTGGAGCAGTCGTACTTGGTGACGTAGCCGCGCAGCGCCTCGTCCACGTTCGACGAGCCCAGCACCAGCAGCCCGCCCGGCCGGCCGCGCACCCACAGCACCAGCTGCGCGAACAGGTACGACAGCACCATGCGGAGGCGCGCCTGCCCAATGCAACGATCGCGACGCTCTATTAGTTATATAGAAACTTACTTGAGTACATCTACGGTACCATAAGGGTACAGGTACTACGGCACCATGCCTGCGGTACCATTGGGGAACAGGTACGACAGCACCATGCGGAGGCGCGCCTGCCCAATGCAACGATCGCGACGCTCTATTATACCGAAACTTACTTGAGTACATCTACGGTACCATAAGGGTACAGGTTCTACGGTACCATTTGCCTTTACCATTGGGGAACAGGTACGACAGCACCATGCATATAATTTCGAATTATACCGAAACTATTTACAAAACCATAAGGGTACCAAAGGGTAAGGTCAACCATGCCTACCATAGAAGTTAAACAGAACCATGCGGAGGCGCGCCTGCCCATAACGATTATAGTATTAGTTATAGCGTATTTTTACATCAACGGTACGGATATGTAAAAATCTACCTTGCGGAGGGAATTTAAGCACAACGAAACGACGGCCATGGCAAACATTCTCAAATTTGTTTTTAATTCGCCAATAATATAATTTGACTAAATATTTTGAAAACCATTACAAGGAATCAATTATAGAAGTTAAACTTAAACATATTATAATTATAGTAGTTGCATTTTTCCATGGGAACGGATATGTGACAAATCTATGGAATTTAAATAAATGTGTATATTTCGATTCTTTGAAATAACAATGGGCAATGAAACTTCTTACTAAGAATACGTAAAAGCGCACAAGAAAAGACAACACAAACTTGTTAATTTTGTGAAAACTGTGCTTCACTAATAAGGAATACGACAACCGGGTTTTCGACCAACCTGTATGTTCTGCAGGGCTAGGTTCTGGCGGGGGCAGCCGCCCTTCGACCTGAACTTCGGCACGAAATTGGTCGCCGTGGTGAATATCCCCACTACGGCGCTCACCGCCGCGTCTATCACTATCGGGAAGTGGTAGCTGCCGATCTCGCTGGCCAGCTGCAACAGAACCACCACCAACGGTATAACTTCCTCTTAATCGTTCCCTCGTCGCTGTGGCATTAAGTGTGGTAAGACGATTTCGCTGTTGCAAGAATGGGCAGCTCCGTCCTGATGAGTACCGCCACCTCGCAGAAGACCGGCGTGAAGTGGATGTGGCACACGTCTGCGCTTCGTCTGGTGAATGAGTGTAGCCGGGGCCTTCTTTATTCAAAGGGAGAAACTGTGGTTCCAATTTTTTTTGTTATTTCAATTTGAGAAGATGACAAGCGAAGATTGAAATTTGAGAAGACACCATTTAATAAATTGAGCTCGTATCAAAAAATCTAAATCGTATCCAAAACGAAAATATCGTCAAATCAAAAAAGACACAGAGTCCTTAGATTCAAATATTTAATACTTGACATACGTTTTTTTTTTTTTGGATAACGGGGCCTAAAAGGTAATTATCGATATATCGATGTTTTGTCATCGATATATCGAAGCCTATATTGATATTTTTATAAATTTCTAAATGTCGATATATTTCTTCACTTTCGACATCCCTAAGCTGGACCGACCACTCTTCCTCCACCCTCTCCCACTCTCCTTCTCCCTCTTACCTGCGACGCTCTCTGCTTCGTCTCCTGGCTGGAGTTCTCCGTGGCCATGTAGCACGTGACCAGCAGCCTGTTGCACAGCTCCATCGGATCTGAAGGCGTGTAGTCCGCCTGGCAGAGTATTTTCCTCACGTCGTACAGCACTTGGCTCTCTGGAAACGGTTAGTTTCATTCTAGAGAAATCTTCAGACAAAGCAATCATACACCGTTATCCTTACAAGCAGTTAGTGTTTTTTTATACGTTTATTTAAGCAACCTTGCTCGCTTGTATTTATTTTTATTATTACAACTCGTAAACACAATCGGGTACATTATATCTCAGAGATGTTCATTTATTAATTATTGGTAAAGCTTAAACAAGCACCACCAAAATTAATAAGAGATTTTTAAATTTGCTAATCACTGAACTTAAACATTAAAATTTATAGAAAAAATAAGAAGTTTATCGCCACTGTGGAAATCGAACCCACGTCTTTAGCATTCGCGGCCTGTCTTTCTTGGAATAACTCTCGATGCAAAGCTTCAATGGGGTCCCCATATATCCAAACTTGCGAATAGACTAAGTTCTGCAGCGTATGCTATAAGGAAAATAAGATGTCTAACTGATGTAAAAACGGCTAGAATTGTGTATTTTAGTTACTTCCATAGCATAATGTCATATGGTATTTTGCTATGGGGGCACGCGGCCGATATAGAAACAATTTTTATTTTGCAAAAAAAGGGCCATAAGAGCTATTTATAATCTAGATCTGAATGCATCTTTGAGAGAGAAGTTTAAAGAAATAAATATATTAACCTTAGCCTCTCAATATATATATGAAAATGTTATGTATGTGCGTACAAATATTAATAATTTTTATAAGAATACTGATATACATAATGTGAACACTAGGAACAAACACAAGCTTAATGCCAGTTACTAGACTCCATAGAGTAAGTAACTCGTTCATGGGGCGGTGTATACGCTTTTACAACAAAATCCCAGTAAATGCGCAAAACCTGCCTATTAACAGGTTTAAGAAATTTATAAAAGAAAAACTTTATAAAAAGGGTTATTATAATACAAATGAATACATTAATGACAATAACCCCTGGGAATGAGTTGATCGCTCCCAAGCTATTTCTAAAAGGAAAAAAATCAGTTGTATAATTTTTGAATTTTTTGTTAAGAAAAAAAAATAATTACAAAAAAGAGGATACCTACGGAGTTTCTTTCGCCTGTTTCTTCTCCGCTAGAGGAACCTCATTACGAAACGGTGGTAGATTTAAAAAAAAAAATATGACTATTGATAAATGAAATGTAAGTTTCTTATGTCGATGAATAAATGATTTTGATTTTGATTTTGATTTTGAGCCACTAAGCTAAACGGCTGATTGCCACACCGCCTGATGTTTAGTGAATACCGCCGCCCATGGACATCTGCAAAACCCTTAAATTTGTAGGTGCGTTGCAACCTTTTGAAAAAGTGGACCCCGGTTACCTCCCTCACCAGTCTTCTGTGAGGTCGTGGTACTAACCCGGACGGACCCACTCGTGCTACATAAGGCTGTTGCGTGGCCCTACCACAATTACATCATCATACACTACCAACCTCCCTTTTGGACGGCATCACATATTTGCGTGCACATTGAGAACACTATGCAAGCGGTGCTGGTAGAGTCCACGCCGCCGCTGAGGGGAAGGAAGAAGCCGCCCTGACCTGACCTCCGAAGGTAGTCCCAAAGCCAGCACGCCGGACCTGTCCGAAAAAACATTTTTCAGGGCACATTTACACTTTATCTAGTCTCAAGATAAGCAAAGCTGTACTATGGACACTAGGTATTTCTGTTCTCATCGTATTTCTCTTTTTTTTTTTTAAAAAAACGTGACCTCTCTTTCACACCGGATAATGTTGTCCTTTTAGGAAAACATTATCCTGTGTTGTGAGGACGTGTTACAAACATGAATTTCACGTGGACAATGACTCAGATGCGAAAAACCTATCTGTGGGTCGCAAAAAGAGTCTTCGCGTGTGAGAATCGAACCCACGACCTCCGACGCCGAAGCCAACACCTTGGCAACCGCGCCACGGATTAAGGGCCAGGTAATTGATAAACACACCTAAAATTTTTTTTCCAGATAAATTTTTTTTTTTGATATACCCAGATACTGTAAAAACACAGTTAATCGCACAATATTTCTCCAGTAGTTTGAGATCGAACCCACACCCTCTAGAACAAGAAGCGGGTTAACTACCCACTGCTTGGGTTGTCGAATGGCCCGATTGGTATAGCGGTTGATGACTATCTCTTATTGATATTTTTCAACTATGGTAGGGCCACGCAGCAGCCTCGCCTGTTGCACGAATGGGCAGGCTCGTCCGGGTAAGTACCACAACCTCACAGAAGACCGGTGTAAAGTGGAAGTATAATACTTTCGCGTTTCCTCTAGTGAGTGAGGTATCCGGAGCCCAATTTCCGATAACGTTGTCAACTCATCTGCAAAACCTCGGGTGTAGCAGATGTCTATGGTCGGCGATTTTCACTTAACATCAGGTGACCGTCTGCTCGTTTGGCCACTTTTCACATTAAAAAAAAAGAAAAAGAAACGAAAAGAGCGTCATACCAAGCTCGATCTCCTCCTCCGGCGTGAGGTACTTCCAGTCGAGGGGGGGGCTGGCGACCAGGTGGGGTTCGTCGCCCTCCGAGAGGGCGAAGTCCGCGTCGATGCGGGGGAAGGGGGCGCTGGAGGCGGCCAAGTGCGAGCGCGAGCGCAGCTGGCTGCGGTACGAGCGGATGTCTTCCAGGTCGATTGTGGCCGCCACCACCTCCTGCGGAATTGTATTATGCCCCAAATAACAATTGGAACGTCAACGGCCCCGATTGACCGCGATCTGTCGACTGCCGTTTGAGAATTACGTTTGAAGTACGCGCCCACAAAATTTATATGCACCATTAATAGACTGAGATTTGGCCGTGGAAAATTTCCAGATAACCTAATAACTACAGACAGATGCGAACATTATGATATTGACATAGCGACACTTGAACACCCAATTCTTCAATACATAGATGGAACCTATACTAATGAATGGGCAGTATGGAGACACCCCAAGCCATTAAACTATGATGGTGAAATTAGAAACTTTTTTTTATTACCACTTCATAGTTTAAAACAAAGTCGTCCCTCTATCTGTCACTATGTATGCTTAGATCTTTAAAACTACGCAACGGATTTTGATTCGGTTTTTTTTACAAGATAGAGTGATTCAAGAGGAAGGTTTATATTCAAAATAGATTGAACCCGCGCGAAACCGGGGCGGGTCGCTAGTATATTTATAAAAACGTATTACCATTACAGCATTAAGTACTTAGTAGCCAAACCGTCTGCGCTCCGGATGTGGGTTCGATTCCCGCGGCGGCGAAAAGTATTTCGTCCATTGTTGATACAAACTTTACTAAAACACGACTATTGCCCGGTTCCTGTATTGAATGAACAACCGTTAGTTACATAGCTTCGTAATTTTCATAGCGACTTGTAGATCAAAGGAGCGCTGGTAACTCATTTTCCGTAGTTTGCAACTCGCAACGAAAACGCCTCGAAGCTATGTAACTAACGGCCGTTCGTTGAATATAGGAACCGGGCATATGTTGGAGGGTTGGCGGGAGTGATGTGGAACAGAGTGGCCCTAAATAGGTCTGAATGGAAGAAGTTGGAGGAGATCTTTGCCGATTGGCAAACAGATCTGCAAAGGATAAAAAACCAGATGATCTTAGAATAAATTTTAAATTTTCTTTTTGTTTTAAGTTTGCTTTAGAATATTATTATGAGCTTAAGATGATTTGAATAAAAGGCTATTATTATTATATACTATTATATTACACAGTAGGGCCACGCAGCAGCATCGGCTGTTGCACGAATGGGCAGGCTCGTCCGGATAAGTACCACGACCTCACAGAAGACCGGCGTAAAGTGGAAGTATAACACTTTCGCGTTTCGTCTGGTGACTGAGGTGGCCGGAGCCCAATTTTCAAAAGGTTGTCAACGCATCTTCATTTAACATCACGTTCACTTAACATCGGGTGAACCGTCTGCGCGCTTGGCAACTTTTCACATTAAAAAAAAATTATATGTGCCGTATATATATATATATATAATGTGCCGACCACGTCGTGCAGTGCGAACTGCAGGCCGCGCGCGACTATCTCCCCGTTGACCGCCACGCAGGAGCAGCCGTTGAAGTATATCCGCTGGCCGTCGCAGCCCCTCAGGTTGCTGAAGAGGTAGGCGCCGCCGCTCTTGAAGGTGGCGCTCTTCACCAGGTCCACGGTGACGTACGCCTTCCTCAGCTCCATGTAGCTGCCGGAGCCGTTCGATACGATCTCGACGCCGTCCAGGCCCAGGGGCACGTGCCGGCTGCGAAAATACGGTGAAATAAATTTCAGCACAATCGACAACCGGGGTGTGGATCAGTTTTAATTTGCAAGATTTGATGACAAACATCGGGGGGACAGTTGAAACTAAACACTAAAAAATAATAAAAGCTTCAAAAAAGAAAATAGTAGAAGTAAGCGATACTAGTCGTATACAGATACGAAAACTATATATTGGTACAATATCCGAAAATCGCTTACTGCCTCGTTCAAGATCTATGTATTTTACAATATCTGATATTTTCGAATTTTGATGTACCGAATACTCACGAGGCATGAGATATACCTGCAACATTCTATACCCGGCCTCAAAGGTACGGGTATCGCCGTATACCCGATGCTAAAACCCAGTATCAAAATACCTATAGGTATTAGTTATGTTCAGGCCTCCTTTTGGAGACCCGGTATGGAATTGAACCTTTCCTTGGTTGGAATTGAAACATTAAGATGTTTTTTTAGCAATGAGTTTTTTTTTAATTGAGATGTAATCAGTCTAAAATATATACAGTTATACACTGCTCCATCTTTACTAACGTAAAGAACCCTATTATCAAAAAAAAGTAATTCAAAATAAATATTACTGTTTAACCTTATTACGCAATTATTTATTTAACTTATGGTCATAGAAATAAAGAATAAATTTATCTCAAGGAATTATTTGGTATAAAATGCCTAAATCATACGTTTCAATTCCGGCATGATCGGGAAGAGCCGCCGTAAGCGTTCGGGGAACTTCGTACCTATTCGGCCGGCGGGTTGTCGCGAGCGTTATACAGCGTGTCGTTACCATCGCGAAAATAAATGAACACACGTCTAATGCTACTTGCCAATAATCATAAAAAAATATTAACGTTAAACAAAATCCATAATTAAAAAAAAATATGTTTCAAACAAACTAATTAAGTAAAAAAGAAACAAAATTTGTAACAACACAGTAAATACAACTCGCGCCACAGCGTCGCATTACAAGCCTCTCCTTCTAACAGTATGTTTTGTCTCTTTTAAATTCATTCAACCCATTCATATGCTTTGTGACCTTTACAAATGAACTTTACGTTACGCTTTTATAGGTAAGGGCCTTCTAAAATTCTTTGTTTTGGAAAATTTAACAACTCTGTAAATGTTGATGTTCAAAGAATGTAAATTTTTGAAACAATTTTAAAAACTTATCCCCTATATGTGTGTTCATTTATTGTCGCGATGGTAACGACACGCTGTATACCGCCACCGTCGGACGAGGCGGCCATACCTATCGGATATGGAACGGGCCTCTGCCGTACGTACCCGGTGTGCGTATTGGTATGTTCATTCTGGGTACTAGAGATGTGTCGCATCGCTTTTTCTGAGTACCGTATCTGAATCAGATTTCGATTTCAAATATCAGATTTCAAACTATGTATTTTAATATCTAGATATTTTACGGTCCCGTATCCACCTTGAATTCTAAAAAAAAAAAAAATGTTTTCAACAATATTTTATACTTATTATAAATATAAATTGTGCAGGCGTATTTAAAAGTTGATTCATTTCATTCATTCATTCATTCGACGATCATTATACCTATACATAACTAAAGCTATTACCAGTGATACTAACTGTTCAAAAAGAATACTTCTAAATAAATTCGAAAACCCACTAAAATTGACTAAATTCAAAAACCTTACTGAATTTAAAATCACACTTTTTTTTATACTATTAAGGTAAAATTAAAACATTACCTGATTAAATTAAAAATTTCATTAAAAATAGAAATTGAAGTAATATAAAAATGATTTATTTCAACATCTTATATATCGCTTAATAATTGACTTTAACATATTCTTAGAACACACGCAATCATGAGTGACAATATTTTTATAATTTGTGTAAGAAATAATACATTCAGTATTATAACTTAGGGCGGAAGAATTTAAAATATACACACAAAGCACATAAGCCTTGGTCTGATTTCCACCCAAGCAGCACAGCACTATTAAATTATATTTTTCTTTTTGTGTAGTTTTATTTTTTTCCAAAAATATGAATAAAATTTAACTAATAAAAATATTCACAAAAAATTTACCTCCTAAAAAATTTCCATTTATATTTTTCTTCCTTAATTTAGGCAGAAAATTCTTAAGTTGTAAGTTGGCATCCCTTACTATTACGTGCTAGGTACCAATGCAATCCAGTTCAAGGTTAAACAAAATTTAAAGACATCGTTAATACCGTAATTCGTATTTAAATGCAACTAAAAATGTTTTTTTCCATGCTGTTAAGATTCAAAATTACTTAACTGCGCGCTTTGTCGCCCGTTACGGCTCAAGGCTAAACAAAACAATAAAAATATACTTAATAATATCGTTGTGGTAATCGTTGATACCATGATTAGTATTTAATTGAAACGGATCTTATGTGCATGGTTTTAAGATTCAAAATTACTTAACTTATTCAAAATACCTGTTTAAAAATCTGATATTGTGCCTTGCTCTCCGTACTGCTCTAACTAGTGTAATATTTGTATCTCACGCGCTTTGTCGCTCAAAATCTGTTTAAAAAATCTGATATCGTGCATTGCTTGCCGTCCCGCTCTAACTAGTGAGTATTTATATCTCACGAGCTTTGTCGCTCGATATCTGATATCGTGCATTGCTTGCCGTCCCGCTCTAACTAGTGAGTATTTATATCTCACGCGCTTTGTCGCTCGATATCTGATATCGTGCATTGCTTGCCGTCCCGCTCTAACTAGTAAGTATTTGTATCTCACGCGCTTTGTCTCTCGAAATCTGTTTAAAAATCAGATATTGTGGCAAACGCGTATGATATCGCGATTCGTGTCGGTATAGCGAGCGAGCACGTTACATCAGATTTCGGAAATATCAGATATTGTAAAATACATAGATATTGAACGAGCCAGTAAGCGATATTCGGATATTGTACTAATATCTAGTTTTCATATCTGATACGATATGTATCGCCCACTACAGGGTACTTATACCTGTTCCAGTATATACGCCTCATCCCTAACTCACTCACTCGCTATACCGACACGAATCGCGATATACACGTTTGCCAAAATTGATTTTTAAACAGATTTCGAGCGACAAAGCGCGTGAGATACAAATATTCACTAGTTAAAGCGGTACGGCAAGCAATGCACAATATCAGATTTTTAAACAGATTTTATGAATAAGTTAAATAATTTTGAATCTTATCAGCATGCAATAAAACTCAGTTTCATTTAAATACGAATTATGGTACCAACGATTTCTTTTGTTTATTTAGCTTTGAGCACGTAATAGTCAGGAATGCCAACTTAAGAACTTTATTCCTAAATTAAGGAAGAAAGAAAAATATACAATGGAAATTTTATAGGAGTTAAATTTTATTCACATTTTTGAAAAAAAATAAAACTATACAAAACTACATATTTTAAAGAATAAATATAACTTAATAGTGTTGTGCTACTTTGGTAGACGTCAGGCCAAGGCCTATGTGTCTTGTATGTATATTTTAAATGCTTCGGCCCTAAACTATAATATTGAATGTATTATTTCTTACACAAAAAATTAAAAATATTGTCAGTCATGATTGCGTGTACTTAAAATATGTTAGTCAATTATTAAGTAATGTAACATGTTAAAATTGACGTCGGTTGATTTACAATAAAAGATATTATTTTATGTATGTATTCTAATGATTAATATGTAATTTTTTTAATTTTGTTGATTTGATTGTTAATATATTCATTTGTAAAGTAATATAAATGATTAATACTTTATACATATAAATATTTTCTTTAATTTAAAGAACGTAAAATATCTAGATATTAAAATACATAATTTCGAAATCTGATAATTGAAATCAAATCCGATTCAGATACGTTTCGCAGAAAAAGCAATACGACTAATGGCTAGCGATGGGCGTTGAATCAACGACCTAGTTGAATCAACCGTTGATCTCTTATTAACGAATTAACTTTAACTGTCATTGAAATCAACTAGTTGAATTCGTTAACGTCGTTTCGGAAATTTTGTCGTTGAATCAATTCTTTTAAAAACGCAGTCAACGATACGTTATGTCAACGGAACATAAGCGTAACGAATTGAAAACCTTACGTTGAAAAAACCTTACGTTGAAAAAAACTTACGTTGAAAAAAACTTACGTTGAAAAAAACGTCACAGAGTTGAGTTGAAATGTTTGTTTAATTTTATGAAGGACTTAGTTTAAGTTCGCCTTCTTTATTTTTGTTTGACAGTTTGTGAATAGTTGCGCGCAAGGTTATAGAATATTTTGCGGCTTTGCGTAAATATTATCAGAACTTTACTTCATGTTGTGTTTTTTTTTTGTGAATTTGTTAATTTTTAATTAATTATATTTGGAATTTTATTTTATGTAATTAGTATTGTTTATCAGAATTTTACTTTGTGGTTAGTGTTTTTTTTTATTTTAATTTATGATTATTTAAGTGTATAGAGGACTGTGGGTACAAAATTCAGAATAATTGAACGTATTAACTGTGAGTTATGGCTTCATACCTAAAAAGACAGTTCTAACGGAAAAGCTGTTTGTAATGTATGCAAGAAGAAAATATCGAAATTGACCACTTTAACTTTACAAAGTACTTGAAGCGGAAATATATTTAAATATTTTCATCAGTGTTTTAGTACCAATCTTTAAACACCAGCGTATGATGGTTTATTTTGATAAGAAAAAAAATTAGTTTCGAACAAAAGAAAAAAAATATTCAGATTTGTTAGATTTATATAGCATAGACAGTTTTCATTAGTAGAAGAAAGGACTTGCAATTTAACATGCTTATGTCGCGTTAACTAGTTGACGAACATGAATCAACGATAACGTTAAGTTGAAGAAAATACCTTCAACGACCCATAGCTGCTATTGGCTAAAAGTATTATTATACATTATAAGTAGAAGTGGGCGATACAAATCGTATCAGATATGAAAACTAGATATTAGTACAATATCCCAATATCGCTTACTGGCTCGTTCAATATCTATGTATTTTACAATATCTGATATTTCCGAAATCTGATGTACCGTGCTCGCTCGCTATACCGACACGAATCGCGATACGGCGATATCATACGCGTTTGCCACAATATCTGATTTTTAAACAGATTTCGAGAGACAAAGCGCGTGAGATACAAATACTCACTAGTTAGAGCGGGACGGCAAGCAATGCACGATATCAGATATCGAGCGACAAAGCGCGTGAGATATAAATACTTACTAGTTAGAGTGGGACGGCAAGCAATGCACGATATCAGATATCGAGCGACAAAGCGCGTGAGATATAAATACTTACTAGTTAGAGTGGGACAGCAAGCAATGCACGATATCAGATATTGAGCGACAAAGCGCGTGAGATATAAATACTTACTAGTTAGAGTGGGACGGCAAGCAATGCACGATATCAGATATCGAGCGACAAAGCGCGTGAGATATAAACACTTACTAGTTAGAGTGGGACGGCAAACAATGCACGATATCAGATATTGAGCGACAAAGCGCGTGAGATATAAACACTTACTAGTTAGAGTGGGACAGCAAGCAATGCACGATATCAGATATTGAGCGACAAAGCGCGTGAGATATAAACACTTACTAGTTAGAGTGGGACGGCAAGCAATGCACGATATCAGATATTGAGCGACAAAGCGCGTGAGATATAAACACTTACTAGTTAGAGTGGGACAGCAAGCAATGCACGATATCAGATATTGAGCGACAAAGCGCGTGAGATATAAATACTTACTAGTTAGAGTGGGACGGCAAGCAATGCACGATATCAGATATCGAGCGACAAAGCGCGTGAGATATAAACACTTACTAGTTAGAGTGGGACAGCAAGCAATGCACGATATCAGATATTGAGCGACAAAGCGCGTGAGATATAAATACTTACTAGTTAGAGTGGGACGGCAAGCAATGCACGATATCAGATATTGAGCGACAAAGCGCGTGAGATATAAATACTTACTAGTTAGAGTGGGACGGCAAGCAATGCACGATATCAGATATCGAGCGACAAAGCGCGTGAGATATAAACACTTACTAGTTAGAGTGGGACGGCAAACAATGCACGATATCAGATATTGAGCGACAAAGCGCGTGAGATATAAACACTTACTAGTTAGAGTGGGACAGCAAGCAATGCACGATATCAGATATTGAGCGACAAAGCGCGTGAGATATAAATACTTACTAGTTAGAGTGGGACGGCAAGCAATGCACGATATCAGATTTTTGAACAGATATTATGAATAAGTTAAGTAATTTTGAATCTTAACAACATGCAAATAAGATCCGTTTCATTTAAATACTAATCTTGGTATCAGCGATTACTACAACGATATTATTATATTTTTATTGTTTTGTTTAGCCTTGAGCCGTAACGGGCGACAAAGCGCGCAGTTAAGTAATTTTGAATCTTAACAGCATGGAAAAAAACTCTGTTGCATTTAAATACGAATTACGGTATTAACGATGTCTTTGAAATTTTGTTCAGCCTTGAGCTGGATTGCATTGGTACTTAACACGTAATAGTAAGGGATGCCAACTTACTACTTAAGAATTTTCTGCCTAAATTAAGGAAGAAAAATATAAATGGAAATTTTTTAGGAGGTAAATTTTTTGTGAATATTTTTATTAGCTGAATTTTATTCATATTTTTGGAAAAAAATAAAAGTACACAAAAAGAAAAATATAATTTAATAGTGCTGTGCTGCTTTGGTGGAAATCAGACCAAGGCTTATGTGCCTTGTGTGTATATTTTAAATTCTTCCGCCCTAAGCTATAATACTGAATGTATTATTTCTTACACAAATAATAAAAATATTGCCACTCGATTGCGTGTTCTAAAAATATGTTAAAGTCAATTATTAAGCGGTATATAAGATGTTAAAATAAATCATTTTCATCATAAATCATTTATATTTTTTTTTTTTTTTTTTTTTTTTTTTTTTTATTTTTTATTTAGAATTCTATTAATCAACGTGGATAGGGAACCGTAAAATATCTAGATATTAAAATACATAGTTTCGAAATCTGATATTTGAAATCGATATCGGATTCAGATACGGTACTCAGAAAAAGCGATACGACCCATCCCTAATTATAAGTTTATAAGCCCTACGGACGTAGGGCAACAAAAATTGAGTAAGACTCATTTGAGTGTTCCCCTCCACGGAAATCTTTAGTAAAAGGCGAAAGATTTATACGTTTTGAAGGGAAACCAGAGTGACAATAATTTGTATTCTCGGAGTATATGTATGTCCGCAAAAACCAAACGATAGCGCGATTTCTGTCAGAGCAGCGCCATCTAGTATCTCATTTTAAAACATTTTTCCCTGTTACAATTTTTGGTGTTTTTTTGAATACGATATAATTCACTCTCAACTTTTTGATATATACTATACTAAAATAATTTCGTAGTTAAAATAAATAACCTTTGAGGATTCCAAAGCTCTTCACAGATTTCAAATCCGATGCAAGTGTCCTTTGTCGCTATTACCGCGTCACCAATTGGCACAGTAGTTTGATTTGTGATCGCCGTTATCATTCGTGGCAAGTAATAATCCTCCACTTGTCTTTCCTGAAATATTCAAGAAATTCTTCTTATTTCTTAAATATAGTTTCACCGATACATTCACATTTTTAGACATGTTGCATATTAATTTAAATTCATACGTTGTATCATAATTTAATTATTGATAAATAAATTCATTAATAATTTATGGAGAAAAATGTATTTATTTCACTTTATTTTCTTAAAGAACATTAGGATACAAAAATTAGGGGGGTTATTGGCAATATTTATATGGAAGGAAATATCAGACTCGAATTTCATACTAACAACATTCAAATATTAAGATAAACAGATATTAACATGCATAACATGCATACACTATGCATAATATAATTTTAGAGATGTTTCAAAGATAAAATTAATTTCATTAATGAAACTTTATAAATTTAAACACAGCGCCATCTTCCGCCAACTATGAGTACCATGTCATTCCAAATAGTTACGTCACAGCCGAGCGATTAGGGTTCGACTGGTGCCTGTCTTTTTTCCTGTCCTATAAAAGATTATATTGCCATTATTTTAATCGGTCTTCATAGAAGCAACCAAACGGATTGTTCCGGATCTAAATTATCTTTAAATTAAAAATAAACACGCATCACGCGATGGGTAGATTATGATAATATAATTTTTATACAATATAGCGACGGAGGATTATTAGTGTTGGCCGATAAGCGAGAACAAAAATAAAAAAGTAAAGGAAAATAGAGTCATAAAGCAGACAAACTTATTATAAACCACCTAACCTACCTACCTATTACTAACTAACAACAATTTCTTGTATTTATTTATTTATTTATTTATTCTTTATTGAAAACACCTCAAAAGGGTTACAAAGGGCGGACTTACTGCCTATTGGCATTCTTCCAGTCGACACGGGAGGAGAGAAATTGTACGTAATTATAAAACAAAACTAACAATATAAAATCCAGCACTTACGTGGTTCTTTCGATGTTAATTAGGCCAATAATGTTGGTAGCTTATTTTTCAAATTCATTTATTTTGATGAGATGTAGAATTTGCCCGATGCTGATGAAATCACAACAGGTTAGTAGGCCCCCATCATAGTTTATATCGCCAAGGGGATGATGATTTATTAATCATCAAATTCAAATTCAAAATATCTTTATTCAAATAGACGGTCGCGTTCTTATGAAACGTCGAATTTTACATAATAATTGATTCATACGTTCGTAAGTAGGTTATCACCGGTTCGAAAAGCACATTCCGTTAAGCAAGAAACTCAACAGTTGCTATTTTTTTAAAAAATCAGATTGCAATACAACATTTTTATAATACCCTTATTTTAGCTTACGTGGGAGTCAACAGTGATAACTCCACACATTGGCGTCGCCGAGATGTTCCGCAACGGTACAATGCTTTACCCATGACGACCCACCTTCGTCCACGGGGAGAACCAGCGGGTCTCCCTGTAGTTTCCGTCTTCGCAGAGCATCATCTTGGGCCTGATGAGCAGGATCCTCTTGTTGAGGAACGCCACGCGGCAGTTGTAGGAGACGTTCCTGTGCTGCACCGGCATGCCGACGTCAATCAGCATGTCCTTGCAGGTCGAGGACTTGAGCAGCTCGGCGAGGACTTGCCAGCTGTGCAGGAACGTGTCCGGCTCGTGGAAGTGGTCCTCGCAGCTGTAGCCGCTGGCGACGGGGAGAGGAGTGGTTCTAGTTAGACAGATACTTTTTCTCCTCTCTTCTCCTTAGTTTTGAAAGCGTTTTGGAGCTTTTAAAGGGAAAAAAACTTATGACGGTCAATGCACAGCAGTGCAATGCCTCTTATAGAGATCCTTACTAATACTATAAAGGCGAAAGTTTGTATCTATGGATGGACGTTTGTTACTCTTTCACGCAAATAATAATGAAACTTTACAATAATATAGCTTATACATCAGAATAAGACATAGGCTATAATTTATATCCATGTTTTATGTATATTAGTCTTTCTGTCTGTGTTACGCCTTCAGCCTATTCTAAGCAGACGTAGTCGCGGGCAGCAGCTAGTTTTAAATAAGATAAAAAATAGTTTGTTTCCTTTGAGCACTGTGCGATTAACGAGCTGGGGATAAATTCCAATGAGTACATAATAAAAACTTTGAGTTGAGTTAGAAAAAACATAGTACTCTTCAATTGTAAAAATTTTATTTAGTGTTACCCTAATAAAAAATTTACGATACTGCGGTAACATTGTAGTTCATAACTTTTCAGCTATTTAATAATACTTAAGACCATTATGACCAAATTACCAAAGATGTTATATTCTAGACAAGACAAGCGCATACTTGAAAAATCTGTCTATAAGTAACAGAAAGTTCTTTGTTAGAATCTTAAAGTAGAATTATTGTTCCCTGACATGACAGACGAGCCCATTCGTAAAACAACAAAGACTGTTGCGTGGCCCAACATCAATGGGAATTATCGTTCTCTTCGCAGCCTTGTTAGGAATCCACTAACGTACCATATTTCCAGTTCGGGGCCGGTCCTGTACGTTGCGCCCAGCTCCTTAGCCTCCTGGACTGACTGCAGTATTCGGCTCAGATTCCCCTCGAAGTCTAGTGCCCACTGGTTCAAAGTGCAAACCGCTACCACCACTTTGCGACCCATTATCGCCTGTCTGTAAATTACAAGACGTACCCCCATAAAATATCCCTTTTTTAGGAACTCCTCTTTGAACTTAAATTGTAACGCATTTGATAAGACACATAATAAACACATATTATTATTATGAAGGGTTAAGAGATATATTTCATTGCGAATATTAAATGTTTGTTTTGAATATAACTTAGTTTACTATCGGATTTTATCGGCATGGACTCTGTAAACTGTACAGAACTTTGACTCGGTATAGCCCAAATTAAGTGCGTTAAAATCATAAAATACTTATATTAACAAAGTATTCGCATCAATACAAGAAATGTTGCAGTAAACTTGTTAAGCTTAATTATCGTTGATCCTATATGTATGATGGGTCAGGATCGTGTTTGATGTCAATCTATGGGAGGTCTATGTTCAGCAATAAACTCAAACAAGCTGAAATGATAATGACGGTGATAATGTTTATGATGCATGATTGAAAAGAGATAGAGGTATCATGACATACATGTATATAATATTTAATATATTTATATATGTATATTTGATAAGTTATTTGCCAGTGAGTAAAGGGAAACTTTGCCCACAATAAGGAATGTAATCAAATTCAATCATTGTCCACATTAAATTGGTATACTTAAAAGCCTTTTGTACATCATTAAAAATACAACAAACTCTTAAAAATAGCAACATAAAACGAAACGGGTTCGTAGACTTCAATAAAGTTACAAAACTATTATGAATTTTCAAACTAATAAATAACACTGTTGCCCCAGGTTCTGAAACACTGACGCTAGGTTTCTGAAACATTGATCATCGTAGAAGTTAACTAATCAGCTTATTAATAATCAGAATGTTCAATTCAAAGAGTTTAACCATCCTTTTGGCAATTCAAATGACATTAATTGAAAAGCCATTTGACAGCTGATTAGTTAATTTCTACAATGATCAATGTTTCAGAAACCTTACGCCCGGTTTCTGAAACACTGATCACCGTAGATAACAACTAATCAGCTGTCAAATAGCATTAAAAATTTCATTTTAGTTGCCAAAAGGATGATTAAACTCTTTGAAGTGACCAGAGTGAACTTCTTAATGATCAGAATGATCAATTCAAATAGTTTAACCATCCTTTTGGCATCTCGAATGAAATTTGAAAAACCATTTGACAGTTGGTTAGTTGACATCTACGACGATCAGTGTTTCAGAAACCGGGCGTTAGTGTATTATATGTAAAGTTGTATTATATGTTAGTGCAATACAACTTTAAGATTACGTTGAAGCAAGTACATCAGACCACCTATTTGGCGACGCATGGGTGTTGCGTAGGGATGTCGTACAAACTTCATTGATGAGCATCACGAAAGCCGCCCCGGTGGTAATCGATCCGCGCCACCCCGTACCAGGACCAGGTCAACAACCCCAAATACTTACGACGCGCCTCGTGCGTACACAGGGTACGGGCCACAATCGAGCAGAGATAGTAACTATTAACTGCAGAGATAGTAACTGTTAATAACGATAGTAACACACGGCGATAGAAGCGTACTTATTACAAGTTGCTTGCACTGGCCGGTTACAATAAAATAAATCAATTTCGGAATTCGAAAATTGAACTCTCTTGGAATGTACCTACTTATATAATGTTTAATAACGAGACCGTCATTTGTTTTATTTTTTTTTATTTTTGCCTTTTTTTGCTTTACAAGCTCGTGATAGTTTTCGCTCAACGATTTTTAGGTTCCGTACCCAAAGGGTAAAACGGGATCCTACGGATTATCCTCCGCTGTCTATCCGTCTGTCACCAGGCTGTATATCACAAACCGTGATAGATATATAGTTGAAATTTTCACAGATGATGTATTTCTGTTTCCTTTATAACAACAAAAAAAAAAAATAGAGTAAAACACAATTTTTATAATAAGGGAATACAAAGACATTTTTTTTGCGATATTATAGTTGCTTGTCCAACTCGCACTTGGCCGGTTTTTTACGATTTTAGCTGTAGCTGAAGTCAGTGTTGCCAGAGATTTCAATTGGCATTTGGTTATGGAGCCCCATGTCTCGGCTTGTGGTTGAGAGAATTACAACCAGACGATGTACGTGAAGATAAGCCGGCGGCTGCCAAATAAACTGCTTATTATAAATAAAATAATATTGCTTGAAACTGACACGAAACACAGTATTCGACATTATTTATATTGTGCCAAGTGCCGATATTGCATGTGCGTCTGTGGGTTAGGAAGCTTTGCACTCGATGAATGATATCGCATGATTAAATGAAAGACTAGATGTAACAAGCAATTTTCGTATTTAATGCAACGCCAAATTAGGATGTTAGGTTTGGCAAAATACAATCGGTTATGCGTATACAGTTCTGTATAATTTAGAAATAATTTTACAAAACCTTTGCTGTTATTGCATAAAATGATTTTAAACAGTACAAACATATTAATAACTTGCCATTATTGTCTCGTTCATAATGCAATGATGCATTCGTATAACCTACGGCCTGTTGGGCTTTCGGGGACGAATTATCGAACTACTTTTCAAGTGCTTACCGCTATGCAAAGAATACCTAAGCAAAATTCATGCTTACATTTACACCGATATGAGGCGAACTTTGCTTGCCCATCAATAAATAATAGAACTTGACTAACAATCTGATAACTTGTAAGTTCGTAGTCGCTATAACCATCAATATGGAATGGGAAATAATGTGGCGTTCACGTAAATCATTTGCCATAAATGCAATCAGCCAAGCTCTGCGTGTCGGACAAATTACTATATTAATGTCATATCTAATAATATGCTTTGTGAAAGCGCTGCGTTCGCAAACTAGTGTCGGTGTTTCATTTACGAAGCGTGCCGTCAATTTTCAATTACAATACGCGATATAACTTATGAACCGACATGGCAAGGGTGAATTGTGAAATAAAATAAGCTGAAGCGAGTCATGCATTATATGTTGGTTGGTTTAATTATAAATATAAATATCCTTAAATACTTATAGTAATGTATAACTCACCTGTGAGCTAGCCGACCCAAATATGTATATTGTTGGTGGCTATCGATTTAACGACACGTAACCATGGCGACGTGAAACCTGCTACTTCAAAACTTTGTGCAACTTTCGTCAATAGATTGAAGAAAATTGCTGACTACCCGTTAAATTAATCCATACATTTTCAAAGAACGTTCAACGTCGCAACTTTTAGACTCGGGAGTTTAGTAAATAAAAATATAATAATACAAAATAAAATTTGAAGATCCTAAAGAATTTACAATGACGTAAAAATACTTTTAGTTATAGATACTAATACTATATATAAAAATATAAAAACAATAGACAAACTGAAAGACAAAAACTTACTTTTAAGCGTGTAAACAAATAACTAATTACAAAGTCGAAGAGCTAAATAACATTAAACATATAAGAATAATATACAAAAAAAAAGAACTTTTTTTTTAATATACCCAGTATTTACAACAATAAATCCATCTGAATTACATATTTGTTAATAAACCTAATCCACGCGACATGGTACCAGGAACAATGCATTTGCAGCTGAATACGATAGTTATGCTTACGCTAAATCAGCTGTCAAATGGCTTTTCAGATGTTATTTAAGTTGCCAAAAGGATGGTTAAACTCTCTGAATTGATCAAATGATCTTAAGAAGATCTTAAAAAGATCATTCTGAATTAACCTTTGAGCGAGAAAAAAGCCAGCCCTCTTGTCACCAGCCGCGGCGTTATGCCTATGAAGTAAACTTCAAAAATTTCGATGTAAACTGAAAATTGAAAAGTAAAACTATTGTGGCGACTAAACCGCTGTAACTGCCGTGTATACCTAGTCTGAGCATATATGAGAGCCATGGCTCGAACCACATCGTATTTATTAAGAAATAGACATAAAAATGCAACATTACCTTGACATGACAAATCGACGACAATTTCTGAATACAATTTCCTGAAACCGCACTCTTTCCGACGAATCGTATTTTTATTAAGCGACGGTACCTTCCTTGCATGTCGAAAGTATAACAGTCCGTATCGCGGTGTCGTGTGCCTATGCAATTTATATTCAAACAAAAAAACGATACGCAAAAAAAAGGAAAATGTCATTCGCCGATCATCAGGCGAAATTATACATGACTTAGACATTAAACTTATTTTGCGTTTTACCATGTTTTAAGTCCTTGACAGTCTGTTCGGAGCAAAGTTTAAAATTGCTTTACATAACTTTCCAATGGGCTATACTAACTTGGGACTGTAAAAATACCAAGACTAGATGTAATGGGATCTCGATTTCTTGACTGTCTGTTTTTTAGATACGACACCCTGTAGTACACTCGTACAATAGAGTGAAGGGGATTCCCCGACTGTCGTTAAATATCTTAAACACTTTTATCTGTACATTAATTAAAGCATTGCACTTCATACTTCCAAGGTAAGCGATACTTTGAAAGATGGTTTGGTGCAATCGCTAAAGTGATCACGAGTAAATTTGTTCGTGCCATCTAGCCGAAATTTATTTTTTAATATTTATCTTTGCTGAACACTAATGCAGGCAACTTTAAATACTACTAAAAACTATAAAAGAAAACTATTTCATAAAAAAACAAAGCCATAAAATTCGTATTCGTGTAATGATTTTAACGCCGACTAGTTCGTAATTCTTCGCTAGATTAAAAGTTACCCGACAGCGCAAAGGAAATCCGGCCAACTTTCGATGAGTTGCCGCCCCATTACGCGGAAGTGCAGTCACCTTTAAGGCATTCGCGGAACTGTTGTTGGTGACCAGTAAAGTGCACATTTAACGAATCTCGGTGAAAATTGTAACTCGCTTATTGATAGTGAAAATACTACCAAACGGTAACCAAACTTCATTGTTCCGGATAGCGAAAGTTAGAGCCGCGTGACAAACGACATAAATATAATTGTAGATTGGTTTTTAGTATACATATGTATACGTATATAAAATGAGTCAAGCTGGTGGTAATTATTTGATTTCTTTAAAGTTAAACTCATATAGTTGATACTAAAATGTACTTATTGCAAACAACTTTCCGATGCATTGTGTGTTGGTGACGACGAAAAATAAAACGAGCGGGGAAATGGCGGGCCACACGGAAAGCGGTGAGTCAAGTTTTTCGAGTGCGAATTAATTTTTCGGCGAACGGCATTTTATATAGAACAAATATTAGACATTAGCTCCATACTATACTTACGTCTAAATTCTATCTCCAGTAACCAAATCTACAGGTAGATAGAATATAGAAACCGGCCTTTATTATACATAACAAACTGTTATTGAAAGAGATCGTCTCGTTTACAAGATCAGTCCTAAGAAACGCCTTTTTTGTAAACAGTTGGTAAGCAAACGGTTCGCCTGATTTTTATGTGAAAAGTTGACGAGTGAGCAGGCGGTGGTGTTAAGTGTTTACCGCCGCCCGTAGACAACACTGAAGGGTTGTAGATAGGTTTCCAACCATTAAAAAAACGAGAATATTCGAGAATCGTAATTAACGAGTTCCCGTACGCGGATTAGCCGCCATGAGGGCTTAATGCACTCCACTCTCCAGAGCAGCGCGGGTGACGTCACCGTGCCGATAACGGCTTCGATCGGGCGCGGCATCGCCGGGGCATCTGTCTCCCGAGCTTTGGCTCGTAGGCAACCCCAGTCAGCTTTGGGGCGTCGCGCGACCCGCATGCACGGGGACGGCCGCCGAATTCCGTTTCCATGGCAACGGCTCCGGCGAATGTAACCAAGGCCCGCGCTAGCAATGACAGCGTCGCGCCAATTTAGGGTCTAAGATGCTATGGTGGAAACAACTGGAGTGCGCGCAAGAGAACGCGGCCATGTTCGAGAGGGAGGAGCAGAGGGAGTGCACGCTGACGCTGCCGCTGCCGACCAGGGATCCTGTGCTGCAGGACAACCTGCTCATCGCCAATCTGGAGCAAGTGAAAACGCTGCAAGCGTCCCTCTTCCCTATATGCAACAAAGGTAGAGTGGACGTCGACCATCGTTAGCGCGCTGATACTTTCAAATTGAACTTGAACAACTGTTAGTTCGTTGATGAAATTGGTCTCATTTCTATCGGAATTAAATGACGACCCGATCAATGGCGTAGGGGTTAGTGAACGTGTCTCTTGCGCTTAAGGGTGTGGATTCGATCCCCACTACTATAAAAATGTTGTATGATGAACGTAGTATATTTCATTTGGTTCGGTGTTTATATATTATATATAATCTGTTAAATTCTTATTATTTCTGCACAAGAGAAAAATATGTTTATCGGTTACCTAGTACCCATGGTACAATCTTTGCTTAGTTTGGGACCGGATGAGGTTGTCGAAACAAAAATCTTCGACGCATATTAATTTCTGCTGCTGAAGTTAATCACCAAACTTCTCACGCACACACCAACAGATTAAACTAAATGAGCGTATCTTTTCAGGCACATTCATATCGAACTTCCTGCAGAACAACATCAAAACCAACCAGCTGGAGGTAAACACGGACGCGAGAACTTTTCGCACGACCGCCAAGCTGAAGGATCCCAGGGATTTATTCGCCCTTCCTAAGGAGCTAGATTGTCCACAGCAGGCGGCGCGCTGGCCCTCCGAATGTCAAGTGAGATGAACGATGTGACACTAGAAACTATAGACATTATGAACCAAATTATCTTAAGTAATAACTATGAAGAACATGCACAATTTAAAATACGTATACAGTCGAAAGACTACACCGCTACCAGAATAAAAACCTGCGTCTTTCGAGAGGCGTCCAGGCGTTCTAGCCACTAAGCTCGACGGACGATATCCTCATCGCGAGGAAATCTTGTCATATCTACTTCTACACATTTTAAAGTTCATTCAAATCACTTTGTGTGAAAATGATAACATTTATAATTAAATTTTCAGAAAAATAGATTAAAGTTAATTTCAATTCACAAACTGAACAATAAGCTGATTGTATCTGAATCATATAGAATATACATTTCCATTTTCAATTTAGCAGCATTACATAGAGCTTATTGCGTATACACACAGATTACACAACAGAGTTGAAAGCCTTCCTCCACAACAATAAATTAAAAATATGACGTTTTTTGGAATTTAATTATTTTAGTAAACATGATGATTTATAAGAAGACTGAGACCAGGTGATGATTTATAAGGTGGAATTAGGTCTAAACAATTGACGGCGACGTTTTGAATACATCTCCGTGAATACGATTATTAACGATAAGTCGATAGCGCAATTGCTGAGCCCACACGTGACAACTATTTGTGTGACCCATAGATAATTTTTCCGGATCCAGGTGCTTGTTCCCAAGACGGGTCGGAGTGAGGACGATGATGATGAATACGATTAATAAATAATTGGGAAATTGTTTTGCCTGAATTTATGGTGACTGTAATGTACGAATGTATCCCATAAAAAATATAAAAAACCATTGTATCAGAAGAGTGAAACATTTTCCTAAACTGTTTCATTCAAGTTCACTAATGAAAATATGGATGTTTTAAAAAATGTAAACATTCGAATGTCCTTAATCACTGGTGTGCGTTTATTTATTTGCCATGCTCATTAAAGGAAAAACTAACAAGAATTCCTTGAACAGGTGGTGGAAGAAAGGATAAGGCACATTACCTGGACAAGCGCAGCGCCAGAGCCGTATTACGTGCCCACCGGGAAAGAACTTAGACCCCAGCCGGTTGGAGAGGATGCCGGCACAGTCATATTCCAGTATTACCCGATGAGCGCCGTAAATTATGTCAGTTAAAATTAATTACAAAGCATTACGAATTACAATGAAGCCTTCGTTGTTTTCACAGCTGCCGTTTTGTTCGGTTAAGATATGAGAATAAGCCATAAAGATTTTTAACCTCCGTATTAGTGGGCTTTCCATCTTTAATTACATGAATTTCTAAATAATGATTAAACCGATCATCGCAGAAAAAAAATCAACGTATTATCTCAAATTACCTAACCCGGGATTTCGACTTCGTAGGTTGAGTATAATACACATGCCATAAATTTACTAACTATATTTCGACACAAAAAAGTAGAATTTTTGTTTTTCCGTTTTGATCATGAAAGCACGGAGTCCGGATATTCTAGCATTTTAATTCAGTCTATTCAAAGAAGCAAATTCATACCTACCTACTGTAACTTTTGAATTCAAGATTCTACTTATATTCTACATTGGGCGTTTTCGTATTACTTGACGCCGCTGTACAACGAATTAAACCATTCTAATTATCTCGTGGGGTTCCCGAAGGCAGATATCACAACACCAACGCTGTACTAGGAATTAGCTAGTTCTATCGCATTACTAAACGCATATCCGTGGCACAGTTGCCAAGGTATTGGCTTCGGCGCCGGGGGTCGTGGGTACGGTACCCACGTCCGGGAAAAATATTTGTGTGACTCACAGATATTTGTTTCGGATCTGGGTGTTTGTCCGCGAGAAATTAATGTACGTAAAGCGTCCTTACAACGCAGGATAATGTTGTTCTAAATTAAGGGCAATGTTTTAAGACAAAAATGTACAGTGAAGTACTACCGAGCTATGAAAATCTAAAATTGCTTCAACACTAAAGATAAAGTGCCTAGGTCGTCGACCTCGCAGTCGTAGCAGGGAAAATTCCTAACAACGCAGGTTAATGTTGACCTACAGCGAGGGCAATGTTTAAAAAAAATTACTAGTTGCAGTACAGGAGTGCCGACAAAGTGAAAACTTATTTTGGCGCGTTAGACGTTTTTTAAGATAAATAAAATAATATAAACAAACAATTTTGATTCGAAGTTATTTAAATATCTTGTGAATACCGCATTAAGTAAAATCGAATTCTCTATTCAATAATTCAATCAAGGCAACACTATAGCTGCGTCTCGTAGCGGTGTCGCGAGTCGAGAGATTTTATCTCATCTAAATACATGCGTAGCGCGCTAAAAGAAGGTTTTCACTTTAAAAATCACAATTCCAGTTCAGTCGCTCGACTGTCGGCGGCTCCAGGATGTTCCTGTCGGCGTGCACGAGCTCGGGGGGCGACGACGAGTTGCGATTCGAATCCCGCTTCGAAAGCGGCAATCTAGCGAAGGCCGTACGCATCACGTCCGCCTATTACGAGCTGCAGCTGCGCACCGATCTCTACACGAACCGGCACATGCAGTGGTTCTACTTCCGCGTGACGAACACGAAGAAACAAATGATGTACAGGTATGCGTGTCTGCTGTGATTCATCACCAGCAGACCGCATCACGTTGCTGATGATGGACCTCGCCCAAAAGTCATTTTACGATCTTTCGGTAACAATGAATGAAACGCTTTTTCCTCCAAGCGTAAATACGGCGAGAGTATCACTTGTACCCGTTCCTAAAAAAGGCGTTCCTTGTGCGTTTCAATGCATTCCTTAAATATTTACTGGGTTATGGTAAGAATAAGAAATTATTAGTATAAAATATATATTATATATAATATAATAAAGCTGAAAAGTTTGTTTGTTTGAACGCCCAAATCTTCTAGAGATTTGGGCGTACTACCAGTCGGATTCGTAAAAATCTTTTTGCATTTGACAGACGAATTCTTGAGGAAAATTATTTACCATCACGCTACGACCTACGGGGGCGGAGTAGAAATGTTTCTCACGGAGGAAATCGCATGGAGCACGAACAAAATAAGATTAGTAAACAAAACCGCTTTAAGTTTTACGCATGGTACACAATTGTATTATTGTTTTTAGGTTTTCGATCGTGAACCTATCGAAGGCTGAGAGCTTATATAACGAGGGCATGCGACCTTTGCTGTACTCGACGAAGGACGCTCAACTGCACTCGATCGGTTGGAGGCGGTGTGGCGACAACATAGCCTACTATAAGAACGATACCATGTGAGAAACTTTTACCATTCGAATGAAAAAGTGCTATCTTAAGATGTATTTTATAATTGCTCTTTAATTCAGCTAATCAGTATTGTGTTACACGTTCGAGGGCAAAAATATAATGGGGCATTATTACATCAGGTATCAACAGTATAGTTTTTTGAATATTCACCCATAATAGCCTCGTCATCGTCATAATAGCGCCTTAATCGAGTATGCCACGTAGCCAACTCCAACCTCCCAATGACCCGAGCACGTCCGAGCAGAAAGTTGAGACAAATCACATTATACGACCAGCGCTCCCTTGGGAAAAAAAGGACAAGTACCTAGGAGACACTTTCGACATCAAAATGACATTTGCTTTACATATACAGTATAACAATAAGATATCAAATGTCTTCTATCGACAGGCCCAATTTAGTGAAAGTTTTTTGAGGTTCAAAAAGAGCTTAAAACAAGCATGGATTGAATAAAGCTACCTTCTCACATAAGAAAAGTAAATTTTTACTTTTTTTATGTGAGAAGCACAAATTACTATTGCTCTGCACTTTCAAATCTCCTGGCTCCTGCTAATTTCATACTTAAATACTTTTGTGTATATACTTAAATAATTTAAAAAAAAAAGATAAGACCGAAGATATTCTTGCCGGTTCTTCTCCAGCGGGTCTAACCCTAGTTTAGTGAACCGGTGGTAGTCGAAAGTTTTTGACGTTCAATAGGAGCTTAAAATAGGGCTATATCGAATGGAGAAATCGTGACTTTGAAAGGTGCGAGGAAGAGGAGCAGTTCCCGAGCTACACGTTGACTTTCAACATCGAGTTCCCGCACACGGACGACGCCGTGTACATAGCCCACTGCTACCCGTACACGTACTCGGACCTGCAGGAGTATCTGTCCAGGCTCCAGGCGCACCCCGTCAAATCGACTTACTCGAAGCTGAGGCTGCTCTGCCGCACTTTGGCCGGGAACAACGTCTACTACCTCACCATCACGGCGCCGCAAAGCCCCAATGAAGTGGAGCAAAAAGTAAGAGATCTCTATACATTATTTTCAAAACTGTTTTTAGGGTTCCGTACCCAAAGAGTAAAGCGGCTCCCTATTACTGAGACTCCGCTGTCTGTCAGTCCGTCTGTCATATCATGAACCGTGATAGTTACACAGCTAAAATTTTCACAGATTATGTATTTCTGTTGCCGCTATAACAACAAATAATAAAAAACCGGCCAAGTAAAATTCGGACTCGCGCACTAAGGGTTCCGTACCATTACCTATAAAAACTTAAAAAATTATGTCTGTTGTATGGGAGCCCCACTTAAATATTTTTTTTGCCTGGTGACAGACGGACTCCCATAAAACAGCAGCATGTTTTTCCCGTTTTTATAAAGAATGTTTATATTATACCTATATTTGCTTTATATATTTCGTCTAATTTAATGATTCACAAACCATTTTAAAGCATATCTTTACCGCTAATGACAAAAAATAGAACTACCGTACATAATTTGAGTAAAGTTAATTTTTTCATAAAAACTAAATCGTTTAAAAACAATTTGTTTAAATGAAAGATCTTAATAGACTATTATCTATAAGACCTAACTTTCTTTGATATACATATTTACACATTATTATATTACCATTCGGTGACCATCAAAATAATCTAAGTCCTGTGCAAAAATTTCGCAGGGGTCAATTAGTTCAAATATATTTGTTACCACTTACCACTGCAAAGATAGTAGATAGTAGGGTAAACTCTCTCGACTGTCTTCATGCTCGGTACAAGCAAACGTTTTAATTGTTTTTTTAAACTAACTATTTGTTGAGTTATTCAACAAACTTGTGACGATATAATTTTTTGATTGATCAATATAATTTTTAATTAACTAACGTCCTTTATTGCTCGATATAAATTATGCAATGGATTCGCCAATTTCCCGAGAGACTTGAAAATTTAAATATAGCTCCGTATCGAACGAAAAACGTGTGTAGTAAAATGTGTTATTTATTCAAGTGTTTCCCGTGACAGAAAAAGAAGGCGGTGATCATAACGGCGAGGGTGCACCCTGGCGAGACGCCGTCTTCGTGGATGATGAAGGGCTTCATGGACTATTTGACGGGTGATACGAATCAGGCGCGAGAGCTGAGGGAGAAATTCATATTCAAATTGGTGCCGATGCTCAATCCGGATGGCGTGAGTGACGGTCTATATATTTTTCGCATTGAATGGAAAAAATTCGACGCGTGTCATCGACGCCGCAATTGCAGGTAATTGTCGGCAACAACCGCTGCTCGCTGACCGGAAAGGACCTGAATAGGCAGTACAGGACGGTGATAAGGGAGACCTACCCGCCGGTGTGGCACACCAAAGTGATGATACGGAGGTGGGCGCTTGATAAAGTCATGATCACGAACGATCTTCACACGAGATAAAATAGAATGTAGAAAACGCACAATTCGTTGAACATTCGTTAACGAAAGTCATGTTCGACTGATGTATGTAATGTATGTTTTAAATCTTTTGTCAATTGGTAACTTACTTACGAACTTATGTATTAATTATTTATGTAAAAAAAAAAAACATGACGTTTTATATGAACGAGCATTGTATAATATTTGAATAAAGACATTTAGAATTTTTATTTGAATTCTAGTATAAGAAACTTTAAAATGTTTACTACAACTTTTTTATCTTAGACGTTGAGTGATAAAAAAATTTCAAAATCCAAAATAAGACTAACAGAAATTATAGAATAAAGAATTCTGCTTTCACATCTCGTAAAATACGTAGCTTTTAACAAAGTAATCATATTAGTAAGCATATTAGTACATTTCTCAACCAGGAATGTTATTTAAAAGAGAGACTGTTACAATGTCAATGACATTCAGAGATCTACACGTAAGGTATCGCAAACAATGGATTCGCCAATTTCCCTATTATTTTTATTTTATTAATTTCGCTATTAGTACATCAAGCACTACAATATCCAGTCAACCAGATTGCAGGAGGAGTGCGGAGTGGCGATGTACGTCGATCTACATGCACACTCGAGAAAGCACAACGTGTTCATATACGGATGCGAAAGCCGCAGGAACTCAGACAGACGTCTGCAAGAGCAGGTGTTCCCTTTGATGCTGCACAAAAACGCTGCCGACAAGGTGAGCTATATAACAAGGAGACAGATAGCTCAATGTCTATTTTTCTACGATGTCTACCTTCACCACTGAACACTTAAAATTGAAATTACAAAGTTCGTTGATGCCGGCGACGATGTTTGAACTCGATTAGCCTTAAGGTGAGAGAACAATGGACTATGGGAACTAATAAACATGACATTATGATGATACTTAAATTGTATAATTTCTTAAAAGTACATCTGTACATCGTCATCACCATCTTTCAACCTGTTCCAATCCACTGATGATAAGTCCCCGCACAGAACCCCACGAGGCACGATCCTGAGCTACCTTTTTCCATCGACACCCGCACATTAGCACAGAGCATCACTCCATTTAGTGGTGTGGTCATCCCACACTACAATGGCCAAATCGAGGCTACCACTCGAGAACCTTCCCACCTGATGATCAGCACTTCGAGCTTTATGGCCGGCCTATTGCCACTTAAACTTACTAATCCTCTGAGCTTTGTCGGTAAATCTGTACAATAGATCATTAATATACAATAAACAATTTGTATTATATTTCCAGTTCTCCTTTGAAAATTGCAAGTTCCGGATACAACGCAGCAAAGAGGGCACCGGCCGAGTGGTTGTGTGGATGTTGGGAGTATCCAACAGCTATACAATGGAAGCGTCGTTCGGTGGGACGGAACTTGGAAGCAGAATGTCGACGCATTTCTCCGTTCAAGATTACGAAAGCCTTGGACGGACGTTTTGCGAGACGTTGCTTGATTTTTACGACGAAGACCCGAGCAAAGAGAGATTGCGGAGCAAAATCGTCACCCGACTGCTCAAAGAGGGCTCAAATGCCGACGAACCAACTAACATAGATTTATCAGACTACTCTAGGTGTCTATTATCTTGAGAAATCTTTTGAATCTAAGTTTTAACTCTATCCTAATTCATTATTAATGTTTTTTTTTCTGATAGTGATGAAGGTGACACTTCCAGTAGTAGTTCAGAAGCCGGAATCATGAGGGAAAACGTCGAAGCTTGCCAATTAGCACCGCCTCCAACACCGTTGTTTGCTAGTCAAAGTAATAATATGTGTAATGTAAGTATAATGGTTAAAAACACGGCTAGAACTTATAACTATTATGACTATATTCAAACTTTAAATATTTAATATTATATTTGATATTTATTTGCTTCCAGAAACCCGTTAAACAAAGGATTAAACTGGAGAAACTGAAAATAGAAAGACGGAGGACTAAACGGGAGACGATGCGAGTAAGTTAAGACTTAAAAAGCCACTACTTATAAAAATATACTAAGATAGAATTATGATAATAAATTATCTGGTTTTGATCACAACAGCAATCAGGTATTATTCTTCTCGGCTTAAAAATGAACATATTAACATTATACAATATTTCAGGTGTCCAAAGCAACGGTAGACCTAACGTCAGATGCACTGTCGGAGGCATCTTCAGACGAATCATACGAAGAGAATTTAAGCCCGGTGAGAAGAATTCACAAACTATTATCGAACGCTAAAGTAAATCCGAAAAGAAAAAAGAAAATGCCACCGGAACTGAAAATATTTCCCGTGCCGGTATAATTGCTCAAACTTTATATGTTAACTTGCTATATTCTATCCGGATAACGTTAAAATGTCTTTAACTCCATTAGACTAGTGAGACATCGGTTAATGGGGATCAAGAAAAAAAATCAAAATATGGACGACCACGCAGCGCGTCTATGTTCAACCAGCCGACAGGAAAACCCCGATTAAGCCCAGCCTCCTGGCATCAGTTCAGACAATTGCCACGACCAAAGTTTGTAACAAACCAACTTTATACAGCGTGTCGTTACCATCGCGACAATAAATGAACACACGTCTAACGCTACTTGCCAATAATCATAAAAAAATATTAACGTTAAACAAAATCCATAAATAAAAAAAATTTTTTTTCAAACAAACTAATTAAGTAAAAAAGAAACAAAATTTGTATCAATACAACTCGCGCCACAGCGTCGCATTACAAGCTTCTCCTTCTAACAGTATGTTTTGTCTCTTTTAAATTCATTCAACCCATTCATATGCTTTGTGATCTTTACAAATGAACTTTACGTTACAGTTTTATACGTAAGGGTGTTCTAAAATTGTTTGTTTTGGAAAATTTAATAACTGGGTTAATATTGATGTTTAAAGAATGTAAATGTTTAATACAATTTTAAAAAGTTATCCTCTATATGTGTGTTCATTTATTGTCGCGGTGGTAACGACACGCTGTATATATTAAAACTATCTATTTATATATTAAAACAAAATTTATATAACAATTATAAAAGGCCCATTTTTGATATCCAGCTCAAGTTATATAAACAATTTTTAAATAAATATTACAATTATAAACTCTATATAATAGAAACCACCTTATAAACTCACAATAATATTTCTAACTTTTAACTTTTAACAAGCAAGGGCCATTGTTATTTGCCAGTAACATTAGAAATAAATTAATAATTTAGTTATTTATTACAAACAACCAATAATAACAATATTTTTCAGGGGTACGTTTTATAGACTTAAATATTATCAGTTCACTATATAGTCTATGTAAAACAATAGAATATAATTCTCCCATATATTATATATCACTATAGTAATTTATAATGATTTTATTTAAGGTGTCTTTCAGAAATAAAGAACAGGGATTTGCAACCTTCAGAATTGCAAGTAAAGTTGAACTCTTTGAAGAAAAATGTTTGGACTGGTTTACCGACTGATGACAAGGGGCCATTGTCATGGGGCATTTCAAGTTTTGCCACAAATTCATATTTTACAGACAGTGAATCTTTATTAAGGTAAGGTGTATGATGAATATAACTTATTTCCAGTATGGGATTCTCTTCATGTGTATTTTTTTTATCTTTTTCTTTTAAAAACAATGTCCTTACATGAACCTGTGTTCTAAGGACGTTTTATACGTACGTATACATAAATTTCACGAGGACAAACACCCAGATCCGATACAATTATCTATGGGTCTCACAATTAGTTGTCTCATACGGGAATCGGACCCACGAACCCCGGTGCCGAAGACAATACCTTGACAACTACGCCACAGAGTCATCAATATAATATATTTGATATATTTATTTTATATTATGAACTATTATGTAAAGCCTCCATATACATATTGTCAGTATTAAATTGTGTATTAACAGTAATTATACTTTAAGAAATGCTTATTGTATTAACCAGATCCTGCTCAAAAAAATTGGAAATGCTTGAAAATGAATATAAGAAACCTAAAGAAGAAAAGAAGAAGAAGAAAGCCAAATTAAAGAAGATCTCAATGAAAGTGCCAAGTTCAGATGATGTTTTAGATACTAAATTAATAAAGTTTAATAAAAAGAAAGGAAAGTAAGTATAATACTGGTATAAGCCGTAAGAACTATGCCATAAATAAATTGTATTCTATAGTAATTAATACTATTTTTCAGATTTAAATATACCAAATCAGAGAGTTTGAACCACACAAATAACACCAGCTTTACAGATATTCCTCGGAACCCACAGCAATCTTCTCAAAAGATTGGAGATAAAAATGTAAAAACATTTAGAAAAGGTGCTTTTGTAGCAAGTGCTATAAGAACTAAAAAATGTAATAACACCAATAGCTCTCCTGTTTCGGATAATTTTGATTCTGATGATTCTGTTCAAACAAAAAAAAATAAAAAAAGAACAAGAAACATCAAGAATAAACTGCAAAGAGCCAATAAACAATAGTTTACTTATTGATTTTTTTATATACAAATGAGTAGTAAGTACTATCTAATTCTATGGGCACCAAATACTATTTCCATATTTTATTTGAAGATAATGAGTCACATTGTGTAATGTGTGTAAATATTTATGATATGTTTATTTATTATCAAATTAGACAATTACATTAAGCAAATGTAGCATGTAACATATAAGCAGTTTTATACCATTTACTATTTGAAACAAGATTCTAATATTTTATTTGTAAAACATGTACCAAACTATAATAGGTAATTAATGATTTGTTAAATTAAACTTTTTTAAGGAATAGATGAAATTTTGGTATATTCCCAATTTCCAAAAATAATTTCCAATAAATTTTAATATATCCCAAGACTATGGATGGTATGAGAGACATTGATTCAAATTATAAATAATTTAAATTCAAGAAAATCCATCTTGTATCTTGTATTAACTGATGTTTTTGCTATTGTCCCGTGACTATTAAAGCTTCATCTGACGCAGAACCGGTGAGTTAGCCAGAACCCACGGGTTGGGCCCTCCGCTGTGGGTAGGGCCACGCATGTGCTCATGCGTGCGTTTAACTATGGTGTGTCATCTAAGGGCCATCGAGGTCGTGGTTCGGATCGAAACCCCGATGGCCGTCGACTGTGCAATTAGCTAATCGGTGGCTGGGGGCGGTGAGAACCGCCCCAGAACGCGGGTGTACCATGTGTACGCGTTGTGTTGGTCTCGCCGTGCTTGGAGGCGAGGGTGAACTAGTGTGTTTGTTGTTGCACTAGCTGTGGGTGTAGTGTTGTCCTGCGGGACCAAAAAATCCATAAAATAGTCTTTTATTTTTATTTTATTGGGGATAACAAACAGCTACAATATATGATATGAACAGATCTGTTGCGTTGATGTAGTAATAATATTACAGCCCACTACAGTTCTCCAATAGTGTCTTTATGCAAATAAAATAATACAGAAAATAAATATTGTAACCTTATTATTATATCCATGATTAGTACTAGATTCATTTAATCCAGACTAGAGTTCAGTGTTCCCAATTTTTAACAAAAAGGTTCTACATTAAATATTTTAAATTTCCCTCAAATGACAAAACAAAATTTAATAAAAGAAATGTAAATTTATGTAATCAAATATTAAAATATTAAAGATTACTGCTCGGTAAAAATCTTGATGAAAGTATCTTTCAATAAAAAATTTTTTTCTTAACAAGCCAAATAGATGCCAAATAGATGAAAACGCTAAGCATGTGATATCAGCACTTAAAGTGACAACTAAAAATTTCATCAGTGCTGGGATTTGTACTCAGATTGCTAGAGTACATTGAATTAAAAGCGAGCGCCCAAACACTATTACGGCTCACCTATGTATAGCTACTATTATAATAAATTACTTGCAATTTTTTTCAACAATAAGAAATTTTTTTATTGGAAACTGTTCATCCAAAGCTTGATCACTATCCTATCTAGTGTTAAGTGGCTGCACCATAGAATAAAACCACCAGCCAAAAAAAAAAAGCAAAGTTTAACTGTGGCATTGAACACAGCAGTCTGTTGCACGAATGGAAATGGGAAATGGGGGAGCCCAAGGACTGTTTTAAATAATTATTTAATGGAAAATTTTTGCCCATGACACACAAAACTTTCAAACTGAAAGTTGTAAGTACCGTTTTGAAGTGTATAACATTTTTATCAATTAATACTTATCTCAATTTATTATTCAGTATTAAATCATATTACACAGGTTATCATTTTATAAACGCATCTTTTCAATAATTTCTGTTACTTGAAAACAGATGAGAAGTTGAGAACGTTAAAAAAATTCACTACTTACAATGTTGTGCGCGTACTTGAATGAGCGTTTAAGCGTTTCAATAACTAAAAAATCAAATTACACTGGTTTGAAATAGTAAATTAAATTGTAAACATTAAAAAGTTTTTTTTTTTAGTTTTGACAACTCAAATAACTTTATTGGAAAGGACAAAGGCATACATATTATAACGCCAAAACAAAATATCGTCACATGAAGTACCTAGTAAATAAAAGTACAAAAATACTTTTATGATATAAAATAATATTTTGTTTTGTAAGAACTAGCAACAAAATATTTTTTTCTCTATTTTTGATATAAAAAAAGATTTTTAAATACATTAAGAGGATTAATTTGGGAATTCTAATTATCTGCCTATTTTGTTCCGTTATTAACATACATTTGTCAACCAACTAGTTTGCGTTAAATTAGAAGACATTGAACAAAATGAAGATGTAACTGGTGTAGTTGAAGAAAACGCTAATATTCTGAGCTCTCCTGTACTTGAAAATTGTAGGGCGTTACTAATCCTTACTCCTGATGAAGTATATCCAGGTGTTTGAGTATCACCAGTTATAGGATTAAATGGTCCGCATCTAGTTTTCGCAAGAATACATGATGTAACGTTAGTATAAAATCGTACGTTATCACTGTCCAAAGTTATGTTTACACCTGTTCTTGCTTCTCGGGTACACTGAGTGATCTGAAAATGTGTAATGAATGAATAACAATAGAACAAAAAAAATTCTAAACGCATTAGTTATAAATATTTTTCACAATATTTATTATACCAGATTAACAGAATTAACTCGTCGTAAGCAGCGAACAAAGTCGCAATATCCCATGTAACATCCTGATGGTTGAACATTCAGTGCAGAAGTTGATAATGCCTGTAATTTTGTTGATTTATCTTAGCATTTTCGTTAGTATAATTATATCAATCAAAATTTCATACAAATAGTTCGTTGGGAAAATGTGCTATATAATGTTAATAGTTGATGAAATTACCATTAACGATGTCGCGCAACTAGAATACGTAGTGTTTACAAAATACTGTACAGCACATACACTTAGAGCATTCAACTCTTGAGGCCCCTAAAACATAAAAATATTTTTTAAACCTTGAAATTTCTGGTTTCCGAAAAATTTATTATCTTTCAACAGATAGCGTTTTGTGGTAGAAAATCGGTGCATATCGTTATGTCTTCTCTTAATTCTAAAAAGTTGAACTTCTTATGAAGAGAATATATTTTTCAAACCTCAGCCATTGATGTAACTCTTGAAAAGCAAGTTATACAGCCATCTCTTAAAGTAACATTAGTTGGTTGTGCAGTGCTACAAACGAGATTAAGTAAGTTCTGTAATTGAGCTCTGCAAATAAAAAAAAAAATAATGGAACAAATAATATACCTAAATAAATTTCAAATAACTTCGAAAAAATTCCTACCCGTTCGATGGACATAATTTAGCCAACTTTTGAGTTTTCCATTGGAGTATTTTATTTTTCACATCTCCAAAATCAAAGATACCGTTACTTGCAGCACCGATCTGTAAAATCACATAAAAGAGAACAGTAAAGTTAGCACAAATATTTCATAATAAATGTTATTATTTAAATTTAAATTTTCAACTCAAACCTCGCTTAAATTTAGAAAGCTTAGGGTCTTCATCTGTGAAACAGTGTTTTGTACTTGCTTTAAATCAAGAAATGTACCGTTTATCTCGATCTGTTAAATACATATGTTATATTATATTGCATTTGTTTCTAAAACATTTAAAAAGTAATAAAGTTTTGAAATTCAATACTTACGAGTAATGTAAATATCAACCCGTAATTAATTTTTTTCATATTATATTCGAAATATATAATATAAATATATAAAAATTAGAATTATACACTCGGCAATGCTCTCTCAACAAAATTTTAACTAAAAGTGATAGGGTATAAATAGTTGTTGACCATTTTTTTTACAATAATGATACAAAAAGTGCTACTCTCACACGTCTATTGTGCAAAGCCATTAAATATTTAAAAACCCGGCGCTTCTTTTCATGATCAAAACAGCGTAACGTTGTTAATCTATCATAACAGTTCTTTGATAATGAACTTTGAAAGTACTTTCAACGTCCCTAGATTGATCAAAATTTAAATGAGGATTTGTAAGGAGTCACGAAACAATGTTGTCCTTTATGGGTTTGAATACAATTAATCAATGACTTGTGTTTCTCAAATTTTCTGTATAGGATTATTTTTATATTCTTATGTAATAGGGACCAAGAATATAAAATAAAGGAATAGAGACCTTAGGAGACCAATCAATTTATAAAATAATCAATCGATTAATTATTAAATAATCAGTCTTATGATAGGAATATGTAATCTTTTAAAATTAACAGCACTATAGCGAAGAAAGAAAATCTTTTAACTTGTATATAATCTCTGCGAGCCCTGGCTTCGTAGTCCGGAGCGAGAACTACTTAGCCATGGACGCAGGAGTAGCACAGTCAGCATCATATCGACCTACCCGAAACTGTCAAAATATTCCAAATGATGTTGAATGCATACTAATGAATGTTAATCTATATTATAAATTCGGTTGCAGAAATTTGTAAGATACTGGTTGGTCGATGTGACGCTGGCATTCGGTGACACACAAAACCACATATTTTAAAACTTCGTTGGTCCGAAACTACATAATAACACACACACGTATGTACATTGCACATAATATGAAAGCATTTTAATAACTTACCGTCTGTTCCGCACTGCACTGGGATAAAAAGATATAAAAATGTATGTGTGTATTTATGTACGCACGGATCAATTCAAATCAAATCAGTTATTTATGGAAGTAAGAAATATACATTTCATCTATCGATAGTCATTTTTTAAAGGTTATACAGGTACAAAAATATACATATAAAATAAACAATTTTAACCGTTTTTACATCAGTCAGACATCTTATTTTCCTTATAGCAATATGCTGCAGAACTTAGTCTATCAGCAAGTACGGATATATGGGGGCCCCATTGAAGCTTCGCATCAAGAATTATTCCAAGAAAATAAACAGTCATATCAACAATGCTTAACACCTTTACGTAAGAAGTTATACATCTTTAGAGTATACAATCAAAAATAATTGCAAAACTTATCCCCTGTGCTAGTATGTACTCTTGGTTTGTGAAAAAGAAACTACCTAAATGCAATTTATAACGGTTTAACTAAATAACTTGGAATTATAGGTAAATGTCTAAAAGCTGTTATTGTTTGCCTTGAAAATATTGCAATGTTAGCCGAAGTTAATCGCTTTTCAACCCACTTCATCATGTCGCTTTTTGGATGTTGTAAAACATCAAAGACACAAACACAAAAGATGTCGTTTATTAACTTCAAAAAATTTTGACGGGCTCTGACCTCGTTGAAAATTGGAAAGTTGCAACAGTTGTGGCAGAGAATAACAAAGCTTACATATTAGCTCGATTTGAATCAAAAGAAAAGAAGGATCAGATTTAATTCATATTTACATGTTTACTTAAATATAATACTTAATCACTGTACGACGTCGACTCGCCGCACCTTCCCGTAGTGGTTTCACTCGATTTGGAAGCAACTAGTATTGTTCCCAAACAACCTAGACTCCGGGCCGATTGGGGGAAATTCTATACCAAACTCAAGGAGGTTTAATTGTCTGAATCGATCACCACACCTGAGGAAGTAGAAGAAAAGAGACCATAATGTCGCCTGCGCACTTAACACACCTTACTGGTCGATAGCAGGTGGTGAATGCGTGACCAAACGCTTGGCACCTGTGACACTGAAGCGGGCGCCCTTTTTTTCCTTCCAGCCCTCAAATTCAACTCCTGGCATATTTAGCAATTCATTGATGCTGTACAGTCTAGCTATTTCTTGTTAGGACATATAATCCAGTTGAATAAAATATAGGGATCCCGGTCGTTGCCAACGCGATGGTATACTTTTAACAAATCGCACCGGGAAGTTCATTGCTCTTGTGATGTCTTCGGTATTCGGTGCTACTGTGGTGTCTTCGGTATTCGTATCCACCGGGAGACTATGTAATCCGGCCTATGTTGGTAGCTTCTCAGCCAGCGTGTAACAAAACCACGATGTAGGGGTCGTAGACGCTGCCTCTGTTAAGTATTTTTGTATCACCCGATATTCGTTCGGTGACTGTGGTAAAAATCTAATGCCTTTTCTTAGCGGTCGAGCGTTTGGGGCATGGCCGAGACAGTTTTTGATAGTCGCGAAATGCTTAGCCCAGTCGGAAAGAAACTCCACTATAATGGGTGGATAACATTTCTTGGTTGTTATTGCTATAGGTTGTGTAGTCCATGGTTGTTGTTGCGCTTTTGGCTGCTGCTGTTTCGACTCCGTTGTTGGCAAAAGTGGCATAAGACGTGGCATCAGTCCAAACTGATTCGCCACCAATTTGTTCAATGTCTATCTCCTTATAAGAGCACCTGTCGGGTGATATGCTGGGTATTGATGCCCTTGACGACTCGTCTGAGTCCTCGTCGGTAGAATAGCCGCACGCTCCTTGTGGTGGTGTCCGCTAAAGGCGTTGTTGTTCGGGCAACGATGTTGTTGGCCCGACTCGCAGCTATTTTTCGGTTAAAGATGCCTCCGTCTCGGGCGGTGTATGACGAAGTACGCCAACAGAAGTCACATTCTGGCGGCCTACGGGATTCTGATCTGCAGTGGTCGCATAATCATATGTGCCGCTCGCGATCACGCCTGCTTGGTTGTGATGGCTTCATGGTGCTGAGCCCTAAGTATGCGGATTGACGACTAATGGGGTAGAATCACCGGGTAGAACTTTCTCAGCCAACTGCCTATCCACTACCGCATGTGGCCGCTTATCGCGTCGGCGGGGTTGGGGGTGCGGGGTCCCCGCCTCGACATGACAGGGCCGAAGAGTTTCCTACCCGCAGGAGTGTATCTGACTCCCCTATGCGCGGGCGAGCCCACCGGGTGAGACACCCTAGGGAGGTGGCCCATCGAAATGCCCTGCGAACAGGGAGGGGTGCACGGGTCGAAGATCTTAACTCGGGTTCCACTCCTAGTATGTTCGTGTAATTGCCTAACCTTTTTCGAGAGGAGTGATGCAATAAAAGGGCACGCATTTCACTTGCGGTCGAAGGATCACTTCACTTCACAATATAACATCTTCACACAATAATGAACGCGCTGTCAAATACCTTTTTTTTGGACAATGGGTCCTAAACAGAAAATATCAATATATCGATATTTTCCCTTCGGGATTGATATTCTTTTAAATATCGCTATATCGATTTATTTCTTCACTTTCGACATCTCTAACGTCGAGACGAACGAAGCAAGAAAGAGGTTATTTACTTTTAATCATAGACTATACAGTACGTGATCAAAAATCTGATATTCTCTTTGATTTAAGTCAATTTTGTCACTTCGTGTTCGTCCTTGTCTTTTTCACTTTCCAGTTAGATAAACTACAAATTGTAGTCTTGTTCTAGGGAGTCCTTAATGCGGGGATTATACTTAAATTAATTTTTTTGTTCCTTTTTTGTTTTATAATGATTGAAGGCCGAGCCAATGTGAGTATTTAAGATTTTACCCATAAATACAGCTCTTAGCTTAGTCCCTACATGTATACACTGTTTCAGGAACTGCCGGACTTTCAAGTCTTTCGGACGGTGATCAAATACTGTCTTTTCATTATTATAGTGCCAGTATTATCCTTCTTTTTGGTAAAAAACTTGGTGTTTGATGGTATTTTGCACCTGAGTGCCATTAATAGTAGCGTCTATTCGGCTATTGTGGCGGTAATAGTTTTACATGTTACGCTAGGCATGTATATTTATAGAGCATACGGTGAAGCTGAGAAAGCGCCTAAACCTCTGAAGAAAGATTAAAAAAATTGCATTGCGTTCACTGTTATTTTTATGTTGTGTAAAGTACACTTAAGAAAATGGATAACCTGTACATGAAAGGCGAACTATTACAAGTTCACACAAAAAATGAAGAAATAATTGAAGGTCGTTTTTACAGTATGGATAATGACAAATCTAAGATATCTCTATACAATGTTAAAGAATTACCTGAAGGTGGAGAAGATAAAGGTGTTTGCCATTATTATGATACAGAAGTAAAAAATATTATAAAACTTCAGGACCAAAGTGACCAGACATACCTGAAGATAACACAAAAAGAATGTGAAGATATCATAAAGACCTCTAAAAAGTACATATTCATAAATCAAGTAAACAAAAATTTCTATGACGCAATTGAAGATTTGGTACAGTATAGTTATATTGGTTTAAGCACAGATGGTGCTAATATGGGAAGAAAATGTAAAATGCCTTTCATAGTATTGTCAACTCCTCATCAAATCTACATATTTGATGTCCAGGTGATGCAGTATCATGCATTTGATGCTGGATTAAAGAAAATTTTAGAAAATGAAACTCCTAAAAAGATAGTACATGATTGTAGAAAACTTTCCGACTGTCTGTATCACAAACATAATGTTAAGCTTAATTCAATTTTTGACACTCAGGTATGTACTTTTTAAAAAAATAATTACTTATATGTTTATATCAGTACACATAATAATAAAAATATCTCATTTTAGGTTGGAGATCTTATCATTGCTAGAAACAAATGGGGGCGTTTACCAGCTACAGTAAAAACATTAAGTCAATGTTTAAATATTTACCTTGGACTTAATCATAATGCTATTAAAGAAAATGTAATAAATATATTTCATTACAATATAGCATACTTTATCTTTTTATTAAGTTGTTCTTTAAATAAACAATTTTTATTTCAGCTTGACATAGTTCATTGCACTGAAAGGCCATTGCCCACTAATATCAAGGAAAACCTTGCTAAAAACATAGTCTACCTTCACCGTTTATCGGAAATGATCAATGATGAAATGATGTTACCATTCAAGAGAGGCATAGAATGCTATGTAGAAAATATAAGATCTTGTGATGACTTCAAAGCTTGGGAGCTATGTGGAAAGTCAAGTCAAATACCAAAGGATTTCAAGAGTGCAATTGAGTATTAATTTAACACATCAGAAACACATTCCACGGAATAATAAAATGTAGAATTAGGCTTTTTTGTTTTTATATTTTCTCCCATTGCTTAAACAATGTGCACAATTTCCTTTTTGAAGCTTTAATTTCCCTTTCTATTCAATATTTTATTTCTTAAAAAATAGATACGACCAGTGTAAAATAAAAATGTATATCATATCATTAAAATATGTCTATGTTTAATTTTAGTCAAGTAGTGTTTTCAAGGATTTAAGAGTTCATCTGTAATATTTAGTACTTTTTCTCAATTTGTCATTTTTTTTGTTTGCAAACCCGTTTCACCTTTAAAATTGATTTAACTTTAAATTATTAGTACTCTATATGACAAATTATTTAAACAATTGTTTTTGTATCTGTGTTGTTTGTGGTGTTAGGAATATAAGGTTTTAAGTGAAAGTACTTAAATATTTCTCAATATTTATTTTTGTGTATTAACTGATGTTTTTGTATGTGTAAGTTAATGCAACCATATACATTTCTATATAATATATGTATTGAACTATGTAACTTATAATATGGCATATGCTTGCTTGCTCACTATACTATTAAGGTTAAGATTAATATGAATGAGATATTTTGAGAAAAGGTTTATTATATCAAGAAATTGTCATAAGAAAATAAAGCTTTCAATAAAAAAAATTGCTTACACATAGGTTAACATTTGGTAAAGCTTCAAAAATAAATAAACTTGTGCTTAAACATTGTATTTAATATCCTGTTCAATATTTGTGTTAGTATGTTATATTAATAAAAATATTCACACAGTTATTTCAAAAAATATTACAAAAATTATGCAGTGTTAATACTATTTACATTATTGATTGATATGTTTCACCTGAAAATAGTGCGTCGTTTTGGTGCTACCTGTCTATGGCTTCATATGAAAGGCAAAAAGCTGTAATAACCTGATTAATTCATGTACGTTACCGGCTTCGTTTAATACGTTTGCATCAAATAATTGCGATTACCGTGTCTCGAAGATTAAAAAGATTTTATCAAAAATACAAAACTCTCGTTTATTTAATGAGTTCAACCGGCACACACATTTTAAATTATAGATTTTGCATAGATAAATGAACAAAAACTCGCCGCTGAGTGATTCGAACCTACGTCTTCAAACACATTTTAGAAAAAAATTGCAAGACCGCGATTTAGCCGGCATTTTACATCGGTCAAGGACTAGTAGTGGCCTGAGGTTGTCACCAGACAAGTGGCTGTTTACACTACAGGAAGTCCAGTGGCATTTCTAAGTCGAAATCGACGAGCAACGTCAAAACATACTTGCAATTTTGTTGCCTTTTGCCGGCTACTAATACACTTGTACTAAATACTATTTATTGACTGTTTTCACTACGCCTAGTGACAATTCAAGTGCCGCGCGAGGTGTGCACTTGCACCAAAAAATAGAAAGCAATTCTTTTGGGATTTAGTTGCAATAATCCATTAATCGTAGGTGCCGTCACCTAAAGACCTACCACTAAATACGGTCCGCCGCAAATGGCTTAGAACACGACTCGTCAACGACGATTTCCTGATGATGAGACGGCTACAGCCATCAACAGGATAAAACAACTGCGTAAACACAAGACACTGCACTCGCTGTCCAGTGCGACAAACATATTAGGTTCCGCCATGTACCTGGCATGTTTTCCATAGTTAATGATAGAAGCATTGCTGCAGTTCCTTCCGCCACGTTTTCTCCCAGCGCCAACGCTTATCGCAATAATAATGATAGCTTTAGAAATTCTCCTAGTCAGATAACAGCTACCGATGCGCCGAGGTCCGGCCCTCCAGCACCCTCGAATCGGAATCCTAAACGGATAATGAATAACAGTCCAAGCCGAGGTTCCCTATTGTTGATTTACTTGACCAGTATATGTCCTTAGTAATGTGTAACGGGGCATGAGGAAGTTAACATTTGAACGCGATAAACAATCGCGTCAATGCATGCTTTCTCGCTAAGCATCGGCAGAATACTTTTTTATACCTAACATTCTGCCAGAAAGCCAGAAGCAAATTGATTATTTAAATGCGAGTAGCCGTATATACTAGTCTTTGCAAGTCTGCTATATACATATGAATAATAAAGATTTGTCATTTATGATGTCTACAAGCCAACGTTCTGTTATAGAATTTGTTCAAAAGAAAAGTAAAATATTGAATGAATTTTATTTATTTACTATATAGTGTAGACTGTAGACGCATGGCCGAAAGATCATACAGTTCGGCGTCTAAGCTCGTTCCGGCTGATCGCGAGTAGGTCGAATGATAAAATATCGTATCAATTGTTTCGTGTAAAGATAAGCGTCCTATTTTGAAATATTTTTTTCAAATAAAATACGGCTCAACGCAAATATTAAGTTCAACGGGCGAGTGCTAGCTCAGTGATAGTCAGATTATCGGTTATCACAAATATTAAAACATTTTTTAATAAAGTTTATTTACATTTAACTAAAGTATGTAGGTGCCATTATGTTCGATAACTTTCTGCTATCTTGTAGGTAGGGACATGATCCCATTGCTATAGAAATTCTGGGGCTTCTGATAAAAAAAAAACGCGACAAGTGATTTTGGCAGTCCTCTCGTGATGGTAACCTGACACTGCCTAAAGAATTCTGAAGAGACCGAAACAAGTGGAAATCTGAAGGTGCAAGGTCAGGACTATACGGCGGATCCATTAACACCTCCCAGCCAATCTCTCTTAATTTTTGCTGAGTGGCTAAAGATGTGTGAGGTCTAGCTTTATCTTGATGAAAAACCACACCCCTTTTGTTGATTAATTTCGGCCGCTTTCTATCAACTTCTTGCTTAAATCTCATCAGTTGTTCGCAGTAGACTTCAGAATCAATGGTCCTGCCTGGCGGTAACAGCTCATAATGAATAATGCCCTTCCCATCCCACCATACACACAGCATTACCTTGTTGCGAGACAACCCGTGTTTTGCCATAGTCTGTGAAGCCTGACCAGCATTTGACCACGACCTTTTTCGCACGTTCTTGTACGTGATCCACTTTTTATCACCAGTTATCAGGTTTTTCAAAAATGGTTCGGTTTAGTTACCTCATAATAAAGAATCACAAATGAGTACACGGTTCATTAGGTTTCTTTCATGAGGCACCCAAATATCGAGCTTTTTTGTGTACCCAGATTTTTTCAAATGAGCCAAAACTGTTTTGTGCTCAATTCCCAGTTCTTTAGCTATTCCGAAACTACTGATATGCCGATTTTGCTCCACTTGTTCAAAAATGGCATCCATTTTATCCGTAGCAGGGCGCCTAAAGCGAGGTGCATCTTTGATATCAAAATTTCTGGAGATTGAAAACGCTTAAACCAAATTTGTGCTACTCTCACAGACACTGCACTAGGTCCATAAATATCACAATTTTTTTTCGCGGCTTGCGTTGCATTTTTATAGATTTTGTGGTAAAATTTTAAAATGTATCGAATTTCTTCATTACAATCACTCATCCTAACAGTAAGAAAAACGAATGCAAATCGCACATTTTCCTAATTTGAATTTGGAATTATCTTTTTTAAAATTTAAACTTTTTAATGATACCAAAACCAGCCAGATACAAATGATATAGCCAAAGAGATTATATTATAAGTACATACATACTATTTGCGAAAAGAGTTTTCCCCCAACCTAATATAAGTTATAGTTAGCATGCGATTCTAATTACTGGTTACCATTCATTTTTGCGCGCTCTCGTTCTGTTGCTCCGTAACTCCGTATCGGTCATATGTACGGTGAGAACCGAACATATTAGCGTGCAAACCTACAACTCAACTCACTGTGCAGTGTCCAGTTTAAAGGTAGAAGTAGAAGGGCTCAATGTGGTTGCGAATATATTTTTTCCGCCTTAATCGTTTAAGCCACGAAGCCACGATCGAGGTCAAGCAGTTGAAGCCAGAACAGATTTCACCGCAACAGTATAAATATGTTTCTGACCCCGTGTGCCCGCCCTTATGGTAATGACGGTACTGATCCACATTACGGTTAATTAGGTATCTTACAAGACGCCATACTGCATAGCGTGGCGATCGAGCTATCGTCTCTCGGTGGCTAACCGCGCCTAGTGCGGCACAAAAACACGAAAATGTTGATGACTCCCTGGCGCAGTTACCAAGGTATTGGCGTCGGGGGTCGTGGGTTCGATTCCCAAACGAGACAACTATTTTTGTGACCCACAGATAGTTGCCAAAAGAATTGTTAAACTCTTTGAATTGATCATTCTGATCATCAAGAAAAAGATCATTTTGAATAAATTTATGTATGTAAAACGTCCTATGAATACTGGATAATATTATCCTATGTTGAAAGGACTTGAGGGCAAAGTTTTGAAGGGAAATCTATAGCTTTGTAGGTTGCAGTGGTTGTTAGGATTTACTACACAACAACTACCCTTCCACACAAAATAAGTTCAACTCATGCCAAGTGGACAGTCTTAACGGCCCTTCTTCAATTCACTCATACTTGACTGGACAATGAAATGAATACATTAAAAATTGCATTCATAGACAAGGGAACACTGAATATTCTGTGAAGTAAACAATTTGAAAGGCTAAACTTCAACAGATTTCATTGAAACTTGTCAAGAATATTTGCACAAGTCACAGCAGTAGAAACTTGTTCAGATAGTATTAGGCCCATATAAGGTAAATCCTTAGGATTACTCATACAACACTTATATTCATTCCATAAAGAAAAAAAGGGAATATTTAAACAAAAGTTATATATATTTAATTCACAAAATAATTGAACTTATGCAGCTTTACTAAGCAGCAGGTTAGGATAGAATGCAAGGCCTTCTATTGATTCATCCCTACAGGCTAGCCCAAGACGTTCTGTTGTGAAAAGCCTCTCCCGAGCAAGTAGAATGGAGACATTAGCCAGTTGAGATAGCTTCACTGGTGTAAGTGATCCATTTTCTTCAATCTGGAAACACAAAAACAAACATTAACAATGAATAATTTTGGAAAAACACATTACATCATGCCAAAAGATGTTAATAGTAACTTCTAAGCAAATAAAATGCAACCAAGGATTGCTTAAAACGTAAATGAAGTTATCATGTACCTGTCATCCTAAATTTTATTTACTATTCTCCAATTACATATTGACATGAACAAAACTGGCTTAGGTCACAAGCATATTATTTTTGATAATTTATAGGTATTTTATTGGTTGTTTATTATAACTTACCAATTGACTAGTTACTTTTGCAATCTCTTCATCCCTTTGACTATTCAATTGTAAAACACAGGCACCACTAGGAAATTTTCGAAGGGACATTGGGGCACCAATTGTTTGAAGCAGCCTGAAAAAAGGGAATTAACTTATTTTTTTCATCTATGCATAATATTCTAAGCCTACTGCAAAATGCAAAGTATCTTATTTAAAAAAAAAAAACTTTAGACTTTAACACACTACACTACAAGGAAATTAATTTCAGAAAATCACTAAAATTATATTAACATAATATGAAGTAATCTTTATGATTTACATATTTTATATGAATAAAAGTTATTAATCTTTCGACTTTAAAAGTTGTTTTTATGTAGAAATTAATTGATTATTATATTGAAATTAATAATTAAATAACATTGGCAAATTATAAACTATTAATGTTCTATTATTACATGGAAACTTTGATGGAATATTGTTTTCAAATTTTATAAAATACATACTTGCAAGAATTCAATAAGTCCTCTGGAGAAATCAGCTCCAAACCTCTTGCTCTATTCACCCTGCACCAGACATCAGCTAATGACATGATACCACCACATTCCTAAACACAACTTTATTTTGTTGAGAACTATAAAGTGCATATAAGAATGTATAAATAGGTTTTGGTAGTTACAATTTATAATCTAATTAGGTAGAGGATTTTCGTGGCATTAATGCTAAGGCATACCAGCACCCAAAAGATATTCCAGCTAGGGAACATTTTGGCAGGGCCATAGGATCCCCTTCGGACATATCCAATACCCCACCAGTGCAGTTCCCCAAATCCGCTTGCAAAGATATTATGGCAGCCAGAAGTACTAACAAACCTGTGGCTACATCACCAACCATGTTACCATCGCTGTGGGTAGGGAAAATCCCAGAGTGGCTAAAAAGTGAACTCAAAACGGAAGTGACTTCTCTAAAACCTGCCCCTTCCCAGATACCGATTGGGCCACCTCAGATTGGCTCTCTAGGAGCAGGGTTAAACCATGGGCCAGCACATTACGGGTTTCTCTTGTCTTCTCTGTTGGGAACCAATCAGTGGCTACCAAGCCTACAGTCACAACCAGGTAGGAACCATTTTGGATGGTGGATAAAAGATGCCCTAGGAAAATATTAAATACCAGATGTGTAGATATATGGATAAAGGAAATCAAGGTGTGGCAAGATTCATTATTGTTGTCGCCTCCTTTGGGTTACAGAATCTTTGATTGTGTTTTTTAGTTGATTTTACTTACATTCTTATGAACTATGTAAAAATTTAACAGCCACAGGGTCTATGTGTATGTATGAATGCATATATGATAATTTTATATTTTACCATTAAAACTGCTACCATCATGTCTGATATCTGTTGAGCCAAATTCAGATAGAAATCAGAGTCCGATCTGAAAGCATCTCTAGTAACTGGATCATCAATTCCCAAACTCATTAGGTAGGATTTAAACCTAACAGTGTCATCCTCTGATATATCACCTTGTTTTTCCTGTAAAAAAATATTTGTGTTTATTTAAAACTTTATCCACAGACTAGTACAAAGGCCAACTTCTAAAATGAATAATGATAAAAGGTTATTCATAAACTGAATATAAATATATATTAAATTAATAATAATGTTGTTCTAAATAATACAACACAAAAAATACTATACCAAAACAAATTACTGCACAATATAAAATTACAAAGGATTATCCATCTTCTCTTGGCAGAAATGCTTTGTGTTATAAAAGAAAAAAAAAGTGTGGCAAATATGCTGCTTATTCAGAATTAAAATGGTGAATACTCAGTCAGTCCGGGTAATTAGCACAACCTCACAGAAGACCAGTACAAAGTGGAAGTGACATACTTCTGCGTTTCATCTGGTGAGTGAGGTAGCTCACAGGGGCTCACTTCATTAATAGGTAGCAACACATCACTTAAAATAAGATAATAAGACTGCTAGCTTGTGTGCCACCTCCTCACATAAAAAAATAAAACTTTATGCAATCTTTAGTTAGGCCACAATATTTCCCCAGAGGCCTCTGCCTTTTTGGGCAACAGCTGAAGGCTGCTGTCTAACTTTACAAAAGTATAAAATTTACACTAAAATAAAAAAAAAGAAACTTGTAATGGCTAGGAAAACTCTACTTTTCTTTACATAGTTTACAAACCGAATCTCAGATCTAAAATCTTTTAAAAATTACCCTTATTTTTGTTGATATAGTTTTAGATATGGTGACCATTTCCTTAGCCTTTTCCATAAGCTTCTTCAAATCTTGGAATGCCACAGTAATGCTTTCATCTGTTGCTCTATGCTGTTCCTCTATACTTCTTTCAATGCCAACTATACCTGATCTAATTTTTGAGTTGACTGGGGTAGTTGGGGACTTAGTTGTAGCGCCTGAATATTCACCACTTGTGGGAGATGCTACTGGGGATGGTATTTCCCATGCTTTACTATTAACAGCATCACTTAGTGCCTTATAAAATACTGGGTCAATACCATCTTTGAAAGAGAACTTTACAAAGTGATATGGGCTTACTACTGCTGGGCCTGGCCTTTTACCTGAAATTCATCAAAATATGCCATTACACATATTGAATCACAGTATCAATCAAATAAATAACATATGTAAACAACATTCCATCCACAATTTTGTATTCAACTCTATTCTATATTATTTTTATTCATGGAAACATTATTGCCATAGATTAAGTAGAACTTAATGGCAGCTGTGAATTATGGTAATTACACATTACTAAATGAAACTATGTTTACAGATTTATTTCATTCATTTTTAGTTTTATTTCCTGACATTTTGAACCCTTTTGAGCATTCATGGTCAAGGACAGTTTGAGGCATTGGAAGTCTGAGTGTTATTGTAAGACTGCCAGTTTTTTTTTTTTTTTTTTTTTTTTTTTTTTTTTTTTTTTTTTTTTTTTTTTTTTTTTTTTTTTATTGTGGCATTTTGTTATCCTTTATGCCAATGACAAGTAAAAGGAAGGAAACAGTGGTTTTGTTGAAATATAAATTTATTTCAACAGGACTAGGAAGCGGAATTTGGAAAAAGGAAAATAATCAAGAAGATTTACGATACATATATTCAATGTGATAAAGTATTATTAATTACAGAATATTTAGTTTTATTAATATCGTATTTACACAAATACACATAATATATATACATATATACACACATATATATGTATATATATATATATATATATACTCATATATACACACATACATACGCATACATTTATATATATAAACCTATTAACCAAATTATACTATAGTTTTATAGCATTTTTCTGAATAAATGAAGCTAATGTTTTATATACACAAGGGTCGTTATATGCTAAAAGGAATGGTATATTAATAGGAAAAGGTATCCGGAGCAATAGAAGATCAGTAAAAAGAGAGGAGCGGTCATATAATGGGCAAGAAAGGAAAATATGGTTCAAATTTCCTTCTTCCGTTCCACAAGCACATAAAGAAGTATCTACAACATGAATCTTAAACAGAAAAGACGGAGAACAGCAGTGACCTAATCGCAAACGAATTAAAGAACTAGTACAATATTTATTTAAATTGACTTGAGTGTACCAAGGCTTATTTGGAATTGTCGGTTGAATTGAGGAGTAGAATTTTCCTTTCACTAGGCTAGGAGATGTCCAGTAATGTTCCCAGGACTCTTTCAAATATCGCTTCGACAAGGAAAGAAGATCGTGACAATAATTAGTGTAAGGATATATATCACCGCTTAACACGGCTTCATTTGCTAACTCGTCTGCCTTTTCATTTCCTTTAATGCCGCTATGCCCGGGAATCCATGCAAAAACTACTGTAATGTTTTTAACTTGGCATTTGTATAACAATTTCTATTTCTAAAATTATAGGATATTGACATTTTGATTTAAGCGGAAAATGTGCTAATGTTTGTAAAGAACTTAGAGAGTCCGTAAAAATTATAGCTTTACATAAGTTTGTTAATAATATATATTCTACTGCGCGAAATAGACCAAAACATTCCCCAGTAAATACTGATGATTCAGGAGGTAATTTAATTTTTTGTACAATATTATACTGAGAATGAAATACTCCAACCCCAACACAACTATTATTGGTATGTTTAGAAGCATCACTATATATATAGTGCCAATTCTCCCAGTTATTTTCAATAATGAATTTAAAAGCTGTATGAATTTCTATTTCATCTTTTTTTATTCCAACATTGAGTTTTATGGAGGGTGTAAGAGTCAAGATTTTATAATCGGTTTCAAACAGTGGAAGAGTTTTGGAACGATACATGGGGGCTTCAATAGCAAGATATTTTTGGTAACTTTTAACAAGACATGGCAATTCCTTGAGTTTCCAATACGAAGATGAATTAATGACTTGACATAAGGTTTGTAGTTTTGTTATTAAAGGATGGTTTAAAATTTGTAAACAACGAAACAGGAATCTATCAGCTAAATATTGTCTTCTTAAGTGGAGCGGCGGATCTCCACATTCTAATTGAAGAGCATTAATGGGACTGGATTTCATTGCACCAGATATTATTCGTAAAGCTTTTGATTGAATTAAATCGATTTTTTTAAGACCAGATGCGTTACAAGGTTCCAATAAAAATGTACCATAATCTACAATGCTTCTAATGATAGCGTTGTAAACTAACTTTAAGGAGATGGGGTGCGCACCCCACCATACACCAGAAAGGCATCTTAACATATTTAGTTGACGTTCACATTTTGCTACTACATAATCGAAATGCGGAATGCCAGTAAGTTTTGAGTCCAATATTAGACCTAAAAATTTTGCATTATTCTTAACTGGAATTGGACTATTTTTATAAGAAATGTGGATTTTTGGAAGAACACGTTTTCTGGAAAATATTACAGTGGTACTTTTAGAGGCAGACAATTCAAGACCATTTGATTCACTCCAAATACTCAATAGACGCAAAGAGTAATTTAAGCACTCACAAGCTTTATGAGCAGATTCATCCGAAACATACAGAAGTAAATCATCTGCATACTGTAGAATATTTGCAGACCCATTAAGGAAATGTTCTAAATCATAAGTGTATATATTATAGAGTAACGGACTAAGAACAGAGCCCTGGGGTAATCCTTTCCAAGTCGTCCTGGATATTTTATGTCCATTTTCTAAAAAAATATGTATAGTCCTCTCATATAACATGTTATAAATGAAGTTAATGAATATTTTTGGAACTTTTAAATCAATTAATTTCTGCCGTAACAGATGCGGAAGAACACTATCATATGCAGAATTTATGTCTAAAAACGCAGATAGAAGGAAATTATTATTTGTGAACGCCAGTCTTATATCAGTAGTTAAAATACTCAAGCTATCTATCGTACCTCTTCCTTTCCTAAAACCAAATTGACTGCTTGCTATTATATTTTTATTTTCAGCAAGCCATTCAAGCCGGTTTTTCACTAAATGTTCTGCAAGCTTACCTATTACAGATGATAATGCTATTGGCCTGTAAGATGTGGCCTCAGTAGAAAGTTTCCCGGGTTTAAGAATAGCAATGATTTCCTGTGTTTGCCAAGACTTTGGTATATTGCTAGTTGCTATTATGGAATTTAAAAGATTTAAAAAGTAAGACAAAATTTTTTCGTCTAAATTTGAAATAAAAGAGTATATAATACCATCCTCCCCAGGGGCAGAATCCTTAAGATATGATAATATGCCTTTTAATTCTGACATAGAAAACTGCGAGGCTAATTCGGAGTGATCGTTTAAATTACACTCTAAATTTGGGTGGCGAAATTCTGGAGCAAAAGGGGGGGCAAGTCGGTCTGTAAAATCTTCAGCAAGATCTATTGGAAGAGATATTGAGGGAGAACTAATTTTACTACATCTGAATCGTCTGATATTTTGCCAGAGAACTGAAGGATTAGTATTAGGAGAGATCGATGAACAGTAATTTTTCCACCCTTCGATTTTCTTCATCTTTAAAATTTTGTGTGTGTTGGTACTTATAACTTGAAAACTTTCAAAATTTTCTGATGTCATAGATGAACAATATTGTCTTTCTGCAGTCTTTCTTTTTTTAACAGCTTCAGAGCATTCTTTATCCCACCATGGCGGGGGTGAAGCTTTTTGGTAGGTATTTTCTTTTAAAGGAAAAGCTTGTTCCGCAGCGTTATTAAGAAAATTTACAAAAGCATTATAGGAGTCAATTTCATAAAATTTTTGGACATCTGGCAAGGTAGAAACGTTCTGTAGTGTGTTGCTTTTGTAAGTATCCCAGCCTTTAGTACTTAATCTGTATTTCATACGTGAACGCGGAACTTTTTGATTTGGAAGGTTATAGAAAGGAAACGAAATAATTATTGGAAAATGATCACTGCCATAAGTAGAAGACAAAATGTCCCACTCTAGAACAGAAGAAAGATTGGGAGTACATATAGATAAATCTACAGCACTCACACTCTCATTCGGTTCTGTACGTCTTGTCGGCTTTGAAGTATTTAGAACACATAAATTATGATGATCAAGGATATCTAACATTAGATCTCCATTAGGATTAGAAAAAGAGCTACCCCAGGATTGATGATGACAGTTAAAATCACCCATAACCAAAAATGGCTTTTTCAGTGAAGATAGGAGATGATTAACTTCATTTAAAACTTGTTGAGATGGGTGAGGAACATAAATAGATACATAACAAACATTATTGTATGAAATCGCAATTGCCGAAAAGTTATCAGAGTGTGGAGGCAGTGGAACATACGTGAAAATAACAGTTTTTTTAATTAAGATTGCTACACCACCATATCCATCCAATCTGTCTTTTCTATGGCAAATGTATCCTTGCATATTAAATGATAAATTTGGCCGCAGCCAAGTCTCCGAAAGAGAGATAAGGAAAGGATTAAATTTGTTAATCAAATATATCAATTCACTTTTTTTATTAACTATGCTCCTGCAATTCCATTGTATAACTTGGCTTGATTGTCCATTGTTAAGAATTTGTTTAAGAATATCAAATGTTTGAGCAACGTTGTTCGGTGAAATTATTTTACTTAGTAACAAAGAATTAATTAAAGGAATTACAACATCTGTAAATATGTCTTGTTTTTCATTCCCATTGGGTGTTAATGCACATCCGTTAGACGACATTGGGATTTCAAAGTCCTTAATTAGAGCTTGATGAGCTGCTTTGTCATAGCCTTTGTTGAAATGGGGAAGAGGGCGAGTTTTTAAAGAAACTGTCTTTTTATATGAGTTTTTCAATGGTTGGTTAATATGTGATGACAAAGAATGTTGTGGCCTCATAGACTCAGCTGAATATGTGCTAGAGGGAACAGATTTAAGAATATCAACATAAGACTTAGTGACAGGGGGGAGCATTTTGGAAGCCTCTGCATATGAGATGCAGTTTTGTGCCATGGTCAATTTTATTTGTTTTTGTCTAGCCCATTCAGGACATGATTTGCTAATAGCAAAATGTGACCCAGAACAAAGGAAACAGAAAGCACAGTCATCATCTTTATTGCAAGAGTCACTTGTATGAACATCTCCACACTTAAAGCAGCGTGGTTTGGACCTACATTGAATTTTAGTGTGACCATATCGACAGCAGTTGTAACATTGTATAGTAGGATATGTGTAAAGTTCGACAGATAAAGCATTATAGCACATATAAATGTGTTTTGGAAGAACCTGACCATCAAATGTTATAACTACTGTCTGTGAAGGTTTCCAAACTGGAGACCCATCAACAGTTGTTTTATAATTTAATCGTCTTATTTTTAAAATTTCACCACAACCCATTGGCACAGTTTATGTTATTTTTAATTTCATCTGGGGACCATTCAGCTGGCACTCCTCTTACAATACCCATCCTAGTTATGTTGAAGGTTGGAATAAAGGCTTTTAATTTCTGTGTAGACAAAGAAGGATGATTAATAAAAGTGTTAGCATCAGTAAAATTGGAAAATGCAAGGGAAATCTTGTTCCTACCAATTTTTTTTTATACTGCCATTGATGATATTCCTAAATGCATTTTTTTTTAGAAAATTGCCAAAGGACACAGGGTGGAATGAAGTACCATCATTAAATGAAGATACTTCTTTTTGAACATGTATAATATAAGGTGATAAGTCACTGTTTTGGTAAATCTTTCTATATTCGACACTAAGTTGCTCGGGCTCTTTTGATTCTGTTGTTACTGGTGATGCAACATTATTTAGAATGGTGCTGTTCTCATCACTATCGCAATGACAGGCATGCTTAGTTTGGTCATTCTTAGTACCAGAATGACTGCTCCTCCTTTTTTTTATTGCAATGTTTGCAAATTTTCTGCAAACGTGAGCGTTTTCTAATGATAAGAGTATTCGACGCATCAGTGTCCATACAAGACTCGCCATTAGAAACTTCTACATTGTACGCAACCTCGGGGACTCCACCCCCGGGATCAGGGGGTTCATTCATTATAATAAAATATATAAAACTTACCTAGGTATAGAAATTAAACTATTACTATTAATAATTAACTACACAAAGTAAAAAAATTACATATATACACAAAACTTCTCTGATTATTATCACTAAAATTAAATAAATGTGATTTAGAGAAAAAAAACGCGCGCTTAGCTTTCAAAGTTTCCCGCCTTTTCCCAGTTTTTTTTATTATTAATTTTTGTTTCAATCTATGCAGAACATTATTATTTTATCTTTACTTGCATGAGTGGTTTGTTTGGGCCTAGATTCTTACTAGAAACTAAGAAGGATTCTTACTAGAATTACTATTCTTGTTAAATACAGACAGTAGGGTCAAAAGCAATAATTTTTTATCTTATGATGTAATTTTGTAGATAGATCATAATATTTAACATTATTCATACATGAAACTCTCTATAATTGTAGTGTTGACTGTACCTTCACAAGGCTACACTACAGCATGTCTCAATCACCATTAGGTTTGTCATGGTCAATATTACTTTTTCATTGATAATATTATAGATATTAATTACTATTTATGCATATTGATAAATTTTTAACCCTTAGCAATTAAGACCTCTTTTATTGTAATAAGCATGTTTGTCTAGATTATGGCTATAAACAATAATGGCATCATTTAGAAACCTTAGACAAGGAGTATGTCATAAATAGTTGCGATAAAAATAAACCTAGATAGTATTATGAAAATTAAAGGTTAGAGCCACTTCTCAACATCTTAGGCACATATTTTATGTATTATGTTAACAGAATATTTACTTAAAAATATATACATGAAACTTAAAATTGTCATTTTAAAGAACAGTTGTCTAAGCTAAGCAACAATTTAAGAATGTAAAAAGTTTACCTGGTAAAGCAGGACCTAAATGTAGTATAATCCGTTTTGGACCACCAAGACCAAAAACCCCTCCGCTTTCTTCTTCCAAACAAAATACATAATACAATGGAAGCGACAAACATGTCAGTCCTTTCGGTATATCACCGGGTTTACCCCATAAAATTCTATGTGTTGTTAGTACTACTTCCCCATCTACAAATTGAGTCTGAAAAGATAAATCTATTATTGTTCTTCAATAATATTAAAGTTTAGACTTTTGTTTACATAAATTTGCACAAACCTTATCTTCGCCGTCATAAATCTTCACATTTTTTTCTCTTTTAAGATAATTCTCTCCTTCAAAAAGGCGAGCGTCGATGTATTCGAACCTGTCCATTTTTTAAAGCTGATTTTAGTTCTTACTTTCTCACCACCTGTTTTTGCGAAAATTTAATTATTAATCACAAATATTAAAATAAACAGTAAACAATTTTTAAACATAATACTTTACCAGCGTTCATTTCATTGTTTTCATTTATTTTATGCCTTAGTCAAAAGCGTTAGAATTGTTAATAAATAGATAGAAGAAAATTCAATTTTAAACCGTATATTGCGAACTTGCGAAGTGTTTACTGTAAAGCTGTAGAGTGTAAAATTAGCTGTAGAGTGTAAAATTTCAGATATACAAAAGTACTCTTACTCTTTGGTAAAATTGATATGTCAAATTGTTAATTTAAAATTAAGTTAGGGCTTATTATGTACTGTTTGATGAAAATATCGATATATATTTAGGCGATATATTTTGATCCGATACAAAATATTCAATATAGAAAATCATATCAAAACGATTTTTTTAAACAAACAACTTTCAATAAACAAGGCTTCAACTGTAAAATTTCCGGTTCCCAATAATAAGAGCCGGCAGTCAGCAGAGCATCATAATGAAGATCAGAGTTTTTCTACTTTCGCTACCGTACAAGTACTGAATAACGAAGTGGTGATAAATATAGTAATATTTCATAAATATTCGAAGATTGCTAATTAGTTTTTGATGTTGAAGTTAGACTTCTTTTGAACAAAAAAGAATTTTGCAAATCCGTCTATATAATATGAGGAAATTATGCCGAAAAAAAATATAAACATCCGAATTGACAACCTTTCCAGCTTTTTGAAGGCGGTTAAAATATGAGAGAAACATTTTTACAAAGCACGCGCATACCGACCGCCAAAAAGTAACATGATGAAGATATTAAGTTACTTGCAATGCAAAGTAACTAATTGCACGGTATTACCATGGCAATCAACAACAACATTTTGACATATATTTATAATTCCAAATTATTTAACTGAACCGTTATAAATTACATTAATTAGTGTCTTTTCGATAAACATAGAGTACAGGCACAGGGAATAATAGATTTGGTTATTTTTCTTTTGCTACGCTAAAGAAGTATAACTTTTAATGTACATAAGTACTATAAAATAATGTGCATTTTGTATGAAAATTACTATTAATTAAGCCAGATTCAGCTTATACTAAATACATATACTGAAAATCTCTGAAAATTTGATATATCGATATTTTTTTCACTTCCCTAAGCCAAATAAAATATTTTGTCCAAAGACCTTACACTTACTATGGTTCTTGATTGTCTATGATTTTTGATTTTGTCAAGATGCTTAATTTTGACACCTCACACTAGGGATGCGGTAGTGTGTAATCGTGATTGAACCTGATCGATTAATAATCACTATATGGTAAAGCTTAGAATCGATAGATACATGCTTATGCTGTATGGTCAGATTGTAATATTAGGTCTTATGAAATTGCCGTTCTTCAGTACTGGTCATATCAAACAAAAAGAGTTTTGATTGGCTGTGAAATCTAAATTCAAATTAATCTTTTAAGACATGAAATTCTTTTTCAATGAAGAATGACCACAGAGGCAGTTATTTATTAATGTATGTATAAATTAAAACTTTTTTATCGTTATATATTTTAATAATTTACATGTTTTTTTAATTTTGAATGTTTTGGGCATATGTTTAATCATGCAAAAATTACCTCAAATTGATATTTTTCATCGTTAGTTGGATGCTGGTTAAAAAAATTGATAGGCTAATTTTTACTTGCCCATCCTGTTGATATATGTAACATGTCTTATGTAAGTAATAAAAAAAAAGATTACTTTATTATACATATATAAAAAAAATATTCATTAGTTATTGGTAATGATTTTTCATCGGAAAATATAAATTGCAGTATATTTTAATATACTTAATTATGATATTTACAGTTGCTTGTAGTGTTTCATGTTATCACCAGGCAAGCGACCCGCTCTCCGACGGCTTCAATTAGTAGGTAATTTAAAATCAATTCCTTCTTTGCGCAACTGGCACCCTGTAGTATAATATGCAGAACGCCGAATAATATCGTGACCTTAAAATCAGTATTATGTTCTAAGTTTTCTTTCCAAATAATATGGTATTTAAAGTACTATCAATAAGACATTTTAAACGAATAAATAGTAATACAATTCCGGTGATGAAATTTAACATAGACAATCCTGATGACAAATTAACGGGTGCGTCAAACCATTTCATTCTCACGCCACCATCTGATAATGCATACTGCAAAGACGTGATGATAGAGAACCGAAACATACAAAGCATATTTTTTAACATTTCAGGATTAATACTCGCGTTCATCAAGGCGAGTATTATTCGTGGGTTATGAACGGTTACATTCGATTTGCCTAAGTTGCTTTGTTATAGTTGTTTTATAGTAAATCTTCGTACAATCGTTTTAAATTAATATAATATTTGACTTTCGAAGATTAATGTTTTGTTTTTGTGAATTGGTTATTTTCGTAATCTTATGATTACGTAAACAATTTAATTCTGTGTTTTCGAGATTTCATTTTCGTAAACGATCACTCGACATAGGAAAATCTATAATCAGTACTCACGCAATTTCAACTTTTTTACTCACTCTGGTTAAGTTCCACCATCTAACGCGATGCAAGGCGAGATTTTAACCTCTTAATCTGAGAATCCCCTAAATGTGACATGCACCTTCGCCTTCGTAAGACGAGATTTACAGGGGTCGCAATGTGCGTCATCCTGCGCCAGCTAGTCCTAATTGTGCAGCTAAGTCCGCGCGTCATATTTCCATGAACCTCCAAGTTGTAAAGCGGTATGGACTGTCGATAGTTTGGGCCCACGTGAGTTTAATATCTTAGTGAATATAATATCCACATTTTTACAAATAAAAACATATAGCATCGCATCGGGGGTCGTGGTGAAACGTTGGATACATCGAGTTTTGGACTGTCTAAAACTAAAAGTCCTCTGTTGGTATTAGCTTATATATTAAAATAGGTGACATCCACAAACAATTAAGTGTAAACAATTGCAAACATTTGTAAAAGCTACCCTAATGGAATGGGGATATTATAATTTCGAACAAGGATATATGGCAATTACTCTTGCTCTGCACTTGCAAGTTTCTGGCTGCTTCAGATTATATACTTAAAAAATTTTATAATTATCAAAGAATTTTCGGAACGCATCCATAACATGTTTGATTTGACTTGACAGGTAGGAACAGTTTGTATGGGAAAATAAAATTGTTGCTATTTCGATTTTCCATGTAATTTTTCCATAATTTCTCATCGTTTAAACCTTCCCTGGACCGCCATAAATATTTCAAAAGCAAAATTAGCAAAATCGGTCCAGCCGGTCTCGAGGTTTAGCGAGACTAACGAACAGCAATCCATTTTGATGTAAAAGATTTACGATTTTGTTTGAAGTGACAGATGGATGAGGCGATTTGAATTTGAATACCTAATCATTCACATTCACAATTCGCATTGACGTAAGACGTCAAAAAGCAAAGTGTTGCTCGTAGGATAAGTTTTTGTAGTACTTACGGCTTACGATCTGTGGTGACGTTAAATGCTAAGCAAAGCAAAACGAAATGAAAGGTGCTTTGTGGCGTGAGAATAACCTACAATTTTTTACGGTATCTAACAGAAATTACTTTTACTTTAATATTAGCCTTGAGTGGTAGTACAGTGTGTCAATAATTTTTTTATTAAATTATTTATTATGGCTGAAACTCAAGAAACATTACTTCAAAAAATTAAAGAACAAGGGGATGTTGTGAGGAAGTTGAAAGCTGCAAAGGAATCAGGTGAAAAGGTAACTTTTATTTTAATATGACACTTCTAATATCCTATAATCATGGTGTTATATTCACCATTTGTAATTCTTATTTGTAACATGCAGAGCAGTTGCGTCATATGACTTTTTTTAATGATAACAATTGAATTTTATAGCCGAAGAGGATGGAAAAATCATCTTTTAATCTTGAAGAGATTGATAGACATCTCGCACATTTTAGTTACCTATCAGGGTATACTCCTACTAGACTAGATTTAGATATTTTCAACAATTTAGGACAAAACTTAGATTTCTTTAAATATAAATATTTGAAGCGATGGTGGTACCATATGCGGAGTTTCAATGATTCTGAAACAAGACTGTTTCCTGCATCAAGTGCCCAAAATACTTTTACAAATCTGCTAAAGCCCAATGATAAGATTATTGATGAGCAGGTGTGTTTTGATGCTCTTTAAAAGTAGTTACTTTTTTGCTTTCTTTATATTTTAAATTCCTTCAAACTTACTATTTGAATCTCCCCATATGGTTTTTTGTTACCATGAATCTCAATGACATTCAATATAAAATTTTCAATTTGCATTTCAAATTAATTATGACAATAAATTTAATTTATCATGATTTATTGATATATATTTATATATGAAACAATTAATAAAGTTTATGTTGAATGTTATTATTCCTTAATATGTTGATGACAATAATTTTGTTTACGGTCATTATTTGTTTGTCATCAGTGGTGACAAGGAACCATATTAAGTTTGAAGTGGATTATTAAAGAAAAATGGTTTTCAAATCATTGAAGTTTGCAAAGAACCGAATAAGCAATTTGCTAGTGTGCAATGTGCTATCCAACTCTAGTTCCAAAAAAAGTATTGCTACAACATCACACAATAAGGTATTAGAAAGCTTAGAGCACTTATGGTATAAAAAATCTTAGACAGTATTTTCCATTTTGTAAAAAGATGTTAATTTATTAATATGTTTTAGATTCAAAATGAAGTAAGTAAATTGCTGGCTCTAAAAGCACAATTGGGCTCAGAAGATGCAGCACCTCAGAAGTTTGTTCTCAAAACTCCAAAAGGAACCAGAGACTACAGTCCACAGCAGATGACAATAAGAAATAATGTACTGCAAAAAATTATTACTGTGTTTAAGAGACATGGGGCAGAGTGTATTGATACTCCCGTTTTTGAATTAAAGGTACAAATTGGTTTATCTATCCTATTTAATAACAAAATATATTTTCATTCCTAATAATCACCAAAGTATTATTTATTAAATACTCAGAAATATTTTTAAAACAAACACATTCTGTACAGGAACTTTTAAGTCTCTATTGTAACTATTTTCCATATTTGTGTTAGGAAGTGCTTACTGGAAAGTATGGGGAAGACTCGAAATTAATTTATGACTTAAAAGATCAGGGAGGTGAAATACTCGCTCTGAGATATGATTTGACAGTACCTTTAGCCCGTTACTTGGCTATGAGCAAGATAACCACTTTGAAGAGATATCACATTGCTAAGGTATATAGAAGAGATAATCCAGCAATGACAAGAGGCAGATATAGAGAGTTTTATCAATGTGTAAGTATATTTAAATAATGTCAATGTTAAAATATAGATTCACTCTAGGAGCTAATTTTCTTTACCATAATGATGCAATAAAAGTAAGCAATGTTGAACAGGCTACTGCTCTTAGCTGTGAGCATTGCTCAGTAAATTCTTTAGCAACATAGCTAGTCCTAGTTGTAAAAATTAAACAGCTATAATTTAAAGCTTTGGTAGTATAACAATTTGAGGTTTAATGTTAGAAATATACATGAGATTGTTTCATTTCAGGATTTTGATATTGCTGGGCAATATGATTTAATGGTGCCCGATGTAGAATGTCTCAAAGTTGTGACTGAAATTCTGGACACACTGGACATTGGAAAGTATATATTGAAGGTTAATCATAGGCGGTTGCTTGATGGTATGTTTGAGGTTTGTGGTGTTCCAGTGGACAAATTCCGCACTGCTTGCTCAACCGTCGATAAATTAGATAAGGTTAGCATTTATAGCAAATGATTAATTTATAGTTTTTTAAAGGTGATATAAAAATAAATGTTAATTCAATGAATTGCTTTTTATAGTCACCTTGGGAAGAAGTAAGAACGGAAATGATAAACGAGAAAGGAATAACTCCTGACTCAGCGGATAGAATAGGAGAATATGTGCAATTGAATGGTGGTACGGAATTGGTTGATAAATTATTGAAAGACGAGAAGTTAATCAAATCAAAAGCAGCAGTTGAAGGCCTAGAGGGAATCAAACTGTTGCTGAGCTATTGTGATATACTTGGGATAAAGGACAAAATATTGTTCGACTTAAGCTTAGCTCGGGGGCTGGATTACTACACGGGTGTTATCTACGAAGCTGTTTTAACCCGTGAGTTTTTATTATGATATAAAATATATTATATTTATATGTTTTTATACGCTTTGAAAGTTCGTAAACCGTCGAACTTTTGATAAAATTATTAAAACTTTCGTGAGACATTATTAACGAAGAAATAAGACGGCTGAACTCGCATTTAATCGATGTAGTTACCGACTAATTCCAGAACCATCGGAGTTAATTTAAGCTGAGTGGGATGGGTTCACGGTGGGAGACAAGTTACCGACCGTGAAACTTATTATTTCATCGGATTTTGATTCATGACTAGCCATTTTTAGATTATGTATGTGATAACACATTAGTATGCTACATAAAAAATTATTACATTTATACATTACTAGCAACCCGCCCCGACTTTGCACGGGTGCAATGTATTATACATATAAACCTTCCTCTTGGACGTAAAGATCCGTTGCGTAGTTTTAAAGATCTAAGCATACATAGGGACAGACAGACAGCGGGACGACTTTGTTTTATACTATGTAGTGATATGTATAATAATGAGAAATTCCATTATAAAGGCTTTTTCAAATCAATGTTTAGTTTGTAAGTTAAAAGATATTTTCTTTATTATAGATAATAACAACTTCCCGTCTAATACTAAAGCAATTGCGAAACGGTCAAGTGAAATCGGATCGTAGATTTTTTGCACACAGATCAAGTAATTGTAACACTTTTTATAATAAACCGTGACGAACGGTTGACCACTTTCACTAAAGAAATTTGAGAATGTCCGTCTAGGATCATTAAATGTATTAGTTTACGACTCGAATCTCCCATATCGTTTTGTCGTTTAATTTAAACTAGTTGTCGCTTAACTCGCTCATAATAATTGGTCGATCATCGATGTTAAAATTCTTTTTTACTCTGTGCAAGTTTTATAATACAGACGCCCGGTTTCTGAAACACTGATCATCGTAGTAGTTAACTTTAGCTGTCAAATGACTTTTCGAATGTTATTTGAGATGCCAAAAGGATTGTTAAACTCTCTGAATTGATCTTAATGATCATAAGGGTAAAAAAGGTATGTTTACAGACTATTGTTCGCGCTACATTGACAGTACAGTGAATGTGTCGTTTTATTTAATTAAGCATTTTTAACCGACTTCGAAAGGAGGAGGTTCTCAATTCGACTGTATTTTTTTTATGTTATCTCAGAACTTTTCACTGAGTGAACAGATTTTGACTGTTCTTTTTTTATTTGAAAGCTGGTGCTTCCCTCGTGGTCCCATATTCATTGGTATTGGGTCTTGGGATCCGGAGACACTTAGGCAACTCCTGAAAATCGACTATAAAATGAATACAGAGCGCGATATTTTAAGTCGGTTTGGTTTTTCGTTCGTAAAAAAAATGTCATTTTTTACCCAATCATCAAGCTATCCTTGATGGAGCCATTATATTAAAAATTGAATCGAATTGTATTTTCTTTATCCAAACCCTGGCCGATAATTATTAGACATCTATTGAAACTCTTATTTTATGTATTTGTAACACATATTGTTTATTTCTTAACTTTCCATATAAAAATGTGCCAAATCTCATGCTCCTATTTGCGCAATGTTCTGAAAAAGGGATTCAGCTTTCGCTTCACGTATTATTATGTAGACAATAGTTTGTTGATCTGTGAAAGTTATTTTTAAATAGAAGAAATGTCCAATTGACCTTGAGAAATTTACAATCAGAACACAGGTGATGGACAAACTGATACATAATTACATACCGATGTGAACGGAACTCGTTACTAGACCTTGGTCTCGTGTTTAGGAAACTGGCATTACTTGCATCTAAAATAAGGTCTATATTGGAATCAACATTCGTTCTCACTCCGCAAGTCAAATGATTTCCATTTGTCATACGAATTGTCAATAATTTTGCACAAAGTTCGATAATTGTGTCGCGATTGAATATCTTTTACTAAATGCCGACTTTTCTCTCGGCCGCGTTCATGCTTTTAATTAGAAATTAAATTATTAATTCTTTAAAGGCACTTTCATAGAGAATAATTATGCTCGCTTGGTATACCAGACTTTTGATGCTATTAGTTAGGTAGTATTATCCCATACTCTTGTAAGGACTCTACCGAAAATCGTTGCCGCCTAGCCATGCAAGTATCGATCTCCCTCGTTAGCGAAAGATTTCTCATTATAGTGAGTATGTATGCGTAGAAAATATTTCAATATTTTCAATTTTGCGATTTTTCTTGTATAATTTGAACGTGAAATCTAAATAACCGGAGAAACGCTTCGCCTGTCATTAATATTGGTATACTCAAAACCAGTTTGAGAAATTTGTGATTAAAATTAAAATATAGGAAAAAATGTTTTATATAACGTGTAAATAACGCGTTTCGAGTGTTTTCTGCATTTGATTTCTTTTAATTTAATGATTTTTCGCTTGTTTCAACGGGTAGATAGTATTGTGGAATATGTTCTAAAGTACTGCAGGGACCTTGATCCGTTTGCAGTTACAGCATTTGCGATTAAATCTAAGGTTAACCACTTCTCTAAGGTTAACTAGTAACTACCTAAACTATTATCGCTATTCGTCTAATATCTTACATACACTGACGAAATGGTCAAAAATGGAAGTGCATTTGATGACTTTGTACTTGATTACATTTCACTCACAACTTACTTTCGAATGAAACACAGATAGTAATTAAATGTAGATTTCATCTGAATAATGCGGTAGTTAATTATTCGGCGCTAGCCCTTAATGTTTAAGCACGTATATTAGAGCAACCTGGGTTAAAATCTTTATGCAAGGCAATGAAATTGATAATTAATTTTTATGTGAGGAGGTAGGAAGACAGCTGGCGGTTCACCTGAACTTCAGTGATAACCGCCATCCATGGACATTGGCAACACCCATAGGGTTACAGATGCTTGCACGGATTACAAATGCTGCAGAATTCGTTGCCTCCTTTTGATTAAGTGGGCCCCGGCTACCTCACTCACCAGACGAAACGCAGAAGTGTAACACTTCCACTTGACGCCGGTCTTCTGTGAGGTCGTGGTACTCCCCCGGACGGAGCTGCCCATTCGTGCAATAGTTTGTTGCGTGGCCCTACTACAGTTAAAAAAAATCGTACATATCTGTGACATGTAAAGCAAATATTTGAAAGACAAGTGACGTACTAGTTAAGCTATTTTCGCATTTGTTACTTAACTCTTATCTATATCTGCGTTAAGGTTACAACCATACTTTCTAATGAAGCATGCGTCTGTGCAAATAGTAGAGCAGTTCAGTTAATAATTAATATTCAGTGACAAATTATGTCACTAGTAACATTTTATTTTAGATCGAAACTTTCATTTTGTGTCCATCAAAAATTTGCTATAAGTATAGCTTATTTGATAATAGTTTTTAATATTAATGATATTAATAATATTGTATTCACCGACTGTATTCTTTCTGCCTTTCAGAGTCTATAAAAGTTGGCAACGAAGAGCTTACTGTCGGTTCTATAGCGGGTGGGGGTCGCTACGACAATCTTGTGGGGATGTTCGATTCGAAGAAGAAACAGGTAATTGGTCAAACATAACCGGACTATGATTACATAATGTTGTTAAGTGTATTTGCTAAGTTAACTATCGGAAATTTATAATTATTGATCTTTTGTCCGAATAGTATTGCAAAATATTCATTGGCTTAGGATGGATTGTTGTTGGCTTTCTGGTTGGTTGGAAATTGAAAGTTATAGATTTATGCAATAACGAAGATTTATAATTTTGTATTGTGTCAGTGTTAAAGTTGCATATTTTTATGAACTTTGCCCTGATTATCTTATCAAGTATGAACAATATATATACGTCACATTACCTACGTGATGTTTTAATTTTATATTTTGTTTCATTAATTTTACTTTCATTATGAGAGTTGACATCTTGTGGCACTAGCTAGATAACAGTGCTGACCGAACTTGTATTTATTATAATAAAAGCCAGTCTCATAGTCTGTTAAAATTACTTCTAGTATTTAGAAATTAGGATGCATGTATTTTAGCAATCATTACACAAACTTATAATAATAACAAAAAATACATAAAAAATTATATGAATTCTTTTACAAAAATGTGTTGTATTAGTATAACTTTAGTTTAATATTCTGTTGATGATATAATTTATATAACCATAACTATTAAGGTTTCATCAAATTATAAGATCTTAAAATACAAAATTAAAGAAACTATGCTTCTTTGACTTCAAAAACGTTTCATATAATGTTATTTCTTTCGAAAACACGTCAATCAAGTAAATATAGACCAAAATAATGCAATGCGCGGTAAAATGTACATAACCTCAAAGACAATTTAAATTTCTTGCCTTTTACGTTTATACAACCAACTAGCGACCCGCTACGCACAGGTGCAATATATTATACATATAAACCTTCCTCTTGAATCACTCTATCCAGTAAAAAGGACCGCGTCAAGATCCGTTGCGTCATTTTAAAAATCTAAGCGTACATAGGGAGTTAGGGACAGACAGCCAGACTTTGTTTTGAACTATGTTATGATGTCTTAAAAGAAAATAAAGCTGCAAGCTATTTTTACGCGGCAAAATATGTGAGGTTATAAAAATTAATCCATTGATCGTTTAAAATCAGGTACCGTGCGTGGGGGTCAGTATCGGTGTGGAGCGAATCTTCTCAGTGCTCGAGTCCAAACTCGCCGCGGGCGACATTGCCGTGCGCACGAACGAGATAGACGTATACGTCGCCTCCGCTCAGAAGAACTTCCTAGAGGAGCGAATGAAGATATGCGCCGAGCTGTGGAACGCCGGCATCAAGGTTTCTCGTCTCTGAGCATTATGTTTCTGCTTTGGGTGATACGGTAGGGCCACGCAGCAGCCTCGGCTGTTGCACGAATGGGCAGGCCCGTCCGGGTAAGTGCCACGACCTCACAGAAGACCGGCGTCAAGTGGAGGTATGACAAATACTTTCGCGTTTCGTCTGGTGAGTGAGGTAGCCGGACCCGATTTTCAAAAGGTTGTCAACGCATCTGGTGTAACCCTCGGGTGTAGCAGACGTCCATGGGCGGCGGTTATCACTTAACATCGTGGATCGTTAGCTCGTTTGTCACTTTATCACCTAAAAAGGGCAAGTTACCAATTGATTGGTTGGTCATTGTGTAGTAAATCTGGATGCCTGGATCACTACTTGACGAGTGGTTAGCACGACGGCGAAGGCCGCAGTCGACAAATAGCGATTTTTTTTTTTTTTTTTTTTTTTTATGCGAAAAGTTGTCAAACGAGCAGACGGTTCACCTGATGTTAAGTGAATACCGCCGCCCATGGACATCTGCTACACTCGAGGGTTACAGATGCGTTGACAACCTTTTGAAAATTGGGCTCCGGCTACCTCACTCACCAGACGAAACGCGAAAGTATTTGTCATACTTCCACTTTACGCCGGTCTTCTGTGAGGTCGTGGTACTTACCCGGACGGGCCTGCCCATTCGTGCAACAGCCGAGGCTGCTGCGTGGCCCTACCACCGTCAAAGCGATTAACCGATTTTAAAGTTCGAATAAAGCTGTTACACATTTTCAGTTTTACCTTGAGTGTAGAGACAAGCGAGAATTAAAAAATAAATTTAAATGAGATACTATAAACATTATTTGAACGAAAAAACAAGTGCGAGTCGGACTCGCGCATGAAGCGTTGCATATCCTTTAAAACGGCAAAAAAATCATGTCTGTTGTATCGTCTGTGATAATTTCAAGACAGACCGACAGGCAGACAGACACACAAACAGCCGGCGAAGTCTTAGTAATAGGGTCCCGTTTTACCCTTTGGGTATGGAACCCTAAAAAGAACTCGACTCGGTGACGCCGCTGCTAAGTTATTGGCTTCATCGTCGGGGGTCGTGGGTTCGATTCCCATACGGGACGTTTATTTGTGTGGCCCACAGATAATTATTGCGAATATGGGAGCTTGTTTCACAGTTTTAACATGACATTGTCAATCTATTTTATTTTATTATTTTTTCCTGTATAAAAATTGTAAAATCGTTACACCAAAATAATATATAACTAGTTCTTACAGTAGCTTATTTTCTTCTCCAAGGTCCCATCTATCTTTATACTAAAATTCATCAAAATTGGTTCTGCGGTTTTGTCGTGAAGGCGTAATAGACAGACAAGTTAGTTTGACTTGGACTATGTATTATTCTGATGTATAAGCTATATTATTCTTTCATTAAAATTCATTAAAATCCATTCGGTAGTTTTTGCGTGAAAAAAATAACAACTAATCATTCGCGTTATCTAGTCCTAAACTAAGCAAAACTTGTGCTATAGGTACTAGGTAACTGATAAACATACTTAAACTTGTAATTAAATACATGTTATAGATATATGAACACCCAGATACTGTAAAAACACTATGTTAATCACACAATATTTTCCCAGTAGTGGGAATCAAACCCACACCCTCTGGCCCGGAAGACAGGTCAACTATCGACTACTCCAATCGGGTCGTCAATATGTAGTATGATTATGTCAGCGAACTGTTTGTTACCAGTCACGTACTTATATCTCATCTTCGTAATGTTTCGCAGACGGAGCAGTCGTACAAGAAAAATCCTAAGATGCTGAACCAGTTGCAACACTGCGAGGAGAACGGCATACCGTTGGCCGTGATCCTCGGCGAATCCGAGCTGAGGAATGGCCTCGTGAAGATCAGGGATATCAAGACCCGGGACGAACGGGACGTGCCGAGGGCCGATTTGGTCTCGGAGCTGAAGAAGAGGATAGCTGCTTTGGGCGAGAAAGAGATGAACGGCACCGCATGAAGTGAACGGCGCGTACAAATAGCAAAATTACAAATTAGCTCTAGGTCTCTGTGGTTTTATTTATTGATGTTTACGTCAGTAGCCCACGAATTTTATGGGACTTATGCCGCGTTGACACGATCCAAGTAAAATTGGACATTGCTCAAACTGCACTTGGATAGGATACCGTGACACTAAGATAGGTTCACTCGGATGATTTCCTTTTCTTCCATTCTTCCCATTTCCTATTCTTCAAGTGTCCCTTGACTGAAGAAGATCGTCAAGTAGTCCAGATGACAGATTTTGTGCTTTTGACGCTATTTTGTTTATCAACTGACGTCCAAGTAGGCTATGAAATGTCCAAGTCCACTTTGATTGGATGCTAACGTCCAACTGTACTTTGATCAGTGTTGCTACGATCAAAGTAGCATCCCAATATACCAAATGTTTTTTCTGTAAAAGTATTATTTGATGGTGTCAACGCGGCTTTATGAATGTCCGTAGTAAATACGTTTGATTTTTAAAAATGTTCCGTTCCCTTTTTAATTTAACCCTTCAATGATTCATGAATTTGTTTTGAAGTAGTAAATGTTGAGTTATTCATTAATAATGTATAATAATTGAGGAGTATGTATATAATTATTATATATTATTAATAGTATACTGAATGAGTATGATTTGAATATTAAGAAATGTCTTGAGCAATATCAAGATTGACTTTTGGTTTTCTTTACTAAATATGAAATTAAAACAAAATTGTATTTCATTGAAGAGTAAATAAGTTCGTTGCGATTTACCTTTAATAATTTATTTTAGAATAATTTTAACTTCTCTTACGTTTAAATAAACTTTCTTAATATTTCAGTTTATTTGAAATGGAAACAATGTTGAGAGTTCTTATAAATGTTTTGGTGTGTTAGACGGGCGATTGCAATCTCCCTTTAAAAATTCTTGTTTGTATATGTGATGAAAAGGTTTAATAAAGGAACGTCTTTCATTATTTTTCGTTTTTCTTTTATTTTCCATTGTTATTAATTTTAGTAATTGTATGTCGGCTCCAATGTATTCTTATTGGAGCTAATCCGATCTATATCGTATATCTCCTTGAAAATTTATTACAACTATACGCGAATAATTATAGACTCTATTTTAAATTAAATTTTTCTTATGCGAAATATGAATTGCATTTGGTACAAAATTTTAATAACCATAGGAGTAATATGAGTAATATATTTGTGGGTTCTCTGGGCGAACTGAAAAATGGTCGTGTTTAACAGAATCTTTACTAATCCTTACTAATATTATTAAGGCGAAAGTTTGTATCTATGGATGGATGTTTGTTACTCTTTCACGCAAATACTATTGAATGGATTTTAATGAAACTTTACAATAATATAGCTTACACATCAGAATAAGACATGTTATAATTTATACAGCGTGTCGTTATAAAATTATAACGACACGCTGTATATGTACTGTTTGTTTATATACCTAATAATATTACAAACCTCAAAAATTTTAATAGCAACTGCTATTTATAAGAAAACCAAAATAAAAAAAATATAATTTGAATCGGCCATTCTGAACAATTACAATTTTGCAGATGTCACGTTCTACGCAGGGTGCGAAATGGCTTCAATATCGATGAGGCAAAGTAATCTTACTATGTTTATATACGGACAGAGGCTAAAAAGTATATTTGACTCCTCAATGACAATATCAGATTGAAAAAATACCATGCCTTCGTTCCGACTGCTGAAGACACTATGATAAAATGCAGAAATAACATGAAGATTCTTTAATAAACATTTATAAGTACATCTAAGTAAGATCAAATGATTTATTAAACTCAATTAGGTAAACAAAATATTATGTTGGATGTTTTTGTAATCTCGCGTTAACTGGCAGAAGGCGCGATCCGGGCACCGGCGCTACCCTTCGACACTGTAGATGGCCTAACTCCTAAAGGACTTCTCGGCCCATTATGAAACTTGGCAAGGACTATTAACTAGTTTTAGAAAAAAAATAAAGTGGTCCAACTTTGTGAAATTCAAGTTTAAAAAGTTTGACCATGATTTTTTCCCAAAAAAAAAATTTTTTTAATATCCAAAAATGCAATTAAAAAGCTCATTAAATTAAGCATACACTTGACTACTTCATTTATTTCCATTTATCTTTTCAATACCGGATAATGGGATTCGAAGTGGCGCATACCTGCCGGTTAGTCACATTTTTAAAGCTCTGTAAATCGTAAACTACATTTTATACTGTAAAAATATTTCGTATCTGGATTGAGGACACATATAGGTATAACATAATCAAATATTACTAAAATCGGAAACATCAACTTTTTTTACCTGTCCTTTACGCGTGGAATGCCCCATTTGTTACATTGATCTTAATTCAAATAAAAATACATAGCTATAATTAATAAACTCCTGCTTTTTCAACATTAACACCGCTTCTATTGATATGATTAAATTAGTATTTGGTGTTATTTTCAATCAGTCGTTAAATAATAAAATACTTTTTCTATTATACTAAAAATACTCCGCGTCTTTCAAAAGGCGCCATCAAAATTTTATGTGAAAATTGTTTTTTTGCATTTGAATTTTAGTGCCCCTTGATATGGGCGCCTAGAGCGACCACTCTTCTTACTTTTCTGGGTAGACCTCAATCTATCTGTACACCTTATTTTTGATGGGAACTAAAGATTTATGGCTCTATCAACTTCCCATCACAATTTCATTAACCTTTGTCTGTCCTAGAGGTTCGTTTTGTTTCAATAACACTACCTACCTCACAAACCATCCTACCACGTTGTTGTCGATTTCGCCCACTCATTGTCACCAATGCTCCTGTAGTTCCTGTTATTGTTTTGTAACTCGCCATGAAGAGCGCCGTGATTACATCTGGTATAAAATGGTTTACGTAACAAAGCTCCCATTCATTATTTGTTTAAGCATTACGAACCCAATCACTCTGTACTGGCTATTTGTGTTTTAAAAATGATAATTCGATGTAAAAAGCTATTATATGGCGTATTATGTGTGATACTATTGACTTCGGAAATCGGAGCATCCGTTCTTAAGGAAGTGTTAGAAGATCATTTGAAAGATGTAGCGCACAACGAAGAAGCAGCATCGATCAAGTACGACAAAGAGAAGGGTGAAAAGAATCACGACATTCGGAGCCAAGTCAACGACAGTCATACAAATCAATATTCTCAAGCAAGTGACGATGCTAAATATTTAAAGAAGGAACACGATTTAAAAAAGTCATCAGAGAACGATGCTTACGCGGGATACAATTCTAAACAAGACAAGGTCGAGGACAAGGAGAGCACGGGCTTCAAAAGAGGTCATAAGAAAGGTCATCACAAACAGGGCTTTCAAAATTCCTACCATAAAGATGAATCTTCCAACAAAAGCACGTATTTCGACGATTTCAATGACGAAGGTGACACTACTGCTTATAACGCTAGGTCAAATAGTCACAATAATCAGGGCGATAGAAGCTATAAGGGCGGCCACGACAACGGGCAAGAATACATTCGGGACAATTTCAATAGCAGAGCGTACAATAAATACGGGGATAATGGGAACAAGGAGGTGGGTCACCAAGATTACGCCAGGAAGCATTACCTGGACGATTACCAAAATTATAAACAACGTCGCAATAACCAGGGAAGCCACAGCAGGGACAAAATTCGTGATCGTCATCAATATCAATCGCCGCAAAGCCATTCAGATGAGTGGGACATGCAAAGATGGGAAGAGCATCGGGAGCCCGAATGGGACAGACGCAAAGGCTGGTATGACGCTTACGGAGGTCCAGGCTACTACGACGACCGTGGCCTTCGACACGAGGGCGGCTACGGCTACGGGCCGAGCCACGGCTACGGAATCGAGGAGTCCGTTGATGACCCCGTCGCCCAATTGCCTACGCGCCCGCCGTTCGTAGCGCAGAGAAAACAAACGATTACCATTTATGAGGATCCGAGATACGATGGACGTAATCAAGGACAACTGAGGCAAGAGGGAGATCACGTTCATCTAGATTTCCAACCCAGCCGTCAACGGTACGCTAGTTACGACGACACGTACTACGCGTCTCCTAATACGCGAAGAGCAATGGAAACTAGCAGAATAAATAGACTGGTCTACAACTACAGGCGGCAGTAGGTGATGTGTAGCTTTAGAATTTAGCATAGATACTAATCAAAAGGAACGGGTTGAAAAGTATAAGCAACGAAAGTGGAACGAGTTTCGTAGATAGTTTTGGTGTTCCTAACTCATTACACGTTTGTTTTGCGTGTTAGCTGTAGAAAATTGTACGGATATATTTCACGTACGACAGAGGTATTGAAATGATTTGACGAACCATTGAATATTCGGAATATGCGAATATTACAGAGGCATCGTCGCATTGCATATTTGCCGATGTCCATTGGGACGTGAAACTTCAAATACAGGTACTTTGAAGGGAGGATTCCTCGGGGCAGTTGCGACGTCATGTACGCCGATTCGGTTGATAGATTTCAATATGGTAGATGCGTCACGGCCGAACGGGCCGCTCTTTGGACCGTGTCGCCTCGTACGAAATCGGGGTCGTCGGTCAGGGTGATAGCAAAAAATCACCGTCGCCGAACAACCCTTTAATATCGTCCCAGACAGGGTAGGTGAAAATTTAATATTCGAACGTAGGTTATGGTTTTTAATAACAGACACTTACCGAATAATGTATTATAATAAAATAAGTTTTTGTGATCTGTGGCTTTTTCTTATTTCCGAGTTAATTGGTTAGTAATAAATATTAGTTTAATTAAAACTAAAAAAAACGCTTTTGTAGATACCCGAAAGTATTTTTTTAAAAGCACCCCACGCTTTTCTGCAATTATTTTTTTCGTTAATAGCACTATTCATGTTTTAAATTTTTTGAAGTTTTTTTTATAGTATTTATTATTTATTTTTTATATTAGTTCAGGGTATCTAAAAAAAAAGGGTCGTTTTTACATTTTGTTAAACCATTTTATTAAACAGTTGTTAAACAGTTTATTTTAATTTTTGTAGTTCTGCTAAGTAAAAACGTGTTTTTTATTTTTTAAATATTTTTTAAATGAGTACTTGGCACCAGGACACTACCGGGTATCGGATTTGGAAAATAGCTAATCCTGAAAGTCCTGATCAGGATAATGGAAAAAACTATTTAAATTTCCTCAAGGACACATTGTCATGTGTGCAAGGTCTGTTTCAAATCTGATCGTTCAAATCGATCGAGCATACATACAGATGAAACTAATAAAAGCGTGTTAAAAAGTGAGTCCTAGTCGTGCGTTAAAATCAAATATTTGAATGATATATAAGCCTGCGTTTCTTCTTATGATATTCTTGATGTCAAAATGCCTCTTTTTTAATTTCAGTCACAAATTTAACGCAACGATTATTTGAGCCCTGAGTGAACACTTTAAAACGATTCACATTTTTAAGAATAAATTGTGCTCTATTGCCCTATCCACGTTAATTAAAGGACGCTCCTATTGAGACACTAACCACTCGTGAATATTTTTCAGTGCTTTTATTTGTAATTTAAATTTTGCAACCCTTCCCAACCCGCGGTCCTCCTTTAGGGGAGCGAACTAATTTAAACGTTAAGCCGTCAGTGTAACAATGTAATAAAATATACATCCGGAGTTTTTACGTTCAGGGGATAGATGCATAAGAGTTTCTCATTGGTAAGAGAAAGATAAGTAGCAATGTACCATAGTTTCTGAACAGTTAGCGTATCAGTCGAATTAATTGGTGAATCAGAATCTAGGAATAAAGCTTAAATATTAGGACGTTTTTTTGATATCAAGACGAAGTTTTTTGAAAACGAATACTCATGTCGTCTGATGAACATCAATCAAATGTTCTAGCCTAAAAAAGCTATCTAGCCTAAAAACTGCTTTATTAGGCTAGAACTATTAACGCTTTCTATCCACATTTTTTTATTATTGTTACTTTTTATTACAAAAACACATCTGGAGATGGTAATCCATATAATAATGTTCATACAAAGATTATTATCTATCATATCGCCGTTAGTTAAATGAATTTATAGCGATGCGGAAGCTACTATGCCAACATAGAAAGATGTTATTAAATACGTAATAGGTACATTGACGCAAAAAAAGGATATAAGAAACAAAAACCGACTATTACTAATCAAAAATTATTTATTCTGACCGTATATAGAAACCAATTAGCGTAGTCGTAGCACAATTGTTTTGACGGTCAAAAATATTATTTCCTATTATAAGAGTCACTTTTTACTACGAATAGAACCGAAGAAGAATAAAATACCGAGGAATGTTAATTTTTTTGTAGAAAAACATTTATAAACATTGTTATATCGTTAGCAATATGCATTTTGCAACGTATGAATAAAGATGAGCTGGTTCAGACGAAAGTATAGTGGATATGCATATTGCCAGCCAATCTGCAATTGTAAAAAATCTCCCACTTAAGATACTTTGTCCCGAATGAGAGATCCTTCTGTTTGTTTGCTTGATAGTACTGAATTAATTTATGCCTTCAAAAACACTGTGGTTTTATGAAAAACCTGTATTCAAAAGGAATGGCTTGCCTTTAATGAATTTTAAAAACAGTCGAATAGGTTTTACCTTGCTTGTTTACATTATAACAAGATTTCGACACAGTCGTAGTATAATTTTTCAATAAGAAGATTCAAAAATATATAATTTTTTGAGTTAATTTTGTATCACGGACGGAGACTTATAGATCCTGACGTAAAAATGTATATAACTAAAAATTTCGTAGTAAAGATCCATTTTAGCAATTTGTATACGTGAATACAGTTTTAATGCGTTTATATTTGTTAAAATTTTCAAACATAGTTCAAGAAGAAAGTAAAATGTGAGGTTATTCTCAAACGTGTAATCACATCGAAACGAACTAATGCAGAACCCTCTCATTTTATTGTACTTGCTAACGACTTATCTTAGGGCACTAAAGCAATTTCAAAACGACACCCGAATAACAAGCCAATAATCGTTAGCGGCGATTGGAAAACAAAACTGTGATTATAGGGTATTATCTGCCGTAACTTGGCGTCTGCTGTCCCTTTTCCGCGCATGGTCGTGCCGTATTTTTGTCGCATTTGTCTCGGGAGAGCCTCGGAGAGATAGAGTGACATTACTTTAACGAACTTTCGATGTGGCGTGTCGTGGGGGGCGGGTTTGAATACGACTCGAGATAGATTTGCTTGGAGGCGTTTTCGATGAGCGTTATCTGAGTAATACCCTGTGTTTGGTAGACGTAGTCCGTCAAAAAGGAACTAAAGCTTTGAAAAATATTGTATCTTATCCGTGTAAAGATATTTATGTTCGAATAAAAATCGTAAGTATTTCGATTATAGATATTGTTTTAAATGCTAAGTCTGTATACTGTACTATCACAGTTATTATTCTAATTTCGAATCTCTGCTCTTTACAGCAACCATGATTAGGGAACATACATATCGAAACACACTGATTTTTTGGAATCGCACCTAAATATCTAACCCTTTTTCTTAGCCTCATAACTTTTAAAAATAGGTTACGATAAATAGAATTTCAAATCGTATAAACAGCCTAAAATTATGAGGGACAATCAAACTGTTGTTGGGCTTATCAGTGCGTAAACTCTCGTCAGCTCTGTTAAATTTTCCGTTTAGAGTCGACAGGGAAGTTATTCCCCAAGCAGTCTCGCTGTTTCCCGCCAGAACAATGAAGTCGCAACACGCTTATCTCAGCGACCGTTTATTGTCTGAAGTTCGCTATAGCTGTTTCGTTCGTCGGGCCGCGTCTACTTGGAGGTTTATATGAGTGAGGTGAGGTGAATTTCAATGATGTAATATAAATAACTGACAAAATTTATCGCATGGTTTAGTTGCGAATCGCGTTAAAATCTGGCTTAAAATTCTTGTTGTATTTTTTCTAGTAGGTATATCAAGTATTATACAATTTCATATGTAATCGTTAACCTTCAAATATAAGTATAATCAGATTCAAGACTTTAATTAATATCAAAGCGCAAAAGACCTTATTAACTACATGTTGGGGCTAACTCGTAACCCTGGTTATGATGATATAAATGATAATAGGATTAATACAAAAACACTTTATTACAAAATTGATATAGTTACAATGATACACTTCGATAATATGATATTTATGATATGATAATTAGGTATGATAATTTGAGAATGCGTGATTTGTTTGATTACCGAACGTGAGCTGACTGCCTGTCGCAGTAGTATACTTTAATGCTTACTACATATAAAATAGATAAAAATTCTAAACAAAGCTGTTTGGTTCAACAGTATAACGAACATAATTATGATGCCATCATTTTTTAAAGTAAAAGCAAATTGAATAGATATTTAATTTTGTCTCCTCTTTTGTGGCGTAATTGTATTTTATGGGTGGCGGGTAAATGAACAGAGATCAGTTAGAGAGCAGTTACAGACACTAGCCGCGTTTCTTTGTGTTCTCTCTAATTTTCTATACATTACAATACCATGATTACAGAGTAACATCAAAAATTCGGACTGTATCTACAGCAACTGTCTGTAACTACAGTGTGTCCTTTGAAATCAAGAAATTTATTGCAAATCGACCAGTCTAAAGCATCACTAAAAGTGGTAATCGTTGTATCATTTCGAATCCGGTGCTTGAATCTAATTAATTGCAACAAAATGGACTTCTCCCGTGGGATTTATCTGATTCAATTTTGTTCTTGTCAAAATTGCGGAAGCACGGCGGTGGAAATAATCGCCTATTCAAAACGTCCAAGGATTCTAAATGCTTTCGCTCAAAAAATTTTAAATTATCTATGCGTAGCTGTTCATTGTTTTATTTTTTTCTTGTTACATTGCATTCATTTCTAAAGTAAAAAGAGTCGCCTATAAAGCTTTTTATGAAGAAAGAGAAATTACAAAAATTGCCCATCATTTTTCAGGCTTCTCATTGTAATTTATTTTCGAACTCTTTGCGTTCATGAAACGTTTCTTTCTCAAAGGTCGGCGAAGCCTTCAATGAATACCTCAAATAGCGAGCTTTTGTGATTGGGTTTCCATTTACAACTTTATTAATAAAGAAATAATAATCATTCTTTATTACAATACTCTTTTCGATGTT